ATGAGTCAATTTCAGAGTAGGTGGATCCGGTTCGGGAGAAAGAGGTAACTTAGGAAAATTCTTGCATGGACTGTACCATTGAGCACGTTTCGAATGAACTTTGTTGAGCAGCAACTGAGGGCAGTTTTCTTTGACGGGTGTTAGACTCGGATTTAACATGTTGGAAATAAGAGGCTCCTCTGATCGCCGTTGGAAAATATGTAGCAGAAAGTTCTTGTTGCAGTGTTAATATTTTGTCACAGAGACCGTTTTCTTTTACCTAAAATGTTGGCTACATTTTGACGACAAAAAATCTTTACAATCAGATATGTTGACAACTGAAAGCTACTAGAATCGATCGAACATCAGTTGAAAATACCCGGCGTGCACAATTAACCAATCACAAATATTCTTGTATCCACAACAGTCCAATCAGAGACATGGACAACTAACGGCCCTCGTACTCTGTTCCAGTCCTTACTCCACAGAGGGCTCTCCATGCTAGGTTTGATTCATTGTCAGCTGGCAGCGTTCGCAAGCAAAATAATGAATTGCCTAAATACTGGTTGTTAGTTGCGTTAATTTCAGCTCTGCGGAAACTCTGAATTGACAAGTCTAAATGTTGTTGTTTTTTTTTGTCGTTGTTTTTTTAAGTTCCATTAGGATAAATTAAATTATAACCCGCTTCTATGTAACTTGTGGGCAAGTGCATATTTTTTGTACCAGATCATCTTTCTATGAAAAGTATCATTTAAATAAAAATCATAGCTAAAGACACAAAGTCTGTTTTAGAGCTTGAACTGATTATATTTATGTAACCTGAGCTCTCGCTTCATCGGCTAAAATTTCCCGCATTTTCCTCGGCGTTACGATAACGGCGGGATCAGTTGTAATTTCGTTCGTCACAGTACATACGAGCATTTTTTCAATTTTGTGAAGCCACAAAGTTTTTCGGATGTAAGATATTTTTACCGACCATAATTAAGCCACAAAAGACAAGGCAATTAAAAGTTTGCATATATAGACCTAGAATGTAAAAAAAATTGTTAATATCAAGATTTCAATTTCCCCCAATCCCTAATTGTAAGGGCTTCCTAAATTTAACTCATACACAGATTTATCGGACCTTCTGGGATCTATATTTGTTGCAAGGTCACTACAAAATCTCAATATTGCCCACCATCAGCCGTGGTCCTATCCACGAGAAAGTGGAAGACATGCACACTATTATTAGATATACTTGTGACACTCGGGCGACTTGTAAAATAGAAAACTGAGTAAAAATGGATGAAATGAAGACGACATGTGCTTGTACGCTATTTTCAGAGTTCCGTTTTGATATTGACATGTTATAGTTTTAACATTTTTTAGAACCGAAAATATACACATGGCAAACACATTTTTTTATTCAATTTTCAGATTACGAATATTAGATTGGCTGACCTGCAAATATATATAGCAAGTCTGAGGCGGGTCAGTGATGGATACTGAGATAACTATAAACTATCTAAGCTGACTGCCTCAACTAAATTGATTCAGAGTTGGGAAAACTCACAATCGAACATCGAAATTTATTATCAATAGCCTAAATCATAATAGTTCAGAAATTTATGAGTTACAATCAGAGGGTAATTTCCTTATTGAGCTTTGCTCGCGGCTCGAAAAGCGGCTTCAAACAGCGCCGAAGAAAACTGTAAAAACCGTTTAAGAGGACAAACTGCTGCGCGCAACCCTCTTACTCACGGAGTTGTGAAAAACCCAGCTAGTCAGGGCAAGGAAAATATACTGACGCGCTAAAAACCGACTTCAACGCGCGAAGGCGAGATCGAGACTACTTACAATCATCGCGAAGGACCCAAAGAAGATATAATTTTATTGCCACGATGACTTATCATGAGTACACTTATTTTCCCTCAAACGAAAAACTCTAGTTTGAGGTTTCTCATCTCATTACCAATGTTTGTGTAGTACATTTTCTTTATTACAACCGAGGCAACTTCAGAGCCACGTTGTTTACAGCACTCTGTCTTTGTTGCACTTTATTTAATTTTCACTGGTTTCAATTGATTAAAGTTCATATCCGTTCGCTGAAACGACCAAACTGTTTTTTCCAGCAATGACTGATCTCCAGATCGTCGGGTTTTATGTCTTATCCCACTATCAACAAGTTCTTATTATTAAAAGACGGCCCGATCGCTGTTTCCGCATCGTGTTATTAGTTTTGATAAGGGCGCCAGTCACTTCAGCATTATGTTCAATGTCAGTTCATCGTGCACGGGTCAAAAATCAAACTGAATCCTTCCTGGAAGAGATAACGAAAGGCCGACTCTTTGAGCCACTTCTCCCCGAGTGACATGCCAATCTTCTCTTCACCTCCACCACTTAGTACTCAAAAATTAAAAACCGAAATTCATCAAGCGGGTTCGATTACAAATCTCTCCATGATTCGATCTCGTAAACCCTGCCCTTTTCCGAGTTCCATTCTGTTTAGTATTTCTCTTACCGGTATAAGCAATTAAATAGTGAAACGAACCTTGAAGAGCGTTTTAACCCACTCTATTACGACGTTTTTATGACAAAACTCAGGGTTATTTAACAAACAAATGGGAGATCCGAGAGTTTTAAAGACATTTTATTAAAAATTCTACCAATCTTGAAAACACAGAACCTAAATGCCAGATACCTATCATCCCTTCGAGAATTCTCGTTGTTTCTCTACTCTATTTTTTAATCCAAAACCATAGGTATCGATCAGTAATTTACTTAATGCGTGACCGATAAGCGGTGAAATTCCTTTAAACACATCGCTGAGTCTTTGAGCTTCTTCCTTTTTGAAGACACAGATATATATTGCAGAACACAGCGATTGAGTAAAAATAATTATTTAATGAAAACGGCGGGCATCAAATCTTTTCTTGTTCAAGGCGGAAATTTGTTGTTTACGTTCAGTAAAATCACCTGTAATCCTTCCGCGTGTCAAAAACATGTTTAACTTATACATATGTAAAAACTGAAGAGCATAACGCTGTTTGTTTGACAACCCAAGAGTTTTGTAGACAAACCAGCTCCCATTCGAATCACTGTCTGGTTTCTGGTGTAAAATTGTTGATCTCGGCGGAAATCTGGCCTTCACTTCCCTTTCTCAAGAGAGAAATGATCGTTTTTAACTGCTTGAAAACGTACGAAAACAACCCCTTGAATCATTAACACCGTGTTGAGTTTACCTGGTGGTTTCATAATAATATGGCTTTCTTCACCAAAGGAAGCATTTTGTCTTATTTCGCGCTTTAATTTTCCAAAATAAAAACATTCATTCGGGTTATGCGACAACGACCGCAGCCTATGATAAAGCGATGTTTGCATATTCGCCCTGAAAACCATATTAAGATGTATTTTCTTGTCATCACACAGTTTCACTTCCTGTGTGCGAACACTCTAAATGTGCGGCAAATTGCTCAATTCTTTCTTCATTCTCTTTACGAAAGGCAAGTATTTTCCTACGGTAATCCCACAGGCGAACTACGTTCTAACTGAAATAGCAGTCGGCAATTAAAAGCCATCTTGGAGAAGATTTCCGTCTCTCAAGATTTCCCTAGAAAAATCAATATGAAAAAACAAATATTGTGCAGGAACCCAAAGCCAAATTTGTTGTAAAAGGGAAACACAATAGAGCTCAACCTGAAGGTTGATGAAGAAAAAGGAAAATAGACCAGTATGTACGTCACTTTTGGGAGAACGTTACTCAGTTGAATTTTTGCATATCACCCATCTCTTCAACCAAAAATTTTCAGTCCCTTTGTCCACTTCTGTGTTGTGAAACAACACTTCCCTCCTAAAAAGAAATAAGAGAAAAGGGAAAACTCTATTTATATTTTGGGATTAAATTTCATTATAACATAGCGCACGTGCTTGCCCTATATAAGTGCTACTGAGCTCTTATGAACAAAATCTTTATTTACGCACGCCCGTGCGTAAATAAGATGACGTAAGCTTTTTTTAACCTGGCTTCAGAGTTTCCGTCCTGTTAAGCTGCAGTGCAGTTTTCCTTCTCTTTGAATTATGGAAGAAACCAACGAAGAACTGCCCAATTTTTCTATCCGCGTTGACCTTTTAGGTCCCTATCCAACAAGCAACAAAAATAAAGCCCAAAAAACTCGCAAGTTGCACGTTTCGCAAATTTGTCGAAAGACCAGCTGCAGCAAATTTTGGCCGAAAGACATTGACCGGGAACAAAAAAAGTCACCAATTGGTCATTAACAACATTTAAAGGTAAAATTTCCGTTTTTGTTGTTGTTTTTAAATTTGTTCAACCTGGGGAATAAAGTACACAGTTGTTAATTGGGAATTTACCAAAACCAAAACAATCAAGGCGGCAAAAAATCTAAATGCGACAAACATTTTTCTACTCCATCACAATAAAAGGCTTCTTCGCGCAGATTCTTGTTGTCGCTCTGTTATAAAATAATTTGCTCATGCTTTTAGCTGTGCGTATATCGAGTTATGGATGCACTTGGGAAGTTTGGAGAGCACTCAAAAAGCTAGAGTTGCTCTCGGCCGCGCCTCGAGCTACTCTTAGTGCCTCGCGTCCATCCATAACTCGATATACTAACAAATCTTACGCCATTACTTTCTGTTCTTCGTTCACACAAAATTTCTCTTTCCATGAATCAGACATTTTTTTCAATTGAAAATCCTCGAGCTACTCTTACGCATTCTTCGTGCTCTCCAAACTTTCCGCGTCCATCCATAACTCGATATACGCACGCTAAGCATGAACAAATTCTTAATTTTAGGTGGTACCATTACTTTCTGTGAGTCAAATTTTATGACTAACATTTACGTAAGTCACACAAAATTTCTCTTTCCATGAATCAGACATTTTTTTCAATTGATCTTTTCAGGCAATCGTCTGACCTCGCAGAATGATAAGAGCCAAATATCGACTTGACTATTTCGTAGTAATTGAATTATTCGTTTGACCAAATTGGCATTGACAGCGTAAGACACAGTAATAGGACAAGTTAAATGACTTAAGCTGACGCTTTATTGTAAAACAAGCATTTCTTTACACCTTACAATTTATGTTATGATTTAATTTAAAAATAGTCCCATCACCAAGTGTCGTTTTTCGGTATTCCAGCGTTAGCAGTTCAAGCGAGCCTTTTACACACCAGGCCACAGGGCGCGCGAGAATTCACTGTACAAACCCTGTCATTCCAGGAACCGTTTGGTCTAAGTGACACTGAGGATTGCCTAGTCCACATGTTGCTGCATGGTTCGTGGGAATTTCCATTCGGTTCCTTTGGAGCCCATGCTTTGTAGACTGGAACAGAGTAATCACTCCAGTAGAAGCCGTTAGTTTCCCACATCAGGCCGATCCACACTTGTTTCCTTGATGGTGCAGACTTCCTCGCGAGGGCCAGAACGAACTCGTTTTCCCGCGCATTGGTAATCTTCACCAGGTCTCCTCCCATACTTTTACAGTGAATTTGGGCCTGGTGCCAAGTCCTGGATAAGCTACTTGCATGGTAGCAAAAGCTTTCGAACTGCTTCCATCCCTGAGGACAACCCGAGGACCCTGTGAAAAAAAATTAAACTAGTTTTGAGCAATTTTAATGGTAATTGCGCTTCTGATGTGGATGATAATACTGCTTGACCCTTTCTGACAGAGGCATATGCACTTAACTTTTAATTTCGAGTTTTTCAATGAGAACTCGGAAGAAAACTCGAAGGGCCGGTTATTTAAACAAAGTTTAGCTGTTGTTTAACAAAACCGCGCTATAAGCCATTTTCAATTTATAGCCAAACCTTTTATCTGAACGTTTATTTTTGTGAAGAGTGTCAAAAGGGCTGCAAGCCAATAGTGGAAAAACATTTATTTGATTAAATCAACCCTCCTGTAGAGAATCCCTGAGGTCCACTACTTTCATAAAACCGCGGTTTGGGTTAGACCTCGAGTAAATAACCAGCCCCAAAGGTTCAAGACAGACATTTTCATCGTTACGCGCAATATCGACCACGTTTCATCGCTACTTGTGTTAACGAATAACTCGTAACAGCTTGTGACGTCAGAAGATTTCTTTCTTAGGTTAAATCTTAGACACTTTTGGTCGGTCGAAAGAAAAAAGGGTTACCGGTAATATTGAGTCTTCTTTGTGCTTACCAATCTTTATACTATACCGTAAAAAATACAGCGAGTCAGAATACAGAAAGTCAGTCGCATATTTTGACGGTATAGTCAGTACACCCACTCCTCGGCATTGTGCACTGCGATCTTATCGTATGCGTCGAAATTCCGCAAGCATTGCCGTTTCCAAGTTATTTCGCTAGAAGTGCTGTTGGAACCATGTAAGAGCCAAATGCTCCTCTCAGAATTAGTTTTTAGGTCGAAAACTTGAAGTCGTGGTCCATTAAAAGGCGAATAAAAAAAGAACGAGGCTAATATCCGGCCATCTTGACCAACAAGCTTGGTCAATATAGGATTTATTGTACAGCAAAAATATTTCGCTTCGATAACAATCAAGAATTAATTGTTTATGTTTGTGCTCTGGTTCTTGTCGCTTAATAAACTTGTGTAAACCGCTGCCTTTTTGTGACTCTACAGCCGATATTTTACAAAAATTATGAACTTTGTATGTCTGCTCTACGCAATTGTTTCACTTGCGCGGGATCAAAGTGGGCAATCCTGAATGAGCAAGAAGGGTCCCATATTGCCAACAGGCACGGCCAGCTATAAAATACCATTGGATAAATAGTTAATCTTCATACCTGATACACATCCTAAAGCAAACAGTACAACGATACAAAGCGGAAGAATCGCGTGAATCTTCATCTCGGTTCCTTTCAGTGGCGGTAATGGTGAAAAGTCCAATTCCTGAAGAAGCCGATGTTACCCTGGATAACACAAACGGTATGAGTTGAGAAAAGGAGTTCAGGGAAATATATAGGACACGTCAAATATGGGACCACGTCTAATACAATCCATAACTCGATATACGCACGTTAAGCATGAACAAATTCTTAATTCTGGGTGGTACCATTACTTTCTGTGAGTCAAATTTTATGACTAACATTTACGTAAGTCACACAAAATTTCTCTTTCCATGAATCAGACATTTTTTTAAATTGAAAATTGGGGACGTAAAAGGCGACAGCTGATAGTCAAGATAAAGAAAACATAGATACCTCTCGCGGCTATATTGTACTCCAAACACAGTTGGCTTTCTTTTCTGACTCTCGAAATAAACTCGTCAAAATATTTGTGCTGTATAATAAAACCTTTTTTGATGGACAGATATTAGCCTCGTTCCTTTTTTTGCGTTGTAATGAACGTCGACTTCGACTCGGTCCATAACAACGCAAAAAACAGAACTCAGGTAATATCCAGCCACTTCGACTACAAGAATTTTTATTCGCGTCATCCACCAGTCGTAAAGAAAGCACATCTATAGAAGCTGATGCCAAAAATGATGCTTTCAATAATATTTTAATCGAAATTTGTCCGGGAATACGCGCCCTAAATAAGCACCATATATGTTAAAGGTTATAAAAAAAAGTAGTTTCCCACATGTCAGTAGGTATTTATTCTTTTTGTCCAACCAATTAAACAAAGTCATTCACGTGTATTTTCAGACACCTTGGAATCTGACTCCGCTTTATTCAGTATTATTCTGACGAGTGGGCCTCTTAGGTTGCCAAAGTTATTTCAAAACATCTCTCCGTACACACACACATATGGGACTGCCTCTGATTACAGAGATAATACGGTCGTCAGAGACACTTCGCAGTGCTTCAAAGGTGCTCGAAAGCCGATTAGTGCTAACCCACGATTAAATCGCCCTAACCCAAGAATAAAATTTAACCTACGATTAGTTACTGATCCTGAAAGCGCGATTAGCACTATCCTAGGCTTAAAATAAAGGTCAACTTTAACACACCTAGCAAGGTGGATTAACTCACCAATCGAGGGAAAACTTTCCCCAAACAAAACAAAATGGCCGACTTTTTAATTGGCGGATTAGGCTTAATGCCGGCCCCAAGAAGGAAAGAAAGGACATTTAGGCTACCAGACGACTTTTCCCTGTCCAACTTTACTAATGAAGAACTGAGAAGTCGATATCGTTTTGGTCGAGAGTCTATAAAATTTTTATCTGAGCTCCTTCGCGACGATCTCGAAAGACAAACCATGCTTTGTCGACAACTGTGCATGTCCTTGTAGCGTTGCGCTTTTTCGCCTCCGGAAGCTTTCTTCAAGTTATTGGAGATACTCTGGGCCTGTCAAAGTCATCCGTGTCCCGTATAATCAGCCAAGTTTCGCTTGCCCTTGCACAGAAACAAAGAAACTTCATCAAGTGGCCATCGACCGAAGAGATACTTCAATACAAACGCGGTTTTTTTTTACCAAGGGGCGGTTTCTTGGGGTGATTGGCTGTGTTGACGGCACTCACATCAAGATTCAGGCACCACATGAAAACAAAAACGATTTTGTCAATCGTAAAGGGTTCCATTCCATAAATGTGCAAGCAATTTGCAATCACAAAGGTAGGTAAAATACTCAAATGTCACAATTAGGGTTCACGGTCGTTTCGATACAAAGTCGTTTCGATACAAATCGAAGTAAATTCGTTACAAATGTAAAGTCGATTCGATACAAACTCACGTCACTTCAAATCGTTTCGATACAGAATACCATACTAGAGCGAACACAAACCTCCGTTGTAAATGAAACAAACCCATACCTCCGCGAACCTCCACATTTACCAAAGCGTCCTACGCAATGAGAACACGTAAACGAGACTAAGTTTTGGTTTGGTTTATTTATCGAGAACAGAGATTTATACAAATGATTTTGAGACTTTTTCTATAACTCCAGCGCATATTACGCCTAAGATCAAGAAACACAAATACTATCAATAATGTAAGTTGGTGAAGCAACGGACCTGTGAGGAAACAGCAGTCATTCTGGCGCGTGGGTAGGCAGGTTTGTAAATTATCTTATCAATAGACGCGTAAACTAATTGTTTTAAAAAACTTGCTAATTTTACCCCATTAAAAGCGAATAGAAGAATCCAAACGTTTTAAACTAACTGATATCAGTGTATAAAACACACTGGGACCTGTAGAATGTTCATTCGATCATACGATCACGACCGTTAACAAAAGTTTTTGATTTTTTACGAGTTTTAACGAGTTATCACGATGGTGTCTGCGCAGATTTTGAACTGCATGGTATGCGAGGAACCTGTTCGGCCCAGACAGCAAGCCATTCAATGTAATGGATGTTTTGGCTGGAATCATCGAATCTGCAACACTGATAAGTTTTCAAAACTATTACACGTATTATTGGTATTTGAGGTTGTCGCTTATATACTCTGACAAAAAATAGGGGCACTTTGTCTTTAGCAAACAAATTTTAACCAAATTATAAAGGTTTTTGTCTTACTCCTCAGATCGCTTTCCAAAGTGACGGAGCTAAGCAATCTTCGACATATGAATTAATCAAGTGAAGCTGAAATTTATATATATGTCTGCTAAATTACTAATAGTCCGTCATGAGTGTCCGTCTAGATTCAGCTTAAACAGGGTATAATCGAATGCAACCCTATAAATACCGCAAAAGCAGCAAACCGGTTTGGAATTCTACGTAGCAGCCTTCGCTTAATGAAGTACACTCATAAAATGCGATGGGATAATAAACTAAACAAGGTAAAAGCAGGTAATTTAGTGTTAACAACTGGGTTGAAAACGTAAATTAGCCATCGTAATGCGACGTTTCGAGCGTTATTCGGCTAACGCTCGAAACGTCAAACAATTTACGTTTTCAACCCAGTTGTTAAAAAATTACTTGACGCAGCACCACAGTTTCTTTAGAAAGTTACCCCTTTAAACAAGGTAAAACTTGATTAATGCAGTTACGGTAATGATAAGAAAAAAAAACATGCACACTTTTAAATAAGCTAAGTTTTTCGTTTGTCTCACGATGTAGTCACGTGTGATGTAGATCGCGACGTTTCGACTGCATACTGCTAGTCTTCTTCAGGCGATGAGGTCGACTGGTCATGCGTGATCTTATAAAGCATGATGCTCTGCTGTGATTGGTTGTTTTTCAACAGCTATGATTGGTGCATTTCGATCCTTGCTGTTCACTCAGTGATTTGCTCCCTCGGTGGTCCGCTGTCGCACGGCTCTCCTGTTGTTGTGTTTCTTGATCGTGGGCATCCACGCTTCTGGAATTTCTATTCCACTCTCCCTGTTGATGTTGTTAGGGTGAAGTCTTATATGAATAGCCTCTTTAACCCTGCGCGTGTAGTAATAAGGGTAACGATCGATAAACCTTACTTCGTTCTAGAGTGGCTTGTGTCCGGTGTTGTGGGCATGTTCTGAAACGGCGGAGGTCTCGGTACGGGCGAGTCGAATGTCTCGATCGTGCTCCTTAATTCTGTCTTGCATAGGTCTTCCAGTCTCTCCGATGTACACCTTGCCGCATTCACAGGGAATCCTGTAAACTACACCATCTTGTTTAGCCGGGTCGACAGTGTCTTTCGGTCGTACTAACTGAGATCTTAGCGTAGTCTCCGACTTGAAAACAGTGCGTACGCCTTGTTGTTGTAGGCAGCGGCGAAGCTGTTCGGATAGACCTTTAACATAAGGTAAAACCGCAGTGGCTTTGAACTCGTTGGCGGGTTCGGCACTGTTGTTTGGTTTTCCGGTCTTGGTAAGTTTCTGCAAGAAAGAAGAAGGATAACCATTAGAAACCAGAACAGATGACAGATGTTTTTTCTCCTCAGAGATAACGGAGGGTTTTGTTACGAGGCGTTTGGCGCGCTCGTAAAGGCACTTAACAATACCGCGTTTTACTGACTGAGGGTGGTGTGAATCATACGACAAACTCGCCTTCCTGGACACCGCAGTTTTAAGAGAACCTGACGGCTGCCTCTCCACCAGCGTATACAGGAAGCCCACGCACACCGATCAATACTTAGCGTACTCAATAATCTCCTTGCTGGCAGTACTCGGCGACCACCTTCAGTTATCTTGGTCTCCCTCTTGAATTCTGCAAATTCTTTCTTGGCGATGCTATGGAGATTTTTCCACTTGTCTTTTGCCTCCGTGACTGTTCGCTTGGCTGTTCCGACCGCATTTACCGCTTGGGTTATTTCTTCCCATAGCATTTGTTTTTTGGTCACAGCATTCGTTAATTTGGATTGGATTAAGTCGAGATTTTTTTGACATTATCGGTGATGACTTCAATCTCATAAACTGAAAAATTCTGCTTTCTTTTTCTGTCTTACGTTTGGCTTCCACTTCCATGTGCACTCTCCCTTTCCGCCATTCATTTCACTCCTATTTTTTTTTCGCGCGTAGCCGCGTAGCTCTTCATAACCGATTTGACTGGTTTAATCTCAGCTTAATCGTGGGATAGTTAATCAAGGGATAAATCTGCTTTCAGGAACGTTATTTTAAACCTAGATTAGCTATCCTTGGGATAAGAAATTTAATCGTCGATTAACCTCTAATCGAGGGATAATTTAATCGGCTTTCGAACAACCGGGGCCAGGGCAAGAAAAATATACCGACGCGCTAAAAACCGACTTCAGAGCGCGAAGGCGAGATCGAGACTACTTACAATCATCGCAAAGGACCCAAAGAAGGTACAATTTTAGTGCCACAGTGACTTATCATGTGCACACTTATTTTCCCTCAAACGAAAAACTCTAGTTTGAGGTTTGTCATCTACCAATGTTTGTATAGTGCATTTTCTTTATTACAACCGAGGCAAATTCAGAGCCACGTTGTTTACAGCACTCTGTCTTTGATGCACTTTATTTAATTTTCACTGGTTTCAATTTATCGAAATTCATATCCGTCCGTTGAAACCACCAAACTTTTTCTTCCAGCTATGACTGATCCCCAGATCGTCGGGTTTTATGTCTTGTCCCACTATCAACAAGTTATTATAATTAAAAGGCGGCCCGATCGTTGTTTCCGCATAGTGTTATTAGTTTTGATAAGGGCGCCAGTCACTTCAGCATTATGTTCAATGTCAGTTCATCGTGCACGGGTCAAAAATCAAACAACGTACTGACTGAATCCTTCCTGGAAGAGATAACGAAAGGCCGACTCTTTGAGCCACTTCTCCCCGAGTGACATGCCAATCTTCTCTTCACCTCCACCACTTAGTACTCAAAAATTAAAAACCGAAATTGATCAAGCGGGTTCGATTACAGATCTCTCCATGATTCGATCTCGTAAACCCTGCCCTTTTCCTAATTCCATTCTCTTTAGTATTTCTCTCACCGGCATAAGAAATTAAATAGTGAAACGAACCTTGACAGGCGTTTTAACCCACTCTATTACGACGTTTTTATGACAAAACTCAGGGTTATTTAACAAACAAGTGGGAGATACGAGAGGTTTAGCGACGGTTTATTAAAAATTCCACTAATCTTGAAAACACTGAACTTAAATGTCAGATACCTATCATCCCTTCGACAAATCTCGTTGTTTCTCTACGCTCCTTTTTAATCGAGAACCATTAGTATTGATCAGTGATTTACTTGATGTGTGACCTATAAGCGGTGAAATTCCTTTAAACACATCGCTGAGTCCTCGAGCTTCTTCCTTTTTTAAAAAACAAAGATATTGCAGAATACAGCGACTAAGTAAAAATAATCATTTAATGAAAACGGCGGGCATCAAATCTTTTCATGTTCTAGGTAGAAATTTGTTGTTTACATTACATAAAATGACTTATAATCCTTCCGCATGTCAAACACATGTTTAACTGATACATATGTAAAAACGGAAAAGCATAACGTCGTTTGTTTGACAACCCAAGAGTTTTGTTTTTTAGACACGCCAGTTCCCATTTGAATAACTGTCTGGTTTCTGGTGTAAAATTGTTGATCTCGACGGAAATCTGGCCTTCACGTCCCATTCTGAAAAGGGGAATGTACGTTTTCATCTACTTGAAAATGAACGAAAACAACCCCTTGAATCATTTACACTGTATAGAGTTTACCTGGTGGTTTCATAAAAAATATAGCGTTCTTAACCAAAGGAAGAATTTTGTTTTATTTCGCGCTTTAATTTCTTTAATGCTCCAAAATAAAAACATTCATTCGGGTTATGCGACAACGACCGCAGCCTATGATAAAGCGATGTTTGCATATTCGCCCTGAAAACCATATTGAGACGTATTTTCTTGTCATCACACAGTTTTACTTCCTGTGTGCGAACACTCCCTATGTGTAATAAATATCTCACGTTCTTCTTTACTCTCTTTACGAAAGGCAAGTATTTTCCTACGGTAATCCCACAGGCGAACTACGTTCTAACTGAAACAGCAGTCGGCAATTAAAAGCCATCTTGGGGAAGATTTCTGTCTCTCAAGATTTCCTTAGAAAAATCAATATGGAAAAAATAAAATTAAACTAAACAAATATTGAGCAGGAACCCAAAACCAAATTTATTGTAAAAAGCTAATAGTCAGCTGTCGCACTCAGACATCTCAAAATATAGCTGACATTCATGAGGACCTTTGAAGTTTATTCATGTTGAGATATGCATTTGATTTCAAATAAAGTAGTGCGTAAACAGACGTAAGATTTTGTGGCGTTAGGAAAATAAGGGATTTGTTCTGAAATTATCTCATTTGAGTTTCCAGCTCCAAGGGCCAGGAAACAACACTAACTGAATTTAGCCTTTATCCTTGAGTGCCGGAGTCAGGGGCTCTTTGTTCATTTCAACTCGTAGGTATGGCAAAAATTAAACAATAATTAAACTTAGTCATGTTTCAAGTCAAAGATACGTGGCGACATTTCAAGACTTTTCGTCAACAGGAGCGAAATAAGTGCACTCAACATAATCTTCGGTGATGCTGCAGTATAGCTGATATGGTTGGTTCCGACGCTTTGTATCGCATGGAATCCCACTATTTTTTTTCTCCAATATCCGGTTTCTTTTTTTGGAAAGAAAATAAAGCAAAGATTCGACGGAACAACAAGTAAACTTTATGGAAATCATCTTAGGTAAAGCTGTCGAAATTGAACTATTTTCGACCAAACTGATGAATTATTTTAATCAGTGCGACTGAAAATGTGGAAGACTTCGTGGAGGGTCGCTTTGTCCTCACTCAGTGCATTTTACTCTGCGGCATATGAGGCATGCAGTTTGACAAGAGGCTACAAAGGGATTCGCCTATTATCGAGAGAATATAAACTCTGCCTATCAATTGATATTTTCCGCTTCATGATCTCCGAGAGAACCTTGTAATTAACCAGTATCTAATGAACAGAAGAAGACAAGAGCCTCATAACACATTTGATCAGTAACAAGTGCAGACGGCCGTAAATCGCCTCATTTAATTTTTTTTTTAATTCTTCAAGAGCAAAAATATCTACGCCAAGAAAAAACTGCGGTATTTTTCAACCAAGTAGACGCTCATAATGTTTGTTTTTCAGAATAATCAAAGCATAAATTCCTCTGAAGTGCTGTTCACTGTTCAAGATATGATAAAAGCGTCCTTTCCTATGTTTCGATAAGTCGTCGCAGCAATAAACTTAGTGCATTCTGGAACTATAGGATTGCAATTTTACACACTTTTATAACGTTCAAAATCTTAAATCAAGAAATTGGCGAGTCTTACTTAAACTTTTCATCCAATCTCTTCATCTTTTGCGGTCATTCGAAGGCTTCCCACGGTACATGATACATTAGTCTCTGCTTTCAAAATAATTTTGTGGTCTAGAATAGTCTTTTGGTCGAGGATCTCAGTCAAAAGGTAACTAGGATTGCTTGTGAGCGACGAAAGTTTGTGTATGATTGCTGTCAATTGATTTGACATTTTGAAATGTAAAAGCCGATATTTCGTAAAGGCGAACGCGAAGCAGATTATCACAACCAGTGATCACAACGATACTGCCACTGCAACACATATTTTCATGTCATTCGTGGCACTTTAAAATGATGGGAGAGAAGCGACTTATACAATAACAAACTGTATGGCTGAAGTTACTAGGGCTAGTCATGTTTTCTAATTTGAAATCGAAAATCGACGTCGAACGCATCAGTAATTGATCAGTGATCGGTAACTCGGATTTGAAAAACAGCCGGCAGAATCAAGGACTAAAGAGAAGAAAGCAGTAGACATTCAACTTGACGGTTATTATCTTTTTTTTTCCTTTTTTTTTGATTCAGCCTCCCATAAAAAAGTATTTCGCCTGCTAGTACGTCTATACGTGAGTTGCCGGAACGGTCAAAATTTTGGAAAATTTTCGAGCAGATTTTTTATGTTTACTCGACAAATATAAGTTACATCTTCCGCCTCCATGATCTCGTTCAGACTTGTTCATTTGATTGCATATAAGTCCGTGAACACCGTACCCTAGCTCATACTGATCGTTCCATCGATTAGGTGAAGACACTGAGAGTGAAAAAACCTTCAACCTGCTTCAAAACCTTCCACCTCCTTATCAACTGACGAGAACCAGAATGAGAACTTACGCGATTCTTCCACTTTGTATCGTGCTTTTGTCTGCGGCTGGATGTGTTTCAGGTACACAGAGCAGTTAACCCAACATTTAGGAAGAGAAAAAATTCTCCGATTTCTAAAAATTTCAGAAATTTATCCGCCAAAATTTATCCACATTGTTGGTCTTATTAGCCTGCAGTTACATATATCATCATGAAAATGTGTCTAGCTGAAGTATCATCGCACCAAAAACGTATATGCTGTTTTAATTAAACTAAAATAATTGAATTTATCTTCTAGCCTATTGCCCTTGGGGATGGAGGCAGCTCGACAGCTTTTGCTATTATGCAAGCAGCACATCCATGACTTGGCACCAAGCCCAACAATTCTGTCGAAGACTGGGAGGAGACCTGGTAAAGATTACCAATGCGCGGGAAAACGAGTTTGTCCTAGCCCTCGCGAGGAAGTTTGCACCAACAAGGCAACAAGTGTGGATCGGCCTGATGTGGACCGCTAACGACTTTTACTGGAGTGATTACTCTGTTCCAGTCTACAAAGCCTGGGCTCCAAATGAACCGAATGGAAAATCCCGGGAACCATGCAGCAACATGTGGACTAGGCATACTTCCTCTATGCCAATCAGGGCAAACGGTTACTGGAATGACCTCCCTTGTACGGCACCATCTAACTTGCTCTGTGGCCTGGTGTGTAAAAGGCTCGCTTAAGCTGCTAAAGTAGAAATGCCAAGACACGAAGCCTAAAAAAGCAATTTTGCTAGGGGGACATTTTGATTTCGGGTAAAGGCGTACAGGAATGCTTGTTTTACAATAAAGCGTAAACATGAGAGATTGAGCGTTTCTTGTTGTTTTGTCTGACCGTGTCTGAAGCCCCTTTACAAAAGTCCCGCCATCCTTGGTACGTCCCTTCATAGAGGCCTTATGATACAAACGCCGCTGTAACTTGAGCCTACGAGCAGCAACCTTATTGTCAGCGCAGCGGGCCGAGCGTTACTTCGCCCGCGGAAAGTTTTGAGACGAGTTCAGAGAGAGGTTTTTCGGGGGGTATGGCACAAATTATCATCAGTGCGAGACCCCTCGCCGGCTAGCGTTGCTCAAGACTTCAAACTTATTCGCAGCCGAAGAAACACTCGTCCTGAGACGCTATTAATTAGAGCCTGCTGTCAAGTTACTATAACTTCTTAGGATCACAATGGTGTTTTATAGCTGGCAGCGCCTGTTGGCAATATGAAGCGAATCATGGTTCTGATTGGCTACCTAAGCGGGCAAGATAGGGCCCTTCTTGTTCATTCGGGATTGCCCGCTTTGATCCCGCGCAAGTGAAACAGTTGTGTGGAGCTGACATACAAAGTTCATAATTTATGTAAAATATCGGCGATAGAAGAAAACTTATCAAATCACTTTATTTTCAATTTTTCGAATGAAATACAAGTATACATGCTCACAGCGGGTTTTCTTTCTCAGCGATCAAAAATAAACAAGTAATTCTTTATTTTTATCATTTATTTTATTATTTTAGCGAAATATTTTTGCCATGCAATAAATCATTTATTGACCAAGCTCGTTGGATCAAGATGGCCGGATGTTAGCCTTTTTCTTTGTAAATAATTTTGTAATAAAATACAAATGAATTGTATGGTGTAAAGGGATACTTAGTTTACATTAAAGCATTTGCATGAATGTTGAAGCTTGTTTTAATGTTCTGTAGGACGCTGTCACCTCTAATTTACACAAACAGGTCATCAATAGTCATCGCTTGAGAATCAGTCAGTTTACTTTTGGCATTTGGAACATTCCGTTATCAGACTACAAAATACGACATTTCTTGAAATGACAATATAGATTTTTCACACATTTTTTTTTTAATGTTTCAAACATGGCGTAGAGTTTCTGAGAGGGAACATTTTACTTCCTCAGGTTGATTTGAAAATGAAAACAGAAGCCATCTTTAGCCGTTTTTCATTTTACGAATGCAAACTGGTGTTTGTTTTTCAATATACCAGTCATTTTTAAGTCAAAAGTAGAGAAAATCGATAGAAAAATTTGTCAGAACAGTTAGCGCAGTATAAGAACTCAGAGTTATTCGTGGTCTCAGTGTGCATTACATGCATTTGGTTTGACGGAAGACTCATCACTTCTAGAAATTTTGATGTCTTTCTGCACAGCACGACTATCTGTTTGAATCTACAGCGTTCATTTCTTCAGGACGGGGACGATTTGCATCCTCTTCTTTTAAACCAAGGACCACCTCGCTAAGCTGCATATAATCCATCTTTAAATGATATATCTAAGCTGACACTCAGCTCCACAAGGATGCCTTGACCCTGAAAAAACAAGCAATAACTTTGCATTTGGTATACATCTGACATCATCTTTTGAGCTCATTCCCTAGTTGCTCCATAGGCTGCTGAAAAGCAAGTAGGGAGAAGAATCATGGAAGGCGGCTGAGCGTGAGGTTGGGAAGAACCTCTGTGTCTCATGCATGCTTCAGCCAACATGGTCTTACATTGTAGATGCCCAAGATGCAAGCTGTCAGTTGTATTCTGTTATTGAACCCTTGATAATAATAATTTAAAGCCTATCTACGTTGAGAATAACCTCAATCTAAAATAATTTGAGGAAAGAAAAAAAATGTGCTGATAGGCTAGTTTCGAATTGTTTGTGCGAGAAAGTCCGGGAACTAGTTTTCAGCATCAAGTCGATACTGAGGGGAATAGGAGTCGTCTCAACATGGCAGCGAATGATGCCTTCACAAATGTGAAAGTTCCAGAGCTACGGAAATTTTTAAAGGAAAGGGGTATTCAAATTTCTATAAACGGTAAGAGTATTAAAAGGGCAGAACTACTAGAGCTTTGCAAGAACGAAATTCTCATGACTTCACTGGCATTCCAGACTTCAGGTTTCCCGATATTTACCACTATCTGGTTGGAAAAGATGGCTACGTTGAAGACTGTTAATGGTCGTATAAAAGTCTTGAGGGTTTTCGCTTATTTACTGAGGGGAATGTGAATGATCTGAAGTACCACGATTTATTTGATGATGGCATCAGACAGGTAAAAGTTGGAAATCCTGTGAACAATTTCACAGATTTGTCATTTATCAGTACATCATCCATGAAAAGTTTCCGTTTCAATTCTGGCTTGTTACTGAGTTCGTTTCGAATTGTTTTGTTATCAGTTCTTACCATCGATAAATTTTTTATCATATTAACCATTCGTTGGAGGTCAATGTCTGTTTGGCAAGAAACAATCACATAGTCCTTTTCTTTGAGAGCTTCTGCTCTATGAACTTCTATCAGTAGAAACACGGAAAATTTTGGCTTTGATGTCTTCGCTAGTGTTTCGTTTTCTCCGCTCATTCGACCTCTTTTCGCGTTGACTTGGACTTCTGATTAAATATGGTTCGAACCCTGCCGTGTGCTAACCCTTTAATTCCAGAAAGTGTCTTCACGATTTGTTTAGTCTCAAAGTGTTCGGAGCATATATGCAAGTTCTTGATGGACGATAATTAGTTACCCGGCTATCTCGCACAAACAAAATCCTAGCCTATTCATCGTCTCAAGAAAAGTGGCTCAACATTGATAACAATAGGCTTTGTTATACAAGCGAAAGATGACCTTATATGGCCATTTTTGAACAATGGCGCAAACAGCTTCAGAACACGTGAGGGATTTGTCGAAGTTTTCATTAGCATACGAGCGGGAAATTTTAACGCTCGGAAAGACCGAAGGAAAAACAAATTCTCCCTGGGGAGGGTGATACTGGTAGGATTCGTTCGGTACAAATAACCATGGTGCGGGGGACGGGTAGGGGCGACGGTTGCATAGAGGTGAACAATATTAAAGCTTTGAAGGCGGTGGCTTAAAACTATGATATCGCCACTGTTTGCTTTTGTCTTGCTTTAAACTAGCCAAAGATATATTTAAATATTTATCCAGAGACGCACTACGCTAGGTACTGACGATGAGAGCATACATTTAGCCAAGGGAGCGAGGCGTTCGCCATGCAGTCATAAACTACGAACAGTCCCTCTCTACTCTGTCCGATCATGATTTTCCAAGCAGACAGCGAAAAGAACATTTGAGAGGAGAAAATAGCAGCGAGAAAGTTGGAGGGGGAAACTTTCACTTTCTCGCTCGACGGACTATCGAATCACGAATTCGCCGTTCACAGATTTATCTTTCATAGTATAAGAGCAGTTCAAATCTCGCGCGCGCTACGCAAGTCAGACTTAATTCTTTGTGTGCATAATAAGTAATAGTAATAGGACTGAATGGAGTCCAATTCGGTCTGTAATCATACGAGTGATGACGAAATCGGACGACCGCGCAGCAGAAGTCCGATTTGTTTATTACGAATATGATAACACACTGTCCGATAAAAGATTTCGCGATTTGGCAAAAAATTTACGCAGAAAGAGGTTAAAAACACATCAATAACGTCAGCGGCGGTATTGTATCAGCTAAGTTTATTCATGTTTATTGGCGCGTGTCTACTTACTGTCTACCATTTACCCTCGTAAATGCGTGAGTTCAGTGCAAAACTGTGAAAACATTTGTAGACACCTTTCAATTTACGCTGATGCGTGCATGTTAATGCGTAAATCTGTTACGGACGGATTTGTTTGTGAGCGAGACCTAAGAGGGGGCGGCTGTACACAGGCTACTTTGTTGCGTACCGCGCGCTTGATTGAAGACAAATGGAATCAATGCACGCGCGCTTTGAAAACTAAAAGAGCTATATTAAGCAGAATTTCACAACGAGTATTAGAATTCGGTTAAATTCTGTGACAGTTTTCGCTTCGCGCTCGATTAAAACAAATAAGAAGTGCCATAATACACGCGTCTACAAAAACTACAAAACATGTTTTAAACAGTATATTTCAACGAAGATTGTTTACCTGTTATCCATTCAAAGAAAAAAAGTGTCACCTCCTTTACAAAATGCCTTTATAAAAAACATTGGTTTCAACCATCAAATTCACGTATATACCACATTTGTCTCATCGCCGTCGTTAAGACTAGTTATGTAGCAATTTGGAAACTGGCCAAGACATTTGGCTGACCATTATGTGGAAGGTTAATGACATAACTCAAAATATCAAACTTTATGACAGCTAATACTAACATTATCCTTATATTAGAAGTGTTTGGGAACTACTAAAATTAGAAATGTTCTGACGTATTTGGGAATTGCTGTTAGATTATCTTGTAATCCTTGTGTGAGTCTCATTAGCCTTGGTTTATCATGTGCTGCAAGACCACACGTTTATTTTTACCTTTTGAGTAGTGTGTCCTTGACCGTCGTAATAGGGTTTAATTCTAGTACCATAATCGTCATCACTAGACGTGTTTGGGTTTTTCCTTGTCCTTGCTTAGAGTCCTCATCAGGAAGTTTTGTTTAGGGTTTTGTTCTCGAAGATTGGTTGTTTTTCAAGTACTTTGTTGTTCGTTTCGAATGTCTTGCGAAATTGTTTGGGTTGGCGTTCTAAATATATGTTCCCTCTCCCGTGAGCTCAATCATGCCTACCGACAGGATGTTTATGAGCGTTACTCAGAGCTGAAAGAGAGAGAAAGACATTTATACAGAGACTCAGAGTGGTGCTTGAACTACTCTATTCTAACAAGACCCAAGAAACGGTCCAAAGAGAAAGCAAGGTTCCTATATGCAGTTATCAACAAAATCTTTAGTTTTTCATATTATAACTAAGAGCGCGGCATAAACATGCTAATTTATTGAGAGTAGAACAAACGTTCTCTTATCGCTTTTAATGCTATCTTCATTAACTATATACTTAGATGTCGCATCTTCGACCAAAGCGATTTACGATGGTATTCGTCTTATACTTTAATGTGGTAATTTCTACAAATCGAAGATTCCATCAATCTTGTTTCTTTTATCTTCGAGAAAAGTAGATACGGATCTTTGTCTTGCGGTTTGAGGCAGACGTTTCCCTAATAACAAAAGGTATTGCCGTATCGACGTTTTTTCTTACAGTCATTCAAGAAAAGCGCTTGAGCATGTTTTCTTCTTTTATATTGGAAACAATTCTAAATTTTTCTTTTTTAAGATTTAACTCTTCGGTTTTGGATCTCGGGTTATCATTTTATCGGCCACCCTGGGGGAAAATATATTGTTTATGGTAATCAACTTCGTTAGAATTCCGTTATGAAATTCAGACGACGCCGGTTTTGGATGCGTCATCTTAATAAGTCAAGATAATATTTTGATGTTCCCTTGAAAAAGTCGTGCGTTTTCTCTCCCTGTTCTTATGACCTCAAGCATCGCAAAACTTCGAAATTCTTTCCCTGCTCCATTGCAGCTGAATATCATAGTAGAACTGGGGTAAAATGGAGTTCCGCAAAATGCATGGATTCCTCAACGCACGTTAGTTCTCGAAGAACATAAAAAATGCGGTATGTCGAAGTTGTAAAAAGGCCGAGAATCAAGGAATTCTGAAAAACGGCGCCGAGCATTTTAATGAATACCTTTTCTCATTTTATTCAACCTCACTTTAAAAACATCTAACCTGATAGATCTTGGCACGAGTTGTCGAAAGTTCAAGTTTTGTAAAATTTCGAATAAAGCTTCATTGTTTACTAGACAAACTGATTAAATATTCCTCCTCCTTGTTCTCGTTTTAACTTGTTCATTTGAGTGTGTATGATACCGTGAATTCCGTTTCCTATCTCATACCAGTTGTGTTATCGAGAGTGAAATCCTCTTCTGGAAGAATTCGCTTTTTCACCGCAAGCGACACTTGACAGGAACCGAGATGAAAATTCACGAGATTCTTCCGCTTTGTATCGTACTGTTTGCTTCAGGATGTGTATCAGGTATACAGATAAATAAGCCCAAACTTTACCCAATATTCATTGTTTTTTCGGCCGACCGAAAAATGGTTGTGACTCATCTGAGAAAATTCTCTGATTTCATAAGCTCGATAATGCTCGTAGCTATGAAACGTAATCAGATGGAAACGTCTTTTGTAGTCCTTTGGAGTTTTCTGCCTGGATGCATCCTAAGAAGATTACCAAAAATTTCAGTTGCATACGTCTCCGTCAGGGAGGGTCCAGCTGGACTATTATCAACATCGGAGGCGCACTTTTCGTCAAAATTCCTCATAAATCAGTGAATTTCCTCCCCGGTGTATTGCCCTTTGGGGTGGAGGCAGTTCGATGGCTTTTGCTATTTTGCAAGAAGCACGACCATGACTTGGTACTAGGCCCAAAATTATTGTAAACGTAGGGGAGGAGACTTGGTAAAGATTACAAATGCGCGAGAAAACAAGTTCGTCTTCGGAGCCTGCGGTTACTTTTACGTAAATGTATCATTATGGAAATGTATCTAGCTCAAGTATCATCGCACTAAAAGCGCACATACTGTTTCAATTAAACTAAATAATTGAGTTTCTTATCTTATAGCGTATTGCCCTTGGGGATGGAGGCAGCTCGACAGCTTTTGCTATTATGCAAGCAGCACATCCATGACTTGGCACCAGGCCCAACGATTCTGTCGAAGACTGGGAGGAGACCTGGTAAAGATTACCAATGCGCGGGAAAACGAGTTTGTCCTAGCCGTCGCGAGGAAGTCTGCACCAACAAGGAAACAAGTGTGGATCGGCCTGATGTGGACCGCTAACGACTTTTACTGGAGTGATTACTCTGTTCCAGTCTACAAAGCCTGGGCTCCAAATGAACCGAATGGAAAATCCCGGGAACCATGCAGCAACATGTGGACTGGGTATACTTCCGTTCTGCCAATCAGAGCAAGCGGTTACTGGAATGACATGCCTTGTACGGTATCATCTCACGTGCCCTTTGGCCTGGTGTGCAAAAAGCTCGCTTGAACTGCTAACGCTGGAATACCAAAAATCGACGCTGGAGATTTAGAGGCAAAATTTGGTAATGGGATATTTTAAAAAAAAATCATAAGATAAATTGTAAGGTGTAAAGAAATGCTTGTTTTACAATAAAGCGTTAGCTTAAGTCATTTAACTTGTCCTATTACTGTGTCTGACGCTATCAGTGCCAATTTGGTCAAACGAATAATTCAATTACTACGAAACAGTCAAGTCAATATTTGGCTCTTATCATTCTGCGAGGTCAGACGATTGCCTGAAAAGATCAATTAAAAGAAATGTCTGATTCATGGAAAGAGAAATTTTATGACTTATGTAGATGCTAGTCATAAAATTTGCCGGACTCACAGGAAGAAATGGTACCGGCCACCAGAATAAAAGTTTTCCCATTTCTCTTATTTCTTTTTTAAGGGGGGAGGGGTGGGAGCACAAGCTGATGCACATATATGAGGTATCAGTTTCTTGTGAACAACACAGAAGTGGACAAAGGGATTGAAAATTTTTGGTGGGAGGAGTGGGTGGTGTGCAAAAATTCAACTAGGCAATGTTCTCCCAAAAGTGACGTACATACTGGCCTCTTTCTTTTTTTCTTCATCGGCCTTCAGGTTGAGCTCTATTGTGTTTTCTCTTGTTCTAATCTTGATTATTATTGGCTGATTAGTGGTCAGTTGTGGGCTGATTCCAGGTTATGGTGCAGCTGCTCAGTAATAGATAAAACATGACAAAAAATATGAGATAGGAAAAACAAGTGGCACACAAGGCGCAGCCAAGTGTGTCACTGATGTTCTCACTGCATCTTGACATCTTATGTGATCTGCCGTAAAAACAGATGCATGACAACATGGAATCTGTTTGTTTTGAATAATAAAAAGCAAAATCTTGTTAACAGTGAACTCATCTCTGTGTCTGTCGTCCAATAGATCACAAGTGAGAACCAATTAAGTTAGTAAATAAGTAAATCCTTATTTCAATAGGGCGCACAATTACAGTCAAGACTGTATTCTCCCTTATGGCCCTATTAAACTGAATAACAATATTTCTAATCATAGACATTTAAAATACTAAATAACAAGATATTAAGGATATTAAAATAATTAAGATCACATGGAACTTACAATCACATTAATAAAAACTAGAATATTCTGTCAGTTTTAAAACTATCATGTGTGAATTTACACCTAATGCAGTCAAGGTAGTTTAAAACTTCTTTAGATCGGTGGAATAAACAAAGTCATTATCGCTAATATTCTTCCACAATTGAAGAGCATCAAAAAAAATTCGTTTCCTGTTAACGTTGTTGGTTCGTGGAGTGGGGAGGTGATAAGGCATCCGAGATCTTGTGTCATGAGACTTGCAGTATTTCATTTAACAAATAGATTCCAAGTTGCCGTGCGTCTGTTCAGTAATAGCTCACAGATGACGTCAAAATGTGGTAAGAGCAATGTTCGTCAGAGTAATGACTGTTCGATGTTCAATGTTCGTAAGAGTAATGCTCGTCATCTACACGTCTGTCCTCCAATAGATCATAAGTGAGAACCAATCAGAATGCGTGCATAACTAAGCTTATTATATAAATGATGATAGTTTCTCAGTGAGAAAGATTCCAATATTTTTTTTGAAACAAAATTAAACGTCTTTCAATACAGATGTGGATAAGAGATAGCCATTCAAGTTTATAAAATAACGGTGAGGTTCTAGCTTGGAAGGGAGTATCGAAGATAAGACGCGCACATCGCTTTTGAACCTTAAAAATGTCATCCAATAGTCCTGCATTACAGCTTGCCCAAACTGATACATAGTACTCAACCATGGGTTTGATACTAGCATTGAATAGAATTATACGATATTTAATTGGCAAGAATTTTTTAATGCGGGCCAGAACAGCAACGCGCTTTAAAAGTTTCTTCCTCAGATTTGTTACATGGTTTAAACAAGAAAGGGTGGGGTCAATATCCAGATAAGATAAAGATAAAAGATAAAGATTTATTAGTTTTCCACTAAATGGGTTTTAAAAACTAATTACAATCAATGTTAAATACATTAAAATTGAGGATCTAAAATTCTAATAGATGTTAAAATATATCGTATTGCTAATTAAAAACTACTAAGAAATTCCTTTAAATGTCTCTTGAAGATTGGCAAATTATCACATTCTCTTATTTCACATGGAAGAGAATTCCAGAAACTCATTGCGCGGTATAAAAAAGTGCGTTGCCCAGAAGCTGACTTATAAGCTGGGGTATTCAAGTTATTCTTATATCTAGTATTACGGTCATGAACGCAAGCACGTGTCTTAAATCTATGACAAAGGTAGCTAGGGGCTAACTAAAAGACGTTCCTCTTGAGTTTGCTCGAGTTTCCTATCGTCTAAGAATAGTGTTAATGCACATTCTTCACAACGAGACAGTATATTTCTCGTACCAATGATCATGAATTTCGTTTTTTCCGAGTGGGTTACCATACTGTGTTCTTTAGTCCATATCGTCGTACTATCAATCTGGAGTTGCAGCTGAACGTCTGTTAAAGTTACGGCGCTGGCAGAGAAAGTGGCATCATCAGCAAACAAGCCATTCCTACGTTCCCAGGAGAGCGGTAGGTCACTGATAAACAGGAGAAAAATATCGACCCAAGATCGAACGCAGGGGAATACCAGAGGCCAATACTTCGGTATCAGATACAGTGCCTTTAAGATTCACACACTAACGACGGTCTGTAAAGTAGCTCTTAAACCAAAGTAGAAATGTAGGAGAACAGCCATAAATTTGCAGTTTGGCAGTTAACAGGTTATGATTCACCATATCAAAGGTTTTACGTAGATCCAGGAGGATCGCACCGGTATATAGGCCTTGGTTCATCGTTTCTAACCAATCATCTGTCATTCTAATCGAGATAGACACGGCTGAGTGATGAGGTCGGAATCCAGATTATGTCGAGACAATGAGATTAAATGAACGGAGGTATAGCATGAAGTGAATACGTGTGTCTTTCAAGTAGCTCTGAAATAATTGGAAGAACCGAAATCGGACTAAATTATTCGGATCAGAGGGTGGCTCAGAACTGTTGTAACTCGTGCTAGTTTAAGGGCAGAGGGGCATATACCAGATTGGATACTACTATTTAGAACCTTGGTAAGACTTTCCAGAATATCCAGAGAGATAAGTTTCAATAAAGGAACACTTATTCCATCTAGGCCCATGGCAACATTTGGAGAGAGAGCAATTTTCATAACTTGCCTAAGGTGTTGGTGTCCAGAAGAGGAATTTAAGAGTTTTTTGTCGACGGTTTCTAGCGTTCGCATTCATCTTCCCTGAATAAAAGTATTCATAACCAATAGTCTCCATCTAGCACAAAAATATGCCGTTAGTTTTGCCCACGGTTCCTAGAATCAAACAGTTTTCTTAAATCACAGCATGAGGAAAATTAGCTTTCTCATTGCTTTATATTTTGTTAACTTCATGCCTTGCACCAAATTTTGGAATATGAATGATAAAATAACCCAAGTAGGTTTTGTACATGTGATACATGTTAACTTCAAGTAAGTTTGAGATTACAATAGATGTGCATGAAAATGTCTTCATTTCACTTGCATGCCTGAAATGTACACAAAACAAACTTTGCACTAGGACTGAGTGATAATTAAATTAGGTTGTTTCATGGACAATAATTATGACCAATGTAAGTGTTTTATAATAAGAAAACTTTTAGTTCATCTCTTTTTTCCACTTTTCAGATCAAATGACAGAAAAAAAAAAACACCAGAGATTATGATATTTTTGTGTAGGTATGTAATAGAGCAGCAGCTAACTAAATGGAAGAGTTCAGAATTCTGCTTTAAGCATTACAGTGAATTCTATGTCCTGTGCCTGTATTTGTTTTTAACCAAACACTTCTCTACTTAAAGCATTACAGTGAATTCTGTGTCCCACACCTGTATTTGTTTTTAACCAAACAGTTCTCTACTTAAAGCATTACAGTGAATTCTGTGTCCCATGCCTGTATTTGTTTTAACCAAACACTTCTCTACTTAAAGCATTACAGTGAATTGTGTCCTGTACCTGTGTTCGTTTCTAACCGAACACTTCTCTACTAAATTATTCAGTGAATTCTGTGTCCCGTGCCTGTGTTTGTTTCTAATTGAACACTTCTCTACTTAAAGCATTACAGTGAATTGTGTCCCGTACCTGTGTTCGTTTCTAACCAAACACTTCTCTACTAAATCATTTCAGTGAATTCTGTATCCTGTGCCTGTGTTTGTTTCTAATCAAACACTTCTCTACTTAAAGCATTCAGTGAATTCTATGTCCCGCGCCTGTGTTCATTTTTAACTGAACATCTCTCACATCTAGAAACTTAATTGTGGGTCTTCATACCATGACCATCTGTTAGTTTCAGCAGCCTTTTCCACTTTAGGACAGAAACCATTAACACATTCCTCTTTCAACTGAAGGACCACATCACCAAGCTGCATGTAATCTTCTTTCACATTATACACTTGAACTGACACTCGGCACCACAAAGATGCCTGAATGCTGATAAAACATGCAATAACATTGTACTTGTGGTATACATCAGACATCATCTTGTCTGCTCCTTTTTGTGTGGCTCCATAGGCTGCAGACAGTTCTCCAGGGAGGCGGATGACAGCCATAAATGGAGCACGCATTGACTCTGGAATGGGAAGAACCTCTGTGTCCCAAGTTTCAGCTAATGTTGTTGATGCCCAAGTTGCAAGCTGGCTGTTGTACTTTGTTATTGCACCCTAGTTACAATAGATATTACACCTCTTCTTAGCTATTGGCTGTCAAGATCACCATTGATTGATTATCCTACTTTCTAACTGCCACACATTTCATTGTAATGTGCTGATCAATTCCAAGCATCAATACATTATCTCCCCTATCTCCCCCCTCCCCCTGGGAATTTGATTGTCATCTGTGCCTGGAGGGGGGTGTGGGAAATTTGAACCTTGCCTTAGTGGGTTGGGGAATTCAAACCAGCAGAAAACATGTTTCAATATTAAATATAGAGGAATTTAAAGATAAAGAGTCTGCTTTTGTGAGAAAATGGCTTAGAAGTAAATTTTTAAATCGCAGAATGATGCTTATGAGCAGAAAAAGCCAAACAACAACACCAAAAACCAATATGTGACTTTGCAACTTTCTACAACATTTGTTGATCATCTAAAGATTGTTGGGAATTCAACTTTGACTGGGGTTCAAAATGTACACAAGGAAAGCCCCAAAAGAACATCTTGGGGCTTTCAAGATGTTTTCTCTCATCAGAACTACTTCTGACCAATCACATTACTTTCAGACAAGACCCCTTTTCCTCATTCAGTCTCCTTAAATTGTTGGCCACTGATTTCCAGTTGCACAAAGATTGCACAGGAGAAAATCAAGAGAACCATGTACTCACCATGCCACCAATTTCTCTATAGAACTGCACAGCAGCTGCAGCTGAAGTATAAGAAGTGTGATCTATAGTACCCTGTTGAAAGAACCTGTCCTGAAGATTTTTGTCATGGAACCATGACACGACTTGAGGGATGATGACATCATGGAATTTGGGACTCACCCATAGAATAGCACAGCCACGAGGGGCAAAGAGCCATTTATGAAGATTCCCTAGAAAGGAAAATAAGAAAACTTTATTTACCAAGTTTTACTGTCAGTGAAAAAGATCTGCATGCATATTTAAAACTTACAATAAAAATTTAGGAAAGGTAACAAGAAATCATAGCAGTTATAGAACAAGGAAACATCTCCCATGTGAGGATTTTACCCCTACCCTACCCCCCTACTATTGCACCTTTATAGTCCTGTATTCTGCTAGGGTGGGGTCAACAGTCAAAACCATCCTGAGTCGCAATCAGTTATAGAACCGGGAGAGATTTTCCAAAAATGTTCAATAAGTTTGAAAGGAAGTGAAAAGATTGTTTCTATTTCATTCCAGTAATCACCCTGCATACTTTTCTCTCCCTTGCCCCAGCCCACACATGGAGACTATAGAGGTGACAAAAATGAAAACAGTTACAGACCTAATGGCTGAATTATTCATTAAGATCCAGAGAATAAAGGGAATGATCACCAACCTAAGAAGCTCTGATTGTTAAACCAATTCTCCTAGTCAGTACTAAAGGAAATGTACAGAGAAGAGTACAGAGAATGTGGATACTGATATTTGGGTGTAACGGGTTAACTTACCCACAAAAAAGTCTGCACCAATCCTCTCAAGATCCAATGGGATTTGTCCAGGAGCATGAGCACCATCAATCAACACCAAAACATTGTGCTTGTGACAAACCTCTGATAGCTTTTTAATTGGAAGCTTCAATGCACTAATACTGGTGATTGCATCAATGATCACTAACTTTACATTTGTGTTCTCCTGCAAAACTTTCTCATAGTGTTCCACAATTTCAGTAACTTGGTACTTAATAGAACCAGTCATGTCTGAAGTTGGAAATGTGACATTGAGCACTAACAACTTTGCCTTCTTTTCTTGGCAGATTTCCTGAGCTGTCATTTGGACAGCACCGTAGGTCTGATTTGTTATCAGGATTCCATCCCCCTCTTGAAAATTAACACTGCGCAAAACTGCATTAATTCCTGATGTGGCATTGGCTATGAATACAAGATCTTTCACATTTGCTCCAACAAACTTGGCTACAGTTTCCAGAGATGAATTCCAAAGATTTTTCACCTTATATCTAAACCAGATATCAGGACATCTTTCCATCTCTTCCTGAACAAAAAAAAAAGAAACAAAACAATATAAACAGCTTACAAATTCAACATAATCTGCATTGCTAACTTCATTATTTCTTTTTCTTCTTCATTACAGTGACAGCAGACACTGAGTGGCTGGAAAATTACTTTTAAAAGCTGACAAAAAATCAGTTAGCAGGTGTGATACAGATTAAGTTTTACTTCTGAAAGAAGTCACTTAACACTTTAAGCTACATGGGTGGCAAAGAGTTGGACAGAATTTCTCCTTATGATATCAATATAATATCAAGCAAACAGGAAATGAGAATAAAAAAAAATATCCATTATGGGATTATAAGTTGATCGGATCAATATCAGTATCTGGGCAACTGCCCACCTACCCCTCCCCTAACTCAACAACAGTCAATTGACAACAATTTAAGGTTAATGTTGGGTTAGGGGAGGGGTAGGTGGGCAGTTGCCCAGATACTGATATTGATCCAGTTGATCCACCACCAAATTGGCCAAGCTAACATCATCAAAATGGTAAAATTGGCAGACAGTAAGGAGAATTACTGATAAGATCTGAAGTAAACCCTGAAGTAAGTTTTTGTGGAGGGTTATCTGTAGTAAAACACCCAGAGAAATCCAAACACAAAAAAAACGTTAATTAATGTTAAAATTACCTGATACTTCCATTGTGTTTCTTTGACCTTCTTAGGAATAGTACCATATGATCCATTGTTAGTCACTACAATGCTTTCATCAAGGAGGAACAAGTTCTTTTTTATATTTTTACCAAACATGGCAAGCCTATAATCTTTCCCAAATATAAAGGTGAATACTGCACTAACAGACTTGATTACTGCTGCCCACCACACAAATACAACAAAAGTTCCCAGCTGAAGAATCCTGAGGTTTAAAAAAAAAAAAGATACCAAATCCTTGGTGTTACTACCATCACATTAACCTACATTATTCTATCTCCTAGTTAGCTATGACTGGTCAAGTTACAGGGTTGCATTTCACTGTACCACTCATTTAACCCTTTAACTCCCATGAGTGACCAAGACAGAATTTCTCTTTACAATATCAATACAATATCAACCAGAAAAGAGTGATGAGGATAAAGAAAAATATAAATTTGGGAATAATTAGTTGATCCATTACTAAATTCTCTAAACTAACGTTATGATGATTGTATTGTTGACAGTGAGGAGAATTACAAATTTGATCTGGAAGTTAAAGTGTTAATTCAAAAGTTTGTGATTTGAACCTGTGACCTCTATGATATCTGTACAGTGCTTTACCAATCGAGATAAAAAGCCAACTGGGAGCTTGTCAATATGTCAGTTAAAAATAAACCCATGAAGTAATGAATAAATGACTGTGAATATATGAAAATCATATATGTGACCTGCAGATGATATATGAAAGTGATCTATATCTGCAGTTCACATACATGGTTTTCATATATTCACAGTCAATCAAAATACTGTAGATTCGTAGATCAGTTGTTAAGTCAGAGTACTGGTCTGAATTTAAGGACTATGGATGATAGACGCTCAATAAACTACAGATTGTAGATGACATATGGTCTACCTTTGTAATTCTCCTCCAAAATGGTTGACGTTAATATGACATTCATGTGATCTTAAACAGATCAATTCCAGAAAAAAAAATCCTCTGTGTACATTTTTGTGACTTAAAAATTTCTGAGACTTTCATATAATTTTTCTAACAATCATTTCCATTTAAATAGAAATGATTTAGAAATATACTCGAAGCATGCATACCTAATGTACTTAATTTTATGTAGTCTTTCTTGTACAGAAAGTATATCCACTTTCCCGTAAAATATGAAACAAGTAAGAAAAAGAGTGTATTGTATCTCAAATAAATAGGCGCAATGACCACAAAAAATAAATATATTGATAATTTTATATTCAAGCTTAGTACGTGTACCATCTTGCGCTAGTGCTCGTGAATTGAATAAATTTCACAGTTTACTAAATTTCATTTTCCAATTGTAACGTGAGCTCAGTGTAGACTTGAACTATGAAATGACAACTTTAAAGAATACCTCCTCATACGGCTTCCTTTCAGAGAATCAGCATCCATAGTTTCCATAAGTAAAGATTCTTCAAACACGAATTCGCTTTGTAAACATACAACAACAAACTATCGCAACTCGATCGAATTTACTTCACATACGCGTTGTGTGAATTACAGAACAAAAGGTATGGACTGGAATGAATAGATCACTGAGTGAAGATTATGTAAAAGTTGTGACATATCGTCAGGTTTTTTTGAAAAAACCACTAAAACTCGTGCAAAAATTAGAATATTCCAGCAGATGAACCCCTGCTCGTGAAACTAGCCAATCAACCGCCAACGGTTTTGCCAACGTGAATAATTCCCATGATACATTACAAGGGTGCGCTTCATCTGCGTCATTGTAGAGTCGGTTGATTGTCTTTGATTTTGTAGCGACGTTAAGGTAGAATATCCTTCGAAATTCTCTTTCTTTTTTGCCCATCCATGATTCAGTTCACCTTGATTCGAAAGCACACAGCGGCCTTCTTAAGGCTACGTGGTTTTCGTCTCCGTGGAAAGCTATTTTTCCAACTAAGTGCGTTTCGCTCTTTTCTGTCAAGGCGGCACTTCTTGCATCATGGCCGAAGTTGGTGATGAAAACGAATTGTTGGACTACGAAGAGGAGGAGACAGAAACCCCAGCTGAAGCGCAGGCGACCAAAGATCTGGCAAAGAAAGATGTTAAGGGTACCTACGTCAGTATCCACAGTTCTGGCTTCAGAGATTTTCTCTTGAAACCAGAACTTCTTCGGGCCATCGTTGACTGCGGATTCGAACATCCTTCAGAAGGTATAGAAAGCCTACAATAATTTACGTTGTTGCTATATTTCAGTTGCAAAAACCGAATTCCCTTTTCCAGAAAGTTTTTTTTGTGTCTTTCGTCCTTTGAATGTTTTTATTTTCCCTTCGATGTGTAAGGTGATGGAAAAGTCTCGGCTTAATAAAAATGTAGCCAGTTACTGTTTGAAATGAATATTAATGAGATAATTTATTAACAGAAAATGCTGCAGGGCGTGAAATTAACTTTTTTTTCTGATAGCCAATTCAAAAAAAGTTGGTCGCCATTTTCGAAGACAAACAAAATCTTTCTTTACGCTGTCAGCGTTCTAGATAGACCCTCCAAAATTAAGTTAGGGAAAAGATCTTTAACGTGCTACAAAGTGGACACTAGCATGGATGATATACAACTTTCAGGCTCATCTTAATCCAATATGGCGTCTAGTTATCGATCGAGGTGCATGTGCTACGTTTTGGAAACAAACTTAACGAGGAAATTTGCCGCGGATTTATCTTTGGAAATCTTTTTAATTCGCTATATCTCTTGGTAAGGTTATGATGAAACGTTCTAGTGGCCAATTTGGCAACTAACTTTCAGGATTTGGTCGCCAAAGTGAAAAATTTAGGCGCATTGGCACCTGTATTAGGCGCAATTTCACGCCCTGTGCTATGATCTTTTGTTGTGAGATCCATTACCCATGTTTGGCCCAAGACTAGTTAGCGTTTCCATGATGGAAAAAGAAATGAAATTACATCTTTTGAAAACTCATATTGGGCAAACAGGAAAGACCACAAGGAAATCCTGTAGATTACTGCATGCATGTATTAGGTAATAACTCGTTGCATCTACAGTATTTGCAAGGTTTTTTTTACAAGATGTTCCCTTCTTTTTCACAGTTCAGCATGAGTGTATTCCTCAAGCAATCCTGGGCATGGATATTATCTGCCAGGCCAAAAGTGGAATGGGGAAAACAGCAGTGTTTGTTCTTGCAACGCTTCAGCAGCTAGAGCAAATTGATGGCCAAGTCAGTGTGTTGGTTATGTGCCACACACGAGAGTTGGCCTTCCAGATCTCTAAAGAGTATGAAAGGTTTTCTAAATACATGAATAACATCAAAGTTTCAGTGTTTTTTGGCGGCATCAGCATCAAGAAGGACCAGCAGACCTTGAAAACCAACTGCCCACATATTGTTGTGGGTACCCCAGGCAGAATATTGGCACTGGCACGAGAGAAGTCATTAAATCTCAAGCATATCAAGCACTTTATCCTTGATGAGTGCGACAAGATGTTAGAACAGCTTGGTAAGTGTTACAATCCTTCCCTCAGCAGCTCCTCCCTAGAGTTGTAGTTGAAGTTGATTTGTTCTGGGGTGTTGTTAGTCTCTTTTCCTTGAGCCTTGGAAGGGTTTAAATTCCTTGGGGGAGACATTTTTAACTTTCTTTGATTAGATTACCCTCTGTTGCTAAATACTTCCTCAATTCTTGAACAGCTGCCATCCATGCATTTATATTTGAACTTTCAAAAGCTGTATGTTTAAAATAGGGTAGGGAAGGGAGCAAAATACCAGCACAATAATTAGTGGAGGTGCTCTCAAACCATTACCCCTTGATAACCCAAGAAATCACCCTGCTCTTGAAGTCCACTGATCAGTGTTGTCTCAAGTTCTACCTTGCTCTTATTGCATTTAGCCTTAGGTCTAGGACTAAGGTGAATAGTATTAGTGGTAGTATTGATTAATCTTCTACTGTTTCATCTTTCAGATATGCGAAGAGATGTGCAAGAGGTGTTCCGCATGACTCCACATGAGAAGCAAGTCATGATGTTCAGTGCAACACTAGCCAAAGAGATCCGCCCTGTCTGCAAGAAATTTATGCAAGATGTAATTATACCTCCTAAGTTCCATTGTGAAGTCTGTTGTTGAGCATTCATTACCCTCATGAAGGAGGTGATGGAGAAGCAGCTGTAAGGCTGATTGGCAATTATTGGCACTTCCTTGCAGCAGAGTTGTTTGGCTTGTTTCTGTTGGCTGGCTTTTGGACTTTTTTTTTTCTCTAATGATGGAGTGAGGGCTTAATAGATGGTTTTTTAATGAATAAGCTTGTTTGGAGCATGTTTCTGGGTGTTAATGGTAGAGTTAGGAAAGTTGTATTAGCCAATAAAGTTGTGGTCAGTTGTGTTGGTTTGTGTGCGAGTTGATTTGGTCATTCCTGGTTATTAGCAGTGGGTCATTCATTGGTTTGTATTGTACAGTCTGTGTCTAGGGTTATTTGATGATGGTTGTATGTTTGGCTTGAAAAAATTGAGGTGGTTCTTTGTTGCAAATGTGTCTCTGCTTGGAGGTGCCATTGTTGCTTGTCACTATACCTTGGTTCAGTGAAGGAATGTTCGTGGTCAAACCTTCAGAAGTCTTGATCATGAAGTGTAGCAAGCTAGCTCAAGCAGGAGCAGCAGCCATTACACCAAGTCAACTGCCTCATCTGATGTCAGTTGGTTTCCTCTCCTTCAAGTTCCCAGCCCCACAAGCTGTAACTAATTGGATTGTGTGACGTGTTTGTGTTGTTCTTTTTTCATGTCAGATCAAACCTTTGGTAGTTTAAAATAACTTTTGTCGTTGTTGTGTATGTGTATTTGTCTGTATAAGGTGCCTATTATGGGTTTTTTTGCGTGTTTTGTTTTGTTTTGATTTTTTTCAAGGAAGATTTGTTGGTGACATGTTACAATGCCCAAGAGTGCATTAGGTTTTTCTTATAGTTTAAATTACTATGTAGTACGCTCTTAAGTACACAGAGGTTGATCACTTTGATATTGTCAGGGAATCAATCTGTTTTTTAAGCTCCATTTTACATAGTAATTGTTGTAAATGTGAATTTGTTTTGTTGGGGTTGTTTTTTTGTCTTTACTTCCCCTTGGATGTCATAGTATTTTTTCCAACTCCCTCTTGTGGTAAAGAATGTTGTTCTGTTCTCTTAATTAAACAGCCAATGGAAGTTTATGTTGATGATGAGACAAAACTCACCTTGCACGGCCTGCAACAGTACTATGTCAAACTCAAGGATCAGGAGAAGAACAGAAAGCTTTTCGACCTTTTAGATGTATTAGAGTTCAACCAGGTATCTAGATGTAGTTATAGTCATTTGAGGAGCTGCTGTAGTGAGAGGAGGACTCGGATCCAAATTGGATACAAAAGTGTCATGAGAGAATACCAATTTTGGAAAGATATCATTAAAAAAATCATTACAAGAAACCAAGTCAGCATTGGATTCCAAGACTAGCATTACACCATGAAATTGAGTAATACTCAATCAAGATCAAACTTTGTCACTCAAAACTGGTTTCCCCAAAAGTGTGTTGTGAATATTTTTCAAGAATAGGGTTTCAGATTTGCATTATCAGTAGAGTTCAGATAAAACAAAGCAGAAGCTTTGGTGTGGAAAATAGGGCTTCTTATGGGGAAGTTCTTAATAAAGACTGAACAATATTATAGCATTACACTTTATGGTTAATATCAGAGATTTCTAATTAACAAGTTGTGGTTATTTTTGGAACATTTGTTTTTTGATGTTGATTTTGAAGTTTATCTGGGCTTTTTGTGGTGGACAACTTAAATGCTTATACTATTTGCATTTGGGTCATCTTTGATCAAAGCTTTGACCTTCCACTTAACAGCTGTGTCCATGTTTTCTGTTGTTTCTCTATGGAGTATTGACCTAGTGTAAATGAACTTTTACAGGTGATCATCTTTGTCAAGTCAGTGCAGCGCTGCATTGCCCTTGCTCAGTTGCTGATTGAGCAGAACTTCCCAGCAATTTGTATCCATAGAGGAATGGAACAAGAAGAAAGGTGAGTGCCAGTCATTATGCAGTAAGTGATTTTTTTGTTTCAGTTGCCCCAATTTAAAACCAAATGATGGTTTTGGAAGTTAAAAAATATGACGACTTGAATAGGTACTTTTTTCCCCATTTATATACACAGAAAAGATACTATGGTGATGATCAAACTATCTCCTAAGTTTTGATACTTTGTTTCCTTGTGGAGCCACCCTGTATTTCTTTTCTCTGTTAGGTTGAAGCAAGTTTAAAAAAACTGTGTCTGAGTTATATATTTATTTCTTCATTCTAACTAAGTTAAGTTAACTTTGGAATTTTGACCCCTTATACAAATTTTTTTTATGGAATACTTTGTTGTCATTTGCAGATTGTCTCGCTACAAACAGTTTAAAGATTTCTCCAAGAGAATGCTGGTAGCCACCAATCTGTTTGGTCGTGGAATGGATATAGAAAGAGTTAACATTGTGTTTAACTATGACATGCCAGAGGATTCGGACACCTACCTTCACAGGGTTTGTTAGCAAGAATATATCCTTCGTGTGCAAGCCAACTTTTTCCTACTATAACTTGCTCTAGGATTGTACTGCTGTTCAAGCTTAATTATATCTTGGAGAATGTATTGTTTTTCATTTTGATGATTTCCTCCTTAAAGGTTGCTAGAGCTGGACGTTTTGGCACCAAAGGTCTTGCCATCACCTTTGTCTCAGATGAAAAAGATGCTAAGATATTGAATGAAGTCCAAGATCGCTTTGAAGTAAATGTAGGAGAACTCCCAGAGGAGATTGACCTTTCAACATACAGTAGGTGTTAAAGTTTCAGTGTGGAAGTTTTACTCTAAACATTGTTTTTTGCAGCTGTTCAATTGGATACAACTGATTTCTTTAAAAAGGAGAATTTAAGAGGCCTTTAGTAAAATTTCAAACATTTGGCAATGTCGCAGGAATTTTATGTAGACAACATGTAGGCTGCTAGTTTAAGATCTTCTATTTTATAATTACTGAACTTGAAGGAAATCTAATGGTACAGGGTTTAAACAGGTTTTCTTTCTGTTTTTCCTTTGCAGTTGAACATGTACGTTGAATTGATGAAAGTCACTCATAACTGCAGGATCTTGTAAATTAATAGCATAAGAAGTACCAAGGAAATTATTCTGCTCAACTTTCCTTTCATTTTTTACATAAAACATGAGGTTTCAGGAAGGTGTCTCTTTCTGAAACATTTTATCTATCAGTTAGTACGTGTGCATAAGCACAGACTTTTTTTTCTGTTTTTAACAATGTGTGTATTTTTACTGATCATGGAATAAATGAATATATATGAAATGTGGCTTTATCTGTTGGTTCAATTATCTAATTCATGGGTAACACCCTAAAGGACTTATTGGTGAAGAGAGAAAGACTTGTGTAACAAGTTGAAGACAAACAAAACCCTTTAAATGCATAGAGTGACCAACTTCAAATTTCTCCTAACAACATTCGAGAATAGAGCAGATGATCCAAACTTAAGAATTTTGTCCCAAATTCATGAGTTAAAATTGCTTCTCTATGGTCAAGTACATCTTGGTGCGTCCCCTCACACTCATTATGCTAGAAAATGACATTTGTCTCGGATACTCCTCTTAGGCTGTTAATCCGCCCTTGAAAACAATTATTTCAAGGTGTTCTTCCACCGAAGGCTATTGTTGTGCCGGTGGTTACTTCCTATCTTAGATTACTTAAGGTTTGAGGTCAATTACAATCGTCGGAGATTCTTGTAAATGGGACGAAACCATCGGAAAGGAGATGGATTCGCTCAGAGTCAGTCGACACCATTTAGTAATAAGCGAAAGCATAAAAGGGGTAAGTTTCTAAACTGTGATGCAGCGGCGTATAACATAATTTAGTGATAACAACTGAGTTGAAAACGTAAATTGACCACCGTAAAGAGTTTGAAGGCTGACGTTTCGAGCGTTGGCCCTCCGTCTACTACCAAACCATCCGGAAAGTATAAGATTTCGTCCTGGGCAAGCGATTGACGAAGGGCTAGCGAAAGATGCGTCTATAGCAAGGTTACCCACAACATTTCATCAAGATTCCCTGACAATTCATTGGTACCCATTTATACTCCTCCAGGGCCCAGTTTGAAGGTTGATTAGTGCTAACCCAAGGTTAAATTTTAATCTGGATTTCTTTATTCCTTTGTTCAAGTGCCTTTTTGGGATAGTTTTCCGTGCTCTTTATAGAGCATAAAATAATCATATTCTGGACAAAAAGAATCCGACTGAATTTTGTTTTCAAGCTATCAGATTTGAAATCAGATTTCACACTAGCCCTGGGTTATCTTAACCTAGCTTCCGGCCCTGGGTAGTGAAAAGCACTGTGGGAGTAGAGACCAAGAGACCGCCAGAAGACCTAAAAACCCAGAGACCTTAAGACGTATCGACCAAAAGACCAAAAGACCTACGACCTAAAAGGCCCACAGAGCCATTTGACTTAAGATATAACTTTTGACGTCACTGGTGCGTTTTACACTGCACATGAGCCTATTAGTCTTATCTGCTTTCTTGACAATAATCTTTGTCATGGCTGGCATTTCTATGTCAAAGAAGAAGATCTAGAGGGAAACATTCTTTTTTTAACAAATTGCTCGATAATACTCCTCTTCACGTTAAATGAGAAATTTTTGAACAGGAACCACAAAGCTATAGTCTCTCTCCTCACAAAAAGGAAAGCCTTGTGTGACGACACTGAAAAACCTGAAAGGTTTATGCCAGTTCCAGTCTCTGCGGTCTGTCTTGCGCAACAGTTGCATTGAACACGTGAAGTGAAAGGGGTCAGCGAGTTGTCTGGTACAGTTTGATGGTGTCAATTTGTAAATATATGGTTTCTCGCCGCTTTACCACAGCGGTACAGCTATCAGCAGAAATCATGCAACAAAGGACTTATGAAGTAAGTTGGTTTGGGGGTTGTTTTGCTTTTACGAAGATTAAGAAGCAACCGAGACTTTAATTTCGTTGCTCAGATATGCAAAGCTGTAGGGCGGTCATGGTTACTGTTTTGAACTTGCACTCATCGTGTAAATTCTACCAAGCATCTTTGACGAGATCTAATGACTTTCTTTGAAGGATGCTGTGAAGAAACTAAACTCTCTTCAAACGAATGCTCAAGTCCTGGAGCAAATCCGCAAAACACGGGGAAGGCTGGCACAGAATAACTTACCGGAGATGAGAAGCTTCACTGAGCGAGCTGGGGTTAAAGTGAGTTTTACTGGTTACACTATCCTTTGTTTGTTTTTTAAGCTACCGACAGGTTATCTGTTCGTTATTCTTTTTCACCTACAAGGCTCGGGAACGTGTCAGAAGCATATACAGTGTGTAACTTTAGAAATTCTTGCCATTGTTGTTGTTATTTCACGTGACGTTATTTTACTTTCGTGACAAATGTGAATTTTTGGCGGGTAATCATGTGTTAACAAAATTAGCGATCGTCATTTGAAGGTGAGATGTGTGGCCATGTCTGTGTTTATGGGGTGAAATGGGTAAAAACGTGAAATGTATTACAAAATTTTAATTCTTTTCCTTAACAATCTTTCCTTAATGTTGTCATTTAAAGTCTGGTAGAAAAGCATTAGAGAGCGCGATTTGAAACACTGCACTGTGCTATTGCGCGCTGAAGCTTGTCAAGTATCCAACATACTGTCTCTCCGATTGATTGTACAAAGTAGAATCAGTTTAATTTAATGAGATTTGTGCAATGAGAGCGTTATTAAATTCATGAAAACAACCATTCAGAACAACTCAGATGTCTCAGTTATAGTTAAGGGGGTAAGTTTCTAAAGAAACTGTGGTGCTGCGTCGGTAGGAGAGTACAACAGGGTAATTTAACTGTAAAACTCTGATGAAGGGCTAACACTCGAAATGTCAGCCTTTAAACCCTTTACGGTGACCAATTTACATTATCAGCTCAGTCGATAACTCTAAATTACCCTCTCGAATATATTCATCAGATTTGATTGGGTTCAATAATGCACTTTGTATTATTAATTGCCAATATTTTTCAGAAAAAACAAAAACAAAGCCAAAAAAAAAAAAGAAATAAATAATAATAAATATTCATCACTGATTTGACAAAAGAGTGAAAGGTGCATATATCAATTGAAATCAACTTGAAACAGTTTTTTAATCATGTGTTTTTGAACTATTAAGTTCACAAGAGTGTAATTCTTTTATTAACTAACTTCTATTTTGCCTTTTGGGGTTTTTTTTTAATTATTGCACTTTGCATTTTATTGGTGACAACTTTTTTGTATATAGTTGTTTCTTCTTAATTTAACTGGACGTTGTGGCTCCATTTGGATGAAGGGTAGCATTAAATTTTGGCTTACAAATGGAAGTTCAGAAATGTTTTAATCACACAGAGATACTATTTGCAAAGAATAAGATATGGTGGCTAATACCCCCTTGAATTTTTAATAAGAAAATGGTTCTTTGTTCATAGATGGAGGATCTAGATAAGCTGTCTATTATTCACATTAGCGGCACAAAAGGAAAGGTACACTATCATTGATTATTTTTTATTCTGAAGTAATTCATCTAGCCATCTGGTATCTTTTAAACCTAGATTAGCTTAAATCACACATTCCTAAGTTCTGTTGAAGTGTACAATCAGTTAGACCTCCCACGATTCAATTATTTAAATTTATACTAACAGTAATACTCCATATTTCAGAATTTCCTTGCTTTCAATGTTTGGTTGCAGTCCTAATTTCATATCTGCAGGTTTCTGTTTTTTTTACTTACACAAAGAATGATGTAGTACATATTAGTTGAACTGTCAATGTTCAGTGGTTGATTATTTATGAACCCTCCGACTCTCAGGAATGACCCAAAGAGAATTCCCTTTTAGATTTTCAAGCTCGAATTTTAGGTTGATTGAAGAAAAATCATTTGCCTTTTTTAGAAACAACTTTAAGGTTTTCCCTGTATTTCTTTGAAGGGCTCAACTTGTGCATTTTGTGAAAGTATTCTACGTCATGAAGGCCTGAAAACTGGATTCTATAGGTAAAATGAATACAGATGTAAAATCTTGTGTTAAACAAACAAAGGAGAATTTACAAGGACCAAGAACTAGCAGTAAATTCACTATAGGTGCACTACAGGTCTGATCAAGGAAAATTAATCAGGAGCTTTTGTCGTGATATCATCAGCTTTAAGACTCAAGTAGGACTTAATAGTTGTCTTTGGTCAGGTTTTACCTGCTAGTAAAGTTTATTTGTTTTGTTTGCTTTGTTTTGAGGTATTTATACCCCTGCTACAGTGTAGCTTCATGGTGCAAAGATCAGGATGAAACACTCACTACTAGTAGTGTAGTTTACAATAGAATTTTATATGTAACAGAGTTTAACCATGCAAACTTGTGTCACCCAGCTCACCACATTTGATGGAGGTCAGAGAGAGAATCAGAATCAATGGGAAACCATTACCTAAGGAGACGTTTGCAAAATATTTCTTTGATTGTTGGGATAACCTATTAAATAATGGTGATGTAAGTACCAAGGTAATTAAGTACATGTTATTTAATGCTTCTTGCATGTCAGAAAATACATAAGCTAAGGGGTGAAGAGTTTAGAAAGTGCAATACATTGGTATACTGTCTCAACACTGTGTAAGGTTTCTGATAAATGTTTTGGTAAACTGAACCTTACAAAATACTAGTGAATTGGTTGGATAATAAATGAAGATGCATCAAAATACAATACAACTTTCAGTGATGAATTGCAGTATCAAATAGAGAGAGGGGGTTTAACAACTTATAAATGTACCAGAAGTAACTAGACACTTTGTAAGCTTAACCCTTTAACTCCCAAGATCTCATTATCAATTCCCCTTACTGTCTGCAGAATGATTCTCATTATGTTAGTTTGGGGAATTTGGTATAAGATCCAATTAGTAATCGTATAATGGATATTTTTCTTTATTCTCATCACTTGTCTGCATGATATTGTATAGATATGGTAAGGAGAAATCCTCTCTTGGTCACTCATGGGAGTCAAAGGTTTAAGTCTTTTTTCCCCTCTTACTTCTATACTAGAGTATAATGTTACTGTAAATCTATGCTCGGTAGATTTGATAATGAAATGTGATTCTGATTTATCATGCAGCCTATGTATAATATGTCTTTTAAGAATTAAAATATGTCTTGGCTCTAATGAATGCAGTTTTATTGTGTTTCAGGAAGAAGGGAAAAACTCTATGCCAGCATACTTCAGATTTTTGACCTTGATGTCGTTTCATGTCTTCCTGAAAGAAAAGGTATAACATGAATGTAAAGTTAACCTACTAATTTAACCCTAATGGTTAAATTTTTTTACTGAAACATAACATACCAGTAAGTCTAGTTTTATATGTTTGCCTTACTTTGAACTGTTGCAAAACCAATTACATTTTACTTAGAGAAACATGATTTAAGTCTAATTTTGTTATATTAACTTTTCTACACCTGCTCAAAATAATGCAATGGATTGTGATTATTTGAGCTTGCATTATTATGTTACTGTAAGAATTACCAAGATTATATATTCAGTATTCAAATGTTAACCTAAATATATTAAACTAAAATTTATATGATTTTGCCATGTTTTGAGGTTGATGTGGTAATTCTTGAGGTTGGAATTGGAGGTGCATATGACTCTACCAACATTATCAGGTATTTGTTTGTATTCCATCTGTTGTTTGCTGTGTAATTACATAACAATTAATGCCCCAATCTCTTGAAATTCCTTACACACTAGTTTTTATATTCCGCTAAATTTGTAATTTGTGATGGAAATATCAAACTATAATATTGATATTAATACATGTCTATCCAGAAATCCTGTTGCTTGTGGAGTGACATCCCTTGGCATGGACCATGTAAGCACATTGGGTGGAACTATAGAAAGTATTGCTTGGCAGAAGGCTGGGATATTTAAGGTACATGTTATTCATTATAGTTACCTATTACTGTTTAATTTCACAAGATTCGCATTCATCATGAATGCTCAAAAGGGTACTTAAAGAATTGTTTTTTTTACTAATAATTACAAACTGCAAGCGCCAAAAAAAAAAAATCAAACACATGCAATTCCATAGGGAAATGTTGTGTGAACCAGAAACGAAACAGTAGCCATGCTCATTGACATCACATATTAAGATGACTTTACAAGTCTTGTAATTTGCCACATCTTCACTTGTTGCAATTGTATTTCCAGCCAGGAGTTCCTGCTTTTACTGTCCCACAGCCAGAAACAGCCCTGGATGTTGTGGCTAATAGAGCAAAAGAAATAAAGGTACCAGTCAAATTTCTAAATTTTTTTTTAACACCTGAACAATTTTCTGCAGTCATAATATTTATTGTAATCACATTTTCAGGCTCCTCTTCACATCATTCCTCCCTTAGATGACTATCCAGGAGGTTTGCCAGGTATTCCCACTATCTATTTTACCCTTTGACCTTTCAATTTCATGATCTTAGAACTAATTCTCTTTACTGCCTGCCATAAATCAATATTTTTCTAGAGTCACTGTTATTGCCTGCTTGCTTGTAAACACAATGTCGGTATTTACTGACTGGCCATTCCCAGGAAATTACAAAAGTGGGAAGGGGTTTAGGAATAGGATTGCATACATGTACTCCATATCCTTATTCATATTTTTTGGGGAAAAATGTAATTTTAATTTTTAAAATAACTAATAATGAAGGGGAACAATTTACATGTTTCTTTGAGAGAGGAGAATTACCGGTAATGGCTGCCACTTACCTGCAAAAAAAACTTTATGTTAAATTCATATTTATACTTCTTATGTGCTCTGATTAGATGATGTCACTCACATTTCTTTTTTTCATTTTTGGGTACTTTTTAAGTTCTTGGTCTGGAAGGAGATCACCAGTTATTGAATGCATCCCTCGCCGTACAGCTTTGTCAAACATGGGTTTCAAGAAGATACACAAAGGATGATAATCATGAAGGTTTGATTTTCATTTAGTTGATTGATTATTTAAATAATTAGCATTCAGATATTTTGTTAAAGAAATACATACTCTTGGGGGTAAGTGAGAATGCACAGTAGGAAGGGCAACCCTTTGTGCTAAGGAAAAGTTTGAATTGGTTTTGAAATTTATGCAGAACTACATTTCATTTGGTTTTCACTTGACGCTGTGCTCTGTGTGAATGATTTTGAGTAATTGCATGCATCCCTCAACTAGTTATGAATTGCAACATAAACACAAAAACTAATTGTGACCTAGATTTCTCATGTATTTCTCTCTTTTATTCATGTAATTTTGACCAAAAAAAACCTGACACTTTTATATTCTTGGCCAATTCAGTGCCTTGGTTGTGCTATGAAGCATTTTTTCTTGTTGCCTCAGTATATTTAATCCTTGTGTTGTCAAACTTAGGATCACTTCCCACACTGATTTAACCAGAGATATCTCAGATTATGTTTACTGGACCATTGAGAGTTACCAATAATGCAAGGTTCTCAACAGTATTTAAAGGTCAAATAAATGTTTCCATTTCTTCTCTATCATCTAGTGGAAAACGAAACAAGTGTAGAAAAAGCACCCAGGGAAGAGAAGTTGTCAAGTGAACCCTTGACTAAAAAAGCTAAAATTGAAGTTCCTGTTGCACAAACATTTGAAATCTCCAATACTTTTAGAAGCGGTAAGAAAACAGTTCATCTATTTCAGTTATTAGTCAAATACCAATTTGAAAATGACTTTACTGCCAAACTTTGTTGTTGAAAATTTTGGAATGAAAATTCTGTGACTCAGGCCTATTACTGTTTAAATTATGTGCTCTCTGCAACTGGTTCTGACCTAACATGTGAAACAAATGAAAGCTTTGTCAATCAGCAAGCAGTTTTTGACTTCAATTAATTTTTATGTCTCAAATGTAAAAAAAGGAAGTTTAATTAAGTATGAATTGGATGCCCAGAGGATGTTATTTCTCTGTCTTTTTAACCCATAAACCCTAATGTCACTATGCACATTCTTCGGTTTGCATGTTATCTAAGAAGATACATTTCCTAAGGTGCTGACAATAAGAAATTGCGTAACAATTAAAAGCTTCTTCAGCTGGAGATCATTTCCATCATTCTTGTGACCTTCATGTTCAATTCAGGGGTGATATTGTAAGGAAGAATTCTATTCCAGTTACAAGACAGGTGTCCTGTATTAGGAACCCTCATTAATCAACTTTTATATCTGCTCCTGCTAAATAAAGACATCCTTTGAATACAGGTTCATCTTGCAGTAGATGTGGCAGGAAAGTTTGGGCCTTAGGCAAGTGTCCAGGCAATGTGGGGTTTGCAAAACAAGGCATCACTGTATTTCTTATTTTAATTGTACCAGGATTGAAAAATACCAGATGGTGTGGACGAAACCAAGTCATTGTTAGGCCGGCAGTTACTTTTTATCTGGATGGTGCTCACACACCAAGAAGTATGGAGGTACAGGAATACATACACTGTCTGATAGCTATTTAAAGTTAAGAATCAAACTAGAACATGTAAAGGCTGGTGTCATCATAACACAATTTTCAATCAAGTACTGTATCAATAGTGTCACTGGATTGCTTTGTTTTTCCTTTACTTTGCTCTTTAATTTATCAAGAAAACTCACACCACTCTTTCAACCAATTGGTTGTGAAACTAAAACCAATTATTACTAGATTGCCAATATTTTCCCATGCTTTAGGCAGTTTGGTTGATTTTACTTTGACCTCTTATCTTTACTGCCCTTAATTCTAATTGGCTGATGTGATCACATTGGTTTTGATTATACAACACTCGATTGAAAAGCACCCCACATATAAACCAGTTCTAAGTTAGGTCCATAGCTTTATAAGGGTATAAGTTGATAGCATGAGGAGGAAAACACCAGTTGACAAGGCTTTCCCGTGTGTACAGATGTTATGTGCTTAAAATATATATTCAAAATTGTATTTGGATGCCTGAAACAGGAACACGTCCTTGCTTCAATTTTTACCCTTCATTTAGTCTCAACAACCAAACAAAATTGTCTTTTGTATTTGATTTACTTGAGAATCATACTTATAGAGTGGGTTCAAAGTTTAGCTTCACAACCACATCCACTCTCCTTTACATACTGTACAAATTCTCTAGAAGCACCACACATAAGTGATGTAATGTTCAGAGATTTTATGTCTTTGTTTAAAATTTGCAGCCTTTTGATTACTTGCATTTAGGGTGATCTGCTGTAACTAAGAGCAGATAGAGAAAACTGATAATAACATGAGGGGGTAGTGGTGAGTTAGTTGGAAAAAGAGAATAGTGGCAATGAAAAAGGTCTGGCTCATTTTACACTTAAAGGGTTTTCATATTCTGGTGTTTTAGGCCTGTGCCAGGTGGTTTAAAAGGAGAGCTGATGAGGAAAAAGAAAAAGAAAGGTGATGTATAGAATGAGCAATAAATTAAATGCAAATGAGATTTCCCATGCAGTTAAACTAGTAATCTGATGAAGGAACAGATCAGAAGATAAGACATTTTTTTTAGTGTAAAAATGATGTAAACTTTCTGAGTCTAGGATCAAGACAAAAGGCACACTGTGACATTTTCCTGTCTTTTTCATTTGTGTTTGTGTTATAGAGGGACTGTTGCACGAGTGTTGCTTTTCAACTTGACTGGTGGGCGTGATCCTCATGGTCTTCTGAAACCAGTCATGGTATGTATTTTATTAAATCGTTCCTATTTTTATTGATTGAAATAGAATTAACAATGTTTTGATTCACTAAACTTGCAGCATGAATGATTATCTTGAAAGAGGAAATGTTAGGGGCAGTTGAATGAGTGCTTATTGATGGATAAGTGATAACAAGATGTATCATGTTATCCACCGGATAGAGATTTATCTAGGGGATAGCATTATCTGATCTTTGAACAACCAGGGCCTGCTGATTACTTAGAATCCCTTTGGTGATTTCATGTGTTCATGAGTCCTACGTTTTTCATTTTTCAGAAATGTGATTTTGATCATGCAATTTTCTGCCCCAATAACATCAATCTGAATTTGAAAAGCAGTGATTCAGGTATATGATGTCAAGTAATTTTATTTTGATATTTTGAAGTCATTTGAAGCATTCTTTGCATTGATCCCTGTCGCATGTTTTTTTTTTTTTTCCTAATTTTTCTTTCTCAGATCTGACAAATTTTACTGTAAGTCGTGATAACCAGTTACGATGGTGTGTGGAAAACCAACGTGTCTGGATGGCTCTGAGAGGTGTAGGATTCCAAGCCCATGCAGACCCAACAGGGAACTGTGCAGAAATTACAAATGGCCACCATGTGATCAAGAATGGTCTTGATGATGGCCCATATTCAACCATATTTCCTTGTGTTTCTCAAGCTATTCGTTGGTTACTGGGAGGGAAAGATCCTCTCATAGAGGAATTTTGCCAGGAGGATCTGCCAGTACCAGATTTTATTACAAAGGCTTCAAGAGTTCAGGTTCTAGTTGGAGGAAGTTTGCATCTTGTTGGTACTGTCATGAAAGTTCTGGGACCAGAAATTGTGGGAGATGTTTAGAAAGGATATGAAAAGGGTATCCATTTTCACAGAATGCTGTATCAAGAGGTCACAGAGAGTTATTCAGCTATTTACAGTGTGTGTGAAAAGGACTTGATAGTCAGTGATTTAAAACTTGATTTCTTAAAAATGATGAAGTTTTTATGGTTGACACCCAGATGTAAGAAATATGCTGACCGAAGTAAATGTGACATACTTAATGATATAACTTTGAGAAGAATTCTCAATAACTCAACTGACTGGACTAAGAAAATTAGTTGTTATGATATGTAAGGCAGATAATGAGGCCACATTGCCTCAGCTATTTTAGTGAAACTTTTGTTTAATAGTTTGTATATATAGATATATTTATGTTTGTAAATTACTTGCAACAGTTATGTCATTGAGATCCTGTTTCTCGAAATAACATACCAAATTCTGGTGGCACATGATTCCAACAGTAGAAGCTCTATTTAGAAAATTAAAAAGTTATTTCACTCAATTTGTAAGCTGTATACAAAGTTTAGATTATTGCATTTTATTTTGTTATGGGTTGAATGGCAACAAAAGCAGAGGAATCAGCTAGGGTGTTGATGGAATTTTAACACAAATGTTAGAACTTACAGCTGCATTAGATTAATATTACTGTAAATCTAGAAAAATTCATAAAGATTTCTAGTCCATTGTTTCATTCTAAGTTTTATTCTCCTCTCCCAGTCTGTAAATGTTGCATAATACCCAAATTCTTTGGTTTGGAAATGTATTCTGTTAGAATCATGTGCCTCAGACATAGACTGTGTATGCTTTAGTAAGATTTCTCAATGAAATAATTGGCAAATTTCTTAGATGCAAGTATGTGAACTAGTTGATCTCCAGCCAATTACATGTAGATCACTTGGAATGAATTAGTGTATGTTTGATTACAGAGTATTGTTGCAAGAAACATGTAAAAATTTTGATATAATGAAGATTTCCTTTAGGGATTTGAATCACAGATTGTTTTTCTTTTTTAATTTATGAATTTAAAAGACTGTCTCCCTTGATATAGAATGGATTTGTGTAAATAATTAAAGGTATTTCACAATCTTAGATTCATACATTACCTGTACAGAAGTCATAAATGCAAATAAAGAACAAATTTTGTTATAAAGATAAAACATCACAAAGATGGACAAAAACATTTCAGTGTCAATTTATTCAAAATTGGTTGAAAGGGTAATATGTACTCTGTTTCATGAAGCTCTAATTAAATCAACCTTAATACAAACTTGCCAGCAAGCCAAGACATTAAACAATTTAATTATTACCATTTGTGTCTAACATTTTTTTCAGTTGTGCAATCTGCTTGGTACCCAGAAAACAACAGTTCAATGCAACCATGCGTGGAAAACAGGCATTTTTTTTTTATAAATGGCCAGCCATCAACACAATGTTTAAGAAAACTATACAAAATAATGTCTGTTTTTCAAGATCATTGAACACAACTATTTTGAAAACTAAACCTGTTACACTCCAAATAGTGCTTAAGAGTGACAATACACAAAAAACCCTTTCTGGTGTCCATGGAAACTTCTCCATTAACTGGAAAGAGACATCAAAGCCTGAGCTGCAGCATAGTCATTCCACGGTTGTGTGTTGCCTGCCAGTGTGATGACTGTTTAAATAACAAAGAGGCAGCAAGAATGTTGAGTTTTTCAGTATTGCACTTCTATTATGGTAAGCTATTTGTCCATTCTCGTAAACACCCTTTCATTTATAAAAGCCACTTTAAATTTAAAGCTAACTACCCCACTCAACTTTTGAAGACAATGTGGGTACTGAAAAAACATATTTTGCAGATCTTCACACTGGTAAGAATTTTTCTCTCTGTACAAACCTTGATTTAACCCCCACCCACTTCACAAACCTGAAGAGTAATATGTCTGATTAACTTGATCGAACTCAAAGGCAGCCTAGATTCCTCAACAAGAACAAGTTTGTGGTTGAAGGTGTGTCAAAGTTGATAGAATCGACAGAAATATTTATATTAATATAAACGGACCTGGATGTATTATGACAGAGGGAAATGAACCGAGAACAATGTTTCCTTGTCTGGCCATGCCAATCAATGTCTCAAGGGTTGACAACAGATCAAAGTCACGTGCTTCTAACAGAGTCGATAGGAATATCTCAGAGACATCTGGGAATAGGCTTGCAAGAATCCCCAAACTTCTCGTTACCCTGTTGCAGTCGGCAAGTCGTGGAGCTGCCTTAAAGCCCGACGGTTCTGGGTGGTCTGAGGAGTTTTTGGGTAGGGCTGAAATAGTTAATTAACAGCAGTTACTTTATAATTATAGTACAATTTCGGAAACGTTCAGGAATAGAAAGTAGCGAATAAATCCTAATAATCAAAATGAACCTCAAAAACGTTCGTGACTCCTGTCTGGGCTTGTGTTGAAAGGATATCTGACACGACTGGAAGTTAAGCTGAGAATCCCCTTCCACAAAAAGACACAAAATTACACAAAAATCAAAAAGAGAATCTAGACGCTGGAAATAAACAAAGGATTTTTTTTCTTTTATGAGAAACTTAAGGAAGATCTAGTCGATCGATTGTATAACATTATAAAGCAAAGTCTCTTTGAGTTGCGTTCCTTTTAAATCGGAGGCGACTGCCTGCGTTTCCTTACTGACCCTTACTGAAGGCAGCAATTCCTTTCTCTATAACGATGCAATAATATTTCTCTGGTGTCCTTTTCTCACAAAATTCAGAAACTGCCACCACACTTAGATTCCTGGATAAACAGGTTTTCTGTGGACATCATGTAAGAAAAAATACTGTCATACACGAACTTGAGTTTCATCATCAATTTTATACAGTGGGACGCGTGCGGCCTCTATAACATACATACGTGTTGAGAACGATTTTGTGATGGGGTAGTCGTTTCGGTAGATTATGGGCTGAAAGAAAGTCTCTTAAACCAAAGCACCACTTACGAAATTTCTTCGGTTGGTTAACAAATGAGATCCGAAAGACCGATTTGATACCGGCTAAAAGTCTGGAATTACCTAAAGTCTGATTGAACTCACCACGTGAAGACCGAAAATCTTGTTTACACGCTGTCTGCTGCGAATCCTCCACAAGCAGCCGATCATTTGTTCGCCGTCTTATAGCTACTTGGGCAGCCATTATCCGTCTTCTCTTAGTTATCAAAATACAGTTTTGACACTCACAATCCTTCCACTTACAAAATCTTTTATGCCCTTTCAGTGTGGTCCGAACACCATGGTGCTTGCATCGCGCACATAGTGGTGTCTTTTTCTGCGAAAGAAGCATTGATGCCTGTTCTATAGACATTTTTTTGATAAAAATCCTCAATAGTCTAGCTTGAAATTGGGTCAGGACTTAGATTGAGGCCTTTGAAGAGTTAAACCGTCGCCACGATGGCGAATAAACTTGTCACAATTGTTACGATCGGTCATCAAAGGCCAAGGGCAGTTGCAAATAGTTGGGCAATGGGATGACCAAAAAAGGGCGCGATAAAAGTTTTCCCGCCAAATGCTGAGTGACAACAACTAAAAAACGACGACTTGACACCTTTTCCCATTATCTCAAACGATAAAACAACCAAAAAGATCTCTCTACTTTAAGAGAGAGAGAGTAACCAAATTTAATCCTTTTTTCAAACACCTTGTCCGTCTAAGCACACTTTTTGTTCTCATTAAACTTGGGCTTATGGAGCGAATTCCGCGAAACGCATCAGGTGATGAGTGACACTTGCATTCACCAATGGCGTGCGTGAAAATTTCCTCAAGGGATGTTACCTCTTGGAAAACCCATCAATTTTGTTGTTTGTTTCTTTTACAAGACGAACCGCACCAGACATCGGCTCCTTAGTCATGATTGAGGAATTTGGTCTTATAGACTCATGACACTGACCCGTCTTGGTACAGCAAACCCATTTTAATGATCGACTAGGGTAAGTATTTTAGTCTCAAAGAAGGCAAATACAACAGTAGAACTGGCAACCAGGCAGCTGTTACTTGCCAACTTTCTACTCAACTTCCCATAAAAAAGGATTAACCTTAAACTTCATCAACAACGACATTCACCTGAACTGTATTGATTCCAAATTTTTATTTATAAAAGATACCAAACACACAAAGACCAAATTAAAAAGCCATGTCTTGGCAATATTTCAGCCTTTGTTCTATACAATCAAATCAATAGAGAATCACCTTTCCCAGTTTTACAATATATGTTAAGTTTATTAAGACAATAACTTCCAAAATCCCTTAAATATTTTCTTCATTATTCTGTTTGAATATAAGTTGTGAGGCTAGTCAGCTGGTTTCACTTCCATGGCTTGTTCAATTTGAGTCAGTGCACTGTCCCACTGAACAAACTGTTTTGAAAGGAGATTTATCTGTTATGTAACAATTAAGGTAGAGAAAGTACTTTTATTTATGAATTTGTAATAACATTTATAATTTGATTGGTTCTTACAAAGGAAAAGGAGGTCATACATTTGTTCAGCAATATATCACTGATGACACAAAAATGTAGCTAGAACATCAATGACAGACTAACCTTCAATGCTATCTTTTTATTCATTGCATAATCTGATGAAATCTGTGATCTTGCCATGAATGAACCATTAATGGTCAAATCAAAAGGGAAATAGCCTTTTCTTAGTCTTGTCCAAATCTCTTCTAGTGCTGAGTAAGTTTTGACCTATTACACTAAAATGTTGTTGACTATGGCCTTGGTCCAAGAAATCTTACTTAAGTCTACGATGAGAAAGGAAAACACACCTTTACAAGGTGTAGTTAAGGCTAAGGGTTTCAGAGAACCAGTGACTCAGACTGACCCAGAGATCATCACACTTCCGAATCTGCTTATTGAATGGAACATGTCCTCTTGATGTGGAATACATAACAAGAACAATTTAAAAGGATACAATGTTATTGTAAGCAGCTAGAAGATTATGTAATCTTTCATCAGTCACATCAAATTCTTCCTATAACAGAATATATATAACATCTTTAAATTTTTTTATCTAGCACCATTCAGTGTTTATCTTGGAAAATATGAACTGCTAGGTTGTGGTTCAGATTTTCACTTGATTTAATTTTGTTCAAACCAGTTTTGAGTATGAGAACGAGACAAAGAGAAATGAAACCTAAACTGTCACCAAAAAGTTTTAAATAAGAATAACATGGTGAACAACACACAAACCACATCAGTGAAAGGGATTTCTTCTAGAATTCAGTTGAATGCTTATTTTCAGTTGTGGGGCAATTATGAGATATTTCAAATACCTTTTGCTGAATATGAAGTTCTACCAGTGGTTGCAGTTTGGCAGACCAAGTAGGCAAATCTGTGTTTCAATTTAAAATAAAGTCAGGACAATAAATCTAAGACTAAGAGTCTTTCCCCACTAGCAGACAAAACTAGAACTGTCGCGACAAAATCACACAACAAATCTTTTGTATCATTTGTTGCATCTAAATTAAAAATTTCAAAGCCATTAAATTCAGTCAGTGCCTAATCTGCTCCTAAGACCAGCCAGCATAGTTTGCCAAAAGATTCCAGCTCCAATTTCCACAATTTATCCTAGGTCATTTTCAAATTTTACAATCCCCGAGTTTTGCAACAGAGACAATTTTTGCCTTTCTAGAAAACTGATTTTACTTCAATTACACGCTTGTTGTAGCTTTTACAACAAATGATCAACAAATTTATTACTATTTCATTTATTAAGTCCCTTTTCTCCAGTTTTTACCAGGGACAAATTTTGTCAATGGCACAATTGTAGATTTGTCTCCTTTGGCCAAAATTTATTAAACCATCCACACTTGTAAAATGTTGGTGGTGACGGAAAATTTGGCTAAATAAACAACTTTTTTGCTAGTGTGGAAAGGCCCTAAATAATGCATTATTCTGAAATATATTTATTCATAGGAAGACCAAATTGGCATTGATTTTAAGTATTTCTGACAAGTATCTTCAAGCAGAATTTCCATTTGACTATATTCAGGATGCATTTAGAAATTTTTCAGTACCCAAAAGAATAATACTTATCAATAAGAGCAAAAATAGTCTTTAAAAAGATAAAAACTGATATGATAAATGTGTTTGGAGTCACACCTTGTGGGATAAATTACAGTTTGAAAAGAGTAAGATTGGCTTAACATGCTAGAAATTAAGACTCTCAACTAAGAGGTTATGTGATAAAATAAATATGTTGAATTGTAAAACTGCTTCAAACCTTTAATGGGTTCTGTGGTCACAACCTTTTTCAAATCTTCAACTTGCCGAAGCTGATCAGCACATACCTTTAGCTGGCCCTCACCTATGGATGTCAGGATTTTTTTTCAAATTAACACAGTTATATCACAAAGTAAAATAATGGTATTTGAAGACTGAAATAATGATCATTTCAAACATAGAAATCAAAGGAGGTAGGTCAAAGTGGGTCCTACATCAACGCAAAGCCTTTATACTAATCAATAGGAAAGGGCTAACATGATTTAAATATTGTCCACCCAAGCCCTACATCCCCCTTTTCAATAGGGATTTCTAATGATAAGTGAATAACCAATGCCATCAATTGGAAATCAGAGAGGTATCATACCCTGTTGAAATGTCTTTTGCATGTCTTTTGAACTCATGACACAAAACACACACTAACCTGCTATGATTATGTCAGCTTTAGCATCATCTGTTAGTGTTGCCTCTTCCAAAAACTCAGGAGAGAGAAATTTCTCCAGCTCCTTAACTGATGATAAGAAAATGGGAACAGCAATTCGACTCAAACGACTCGCAGATTGTATTAAGAAACACATCTGATACGAATACATATGCGCAACTACTGTAGAATTGGTAAGCGCTGAACTCTATTGACCCGATCGGGCGAACGAGTGAGCTATGTGAGAAAATTACGTTAACTGGTGATCTCCATTGAATTTTTTTTTCTAATACCTTTATTGAGTACAATTTAGTTCAGTTTATTTGGTACACCCAAGCCCAGCTGTTATGATTAGCTTCTCAATCTAGGAACTACAGTCACTGTAGTGTGTAACAGTGATATTTTCATTAATAAAAAAATAAATGTGCCATACCTTTCTTCCACACGGCTGCTATTTTAGCATGTTTTGATCCAATTCTATCGAGATTTTTCTGAACATTGTTCAAAGTTCCCAAACACTTGGAAAAAATCAGACAAACATTTCAATCAATTTTAGTTACCTAATTATGTGCGATCACGCCATCAATAAATATCACTGTAGTTACCGATGACCCTTTAAGACTTAGGACGTCTTTTTCACTGGTAAAGATCCGTCTTTCCAAGTCAGAAATTCGTTTTTCAAGACAATCTACTGCCGCTCCTTGATCCTTGGCAGCCATATTTGTTTATTGGTGAGAGATTAGAGCCCGCAGTACAACAGCGAGGAGCTTCCTAGTTCATATAAAATGCATCAAATTTGTGTGGAAAGTGAGCTGTTACATAATCACGCCGAAATGGCGGCTAAACAACAGAGAGTGCATCATACAATTCATTGGTTTCGTAAAGGACTACGTCTTCACGATAACCTTTCCCTTAAGGAAGCTTGTGAAACAAGTTTAACGCTCAGACCAGTGTACTTTATTGATCCAGATTATGTGAAGCATGGAAACATGGGATTCAATCGATGGAGATTTCTGATTCAGTCTCTCAATGACTTGGACAACAATTTGAAGAGTTTAGGGTCGAGGTTAGACAAATTTAGAGATATTCCGTACCTTCATACCTTTTAGAACAAAGAAAAAATAATTAAATATCTTTTTTTCGTGCCAAAAAAAAATGGCCAAACCAAGTGGTATTAGCCCAGATAAATAGATTCCATGCTGATGTGCATCTTGTAGCTGATCAGAGATGACATCAAAATTTTATAATAATAAAAATGAGGTATATGAGACACAGTCGAGTGTTTTTTTTACCAAATTTTGACGTCTAAACTTGTTCTGCACAATAAAGAAACAACTTTTTGTTACTGGTTACATCATCTAAAAGTATGTTTCTGTCCTCCTACACATTATAAGGAAGAATCAGTTAAAATATTTGTATTATTCAGCTTTCTTTATCCTATTGAATGAATCAATGAATGATATCATTAATTACTGACTATTTTGTTTATGATAATTTTAGCTGATTTTTGAGACCAGCTCAATGATCTTCCTATGTCTTTTCCATTATTCCTTTTTTTATCATAGGTTATTTGTTATTCAGGGGAAGCCTGAATTGGAATTACCTAAACTTTTCAAAGCATGGAAGATCACAAAATTGACATTTGAATTTGATCATGAGCCTGAAGGAAGGCAAAGAGATGCAAAGGTTCATGAACTTGCTACCAAAGCTGGAATTGAAGTTGAAACAAAAGTCTGCCACTCACTTTATGACTTGGATAAGTAAGTGACAATCTTAAAAATTTTAAAAAGTTACATTTTGTTTGACTACCCTTTGCACCAAAAATATACGGATGAACACTTTGCCTTGCTGAAAATACTCTGAAAAGGGCCCAAAAAAATTAAACTTGGACAAAGGAAATTAGATACTTCAAACTAGACCTCTCATTAAAAGTCACAAACAAGACACAAACTCAATACTTTAGTCATCAATTAGACTAAACAAAGCTGTCTCACTAAAGTAAGTTCCAAAAGTGAGTGTACAGTGACTGTAGGGTGAAGTTTGCATTGTGTTCTACTTATGGTACTCTGTACAGATAAAGTACTTTGTCTAGTGACAGATAGAATCTACTTTCCACAAGTTTTATTGCAGAAACTCTCCCCTTTCTCAAGAATTTTGTTGGAATTTGATAATCAGGACTCAAGAATGTGAAAGCTTTGAATAAACTTCTGTGAGATAGGTGTCTGGAATTCTTTTGCCAGTCATAAATCTACATGTTGTAATAGGCAATTACTGATTTAATCTTCTTTCAGGATTATTGCCAAGAATGGTGGAACAGCCCCCCTAACCTACAAGAAGCTTTGTTCAGTGGTGGCATCACTGGGGTCACCTTTGAAGCCTATTCCCACAGTAGACAAAAGTACTTTTGATGGCTGCTCTACTCCAGTGGGTAAAGGAAATGAGTACCAGCTGCCAACACTTGAGGAGCTGGAAATTGAAACACCTGAAGAGTCAAGTACAGTCCTTTTCCCTGGTGGGGAGTCAGAAGCTCTTAGACGACTTGATGAACATATGCAGAAAGAGGTCTGAAAGTTTTTCTCAATCAATAATTAAATGCTCATACAGAGTTTCATGTTTATCTTATATTTAATGAGATCAAAAGTTTCTTAGAGGATTAAACTTGAATTAGTTGTAGTTTGTTGGTATCTTCAACCTGTCAGGTAATGAACCTTACTTATAGGGAAAGGACACACCCTTCAAAAACCAACATCAAGTGTCACAAGCTAGGCCCTCTGCTGGAATCCCCAGAGTAAGGGAAAGAGAGGGCAACCAAGGAACACCTGGTGTTCCTCGATCAGGATGGTCTTAGTCTATAAAGAATAAACTTACAGGGCAAACTGAGAGAAAAGATCTTAATCTAATTTGCTGCCCTTGAACAAAAACAGTTCGGCTTAACATCATTCCTCTGAAATGAAACCTTTGCTCTGGGAATTCATCAGTTGCAGCAACAAGTAATGGTTTATTTTGGATAGGTCTTTGCATGTTCAACGAGACTATCATCTTGTAGATATCATTTATTTATTCTGCTTCCATTAAAGTTGATCACATTTTCCTGCAGGATTGGGTGAACAAGTTTGAGAAGCCTAACACATCACCCAATTCTCTCCAACCAAGCACTACTGTTCTTAGTCCATATGTGATGTTTGGCTGTCTCTCAGCAAGGCTGTTTTATCACAGACTGTCTGATGTGTATTCGAGAGTAAGTCATCATATCAGGTGCACCCTTTAGTTGTCAGTTAAATATGTGTATGATCATTCTAGAGATGACATCAGTTATTGGTGAATTATTGAAGATTGTAATGTATAGGAGATAGTTGATAAAGGGGAAGCTATGAAATTCAGTGTTTATCTGTCAAAAAATTGAACCTGGAAAGTGAATTTAAATTTAAGCTTACTTTCTGTGAAGTTTAAGGCAATGCAACTTTCAGATCTTTCTTTTAATTTTATCTATCATATGAAACAATGAAACAATTGAAAGAAATTGAAAGTGGTGAGATTCCTTTTAATTGACCAGATGCAGAACTATTGACAAAACTACTTTTTCTATTCAGGCGAAGAAACACTCTAACCCACCAGTTTCCTTACATGGACAGCTCCTGTGGCGGGAATTCTTCTATACAGCAGCATATGCTACACCTAACTTTAACAAAATGGAGGGCAATCCAGTCTGTTTGCAAATTCCATGGAACAATAACCAAGAGTTTATCCAAGCTTGGTCTGAAGTATGTATTGTTCATAGTGCCAGATTAATTCACTCCCTTTAGGCTCTGGAATAGATTTAGACACAACACAGGTAACAAATAAGCTACTAAAAGTTGTGCATACTGATATATGTACCTAGAAGAATTATTGATACTGAAGAAAAATATCCTTAGGTTCAGTTTAAATTGTGCTCTCCATAATTTTTGCGTGATTTGTGCTCTCCATAATTTTTGCATGATTTTGCTGATGATCACCAACCAAAGAAGCTCTTGATTATTGAACAAATTCTCCTTGTCAGAATCCTAGGAAGTGTTTAAAGAGTAGTATGGAGAATATGCATTCTGATGTTAGGGAGTTAAAGGGTTAAACCCATTAGGAATTAGCAATTGAAAGCTGTAGCAGACCGTTTTAGAGTGAAAATTTGCAGAAAATTATATTAGGTCCTTTGTAATTTGTTTCATTTCAGGCACGCACTGGATATCCTTTTATTGATGCCATCATGACTCAACTAAGGAGAGAAGGTTGGATTCATCACTTGGCACGTCATGCTGTAGCTTGTTTCTTAACAAGAGGAGACTTGTGGATTAGTTGGGAAGAAGGACTGAAGGTGCAGTAGAAATCAGTGCTTCTATATAAGAGAATCTCCATAGTGTGGAATAAATTAAGAGAGGAAACAGAGACTCAGAAAATTTTCTTCCTTCCACAAGTTACTGTTGATGAGTCCTAACTTGAAAGGCATGAATTATTGAGGTAGCTGCTAATTGTGGTCAATAGCATTCATGACAGTTACAAGCTGCTATAACTTTTCAGTTGCATTATTTTACTGTGGCAGGTGTTTGAGAAGTTGCTTCTTGATCATGACTGGAGTTTAAATGCTGGCAACTGGATGTGGCTGTCTGCAAGTGCATTTTTTCATGCTTACTTCAGGGTTTACAGCCCCATTGCATTTGGTAAGAAAACAGACCCTAATGGAGATTACATCAAGTGAGTGTTTTCTTTACACTTTTTTTCAAACATTAAGTCATTATCTTAACGTTTAACACTTTCCTCAGAGAACAGAGTGTATTCAAAAGGAAATTCACTGGAATTGTTTTTGCAATTTATAAATACTATTTACAAGAAACTATTTAAACTTGACATATTCGGGGTAAACAGCAAAATCAGTATTCCTTTGATTTTTTTGTTTTTTTGTTAGTGATTTGGACTCAGAATTAAAAGGTCTGAGTTTGAGCCATGGCAAGCCATTTTGTTTTGTCATTTGCAAAACTTTTGTTAGTCAACTTTTACTTCCTCTGCACCAAGGATTATACAGCAAAATTATTAGCAAAACATGATGGAATTAATAGGGGTTACTTACAATGATCTAGGATTCCATTCAGGGGAAATAGCAGTACCTCTACATGAAGCTGCTTCATCTAGGACAGAAACTTAGTAATTCAATCTCAAATGAGAATTCCTCTTTTTGTTAAAAAGGAAATACATTCCAATTTTGAAGAAATATCCACCCAAGTACATCTATGAGCCCTGGACTGCCCCGGTGAGCATACAGAAAACAGCAGGATGTGTGATTGGGAAAGATTATCCACGTCCAATTGTGGATCACAAAGAAGTTGTTAAAATCAATATCGCACAGATGAAAAAAGCCAGAACAGAACGTGATGGTGATACTGGTATGGAGGAAGGTAACACATGTCTGATAGAATTTAGGGCTACACAATGATTATTTTTGTTGGTCAGATAATCTTAGTTTCAGAACATTTTGTGGGAAATTTGTTCTTTCCTTTCCTTAGTATCTTCACAAACATTGTAAATATCAGAATTGATATGCCACAGGGAAGAAAAAAAAGGGAAATCAAGGGTACATCTGCCATTATGGTTACTGTAATAGGATTCTGCTCCTTCCTTTAGAGCACTTTTCAACAGTGTCTGGAAACCGTAACCTGTAAGACTAAAAAGAAAATGCATGTGGTCAATGCAAAGGGCAGGAGGGTGTATGTTCCCTAGCATCCACCGATTTGTAAAGAAGAGGCTAAAATATTTTAGCCAGTTTCAGAGCATTGTAGATAGATGCCAAGCAGTACCTGGGATAGGTTTCTTTGAGATATTCAATGGAAAACTGCTCTCACTGGAAGTGATTATGGTTTCTTCTTAAGAACTCTTACTTTGTACTTAGCACCATATGTATTCAATTTCCTATTCATTCCTGTTATGATGATCCTTCTCTCAATACATTAATTTTTCTGGTGGATGGGCTTTGTTGACTTGAATCTTGTTTGTCGCTACATTATACATGTAGAATCTTCAGAGGAAAAGAAAAGCTCACCAGGGAAAAAAAGGAAGACTAACAAAGAAGCCCCACCAAGCAAGAGGTCAAGAAAAATTACAGAGTTTTTGAAAACCTGATGAGGCTTTTGTGATACCCACAGGCACAAGTCAGGGATTTATAAGGTGGCACCACGAACTGTTTTTTTTCTCCACTGACTCTCTTAGGTAATGCCACCGTTATCTATGTTTAGAGCTTTGTCTCCTTATGTAAGGTTTTAATGCAGCTAGGTCTGTCTAACAGATGTTGCTTTTTAGACTCAATGTCTCATGTAAAGTTTCTTTTAGTTGTCAATGACAACTTTTAAACTACTCTTCATATTGTTAGAAATTGTACTTTACCTTTTGAATAGTTTTATGTTCTGTAACATTAAAAGTTGAATAAAGTTTTACCCAGCCAACAATGTCTCTTCTTTGTCTACAAAATGATCAGATGTATCATACTTAAACTCATTTTCTACTGACAACAAAAATTTTTAAAAAATCATCAGCAGTGGAAGTAATTTCCAGTGTAACATGTATGCTAAAATAAAGCTCTTGTTCTGATTTATGGTTAACTCTTACACAAATTTTTTCTAGAATCTTAGTATCTTATGTTTTGGTAAGCACCAACCAACTTGTCTGTGCACTAGAGAATTATTTACATGCAGGGATTATATTCAAGAATGACACACAGAACAAAGACACATCTAATGGCTTACAACATTGTGCACATTATCTATAACTAGATGAGTAGTATGATTGTTCCAGTTCATATAAATTAAGAGCAAGTTCTTGTTTAAGGGTTAACAGTTTTTGATCTGTCTGATTTGTCATCTCTTGAAGAGTGCTGCTTCGTTCAGAGATGGTGGCATTTACAGATGGAAAGTCGTTCAAGATTAAAAATTCTTTCATATCTGAAACCAGCTTCAAAAGAGATTCTCCTGCCCTAACCTGCAAAAAGGAAACAATAGGGTCATAATATCAACCTTATCAAGGCCCTTTCCAATTTCCTTTAACAAATCAAAAACCAAAGTGATCACAACTGCCATGATAACAAAGCCACAGGGAACCAGTGAGAACTAAAATCAGGTACCGGTACAAGCAAATGGCTCCAGGTGAGTTAACAAGTAAAGATAATTTCTAGTTTTCAATCAGATTTATTGTGAGGATGGGTCAATGTTTCTTAAATCCACTCACAATCATGGATCAATTTTTAAGCACCCAAACATCAGTATGTATTCTCCTTACTGCTCTCTTCTAGGGGGGCTGACAAGGGAACTTTGTTTGACAATCAAGAGCTTATTTAGTTGGTGATCATCTCCTTTGTTCTCATGACCTTAACATGTGATTTGGGGGTGGTTTTGTGACAAGAAATTAGATGCTGGACACTCCTAAGGGTCAGAGGGCTAAAATATTTTGAATACGCAAAACAGTCACAGCTCCAGTGAACTTAAGAATGTTAGCTAGCTAAGCTGTTTGCATTTTAATAATTATTCAACTATCAACTACAGTACTCATTTTGATGAGCCTAAAATGATAATTGGTAGTTTGAACTTACAATATTGGCAGCCCTGACATTCACTTCATACTGATCTTGGGCTGACTGAGTCAGTCGTGATACCTGAGTTTCATCTTCAACCTATAAAAGATGCAAACCTCATTAGTATCAATTTTATGATGTGAAAAATAAAGCACTGTAGATCATTAAGTTTTCACTGATGAAGAAAGAAACCAGAAAGAAGGCCTTCTGTTAAATTAATGGAAAGTTCATTGCTTTTTGAGCACAACACTTCAGCCAACAGTTTTTCTTTCATGACCTGTGCACTACACACAGTTTCTTTTCTGTATATCATCTTCTCTGATATATTTAAAATGGGCAGCCATGTAATAAATTATGCATTTTTTTAATTAGAGCACCTACTGTCATTGGCTTGTATACTCTCAGACTCGCACAAATTCCAATCGCTCAATAAGAAATCGCATAACCATGGATTGGTTATTGGTTAAACTAGGAATTGATCAAAACTGTCGTCAACTATCGATTTCATCGCTTGAATGCTCTACGATTGATAGATTGTTCCTGTTTATTAATGTTGATTCAGCGACCATCGATTTCCATAAATTAGCCAGCCTCCAAGTAAACGCTTCAAGTAATCGTTGTACTTTTATCCATATACCTACTTTTGAAGATTTAACGATTTCAGTAAAGTTATCCAGAATCGACTTCACGTCATCTTTCAAACGTTTGGTGTAAGACTTGAGAAGAGTCTCTTTACTTTGCGGTAAAATCCTGCTTGGCTGTGACATGATTCTCCTGCAACAGCAGCACAAGATTAATAGTTTTGAATTTCTCAAGTGAATACTGCGATGGGTTGTAACCAATTTAAACCAAATTTAAGCATAACTTACCTTAAATATCCTGTGATTTCAATTATTCTAGATCAAACCCGGAAGATTTGGACACGGAGCTTTGTCGGCCATTTTGTTTCCCCATTGCCACGCCTGGCATTGTGGGTAGCACGATAAAATTCCCAAGCGCCTTTGCAACTTTCCTCTTCATCCGCCATCGAAAAAGATGGTAAGTCTTTTCGAATTATTGTATTAAAAGCTATCTTCCATCTAGTCCATCTTAAATTTGTTCACTTCTTAAGGGCTAATAAACTAGGGTCCAGTATGTGGACAGTATTTGAGGCGATCTATTTTCTCTTATTTTCGGTGAAAAGAGCTTCATTTAGCAATATTTCGTGGTATACTCCATGATTTATCGTCTTGGTCTGAGACGGTCACTCTAAACCCCCTTTAACCAACGTACTGTCAGTTGTACCACCATCTTGCTAGTTGCTATCTCTATCAAAATTAATGTCGTAGTGTACGTCTTTCTGCCTACCTATTGAAGGTTTTTGTGCCGAACTGTTTTCGTCTGTAATAATTCTGTAGAAATTATTTTGCACGTGAGATCTATGGGTAATGATGTCTCGTGTGGTTTTCTTGTAATTTAGTTCTTATTTCTCGAAACATTTTGAGCATTTGGAAACGTGGAAATGCATAAGGTCCTCAGCATTTATTAGTTTGTTGTCATATCTTTCCAGAGTTATCTGGCAACTTAAAGGTTGTGGTGAATGTTATTATCTAGTAGAATATTTTAATATTTTTCAGTAGCTTATTTTTTATGCATTTCTTTAGAGCCACATTTACTCGTTACTCTTACTACATTACTTTTCTTGATACTGTGCAAGTAAATTAATCCAGTTTGGTGTATGAACAAAATTGCAATGTATTCCATTCTGTTGATTCTGCAGCCTAAAACTAAAAGGGTAAAGAAGGTGGCACCAGCCCCTTACACCACATCCAAACCAGTGCCAAAAAAGGTTGTTAATCCTCTCATTGAAAAACGGCCAAGGAATTTTGGCATAGGTAAGATGATAACTCTATCAAACAGCAAAACCAATTTTATGTTGGTTTACTCAAGTCTAATTTTTGTGTTTTTTGTAGTGTTCATTTCTGAATGTGAAGGTTAGATGATGTAGAAAAGGGTGATTGTAGAATGTGTGATTCAAAGTTTTTATAAGTAATACAAATATGTGTACTTGTACAATGTAGTGAAATGGTGGTCCTCAATTCCTTGCACTCAAAAACCATATTCACTTCTGTCTCTTTAAGGAGTAAGATAAAGCAGATTTAAGCCTATAGTTCACAGTAACTTAGTTTCCATCTGGTGACCCATGGGATCATGAGAGCTAATGACTGCAAGGATTGAAGGCATTGCAACCAAAAAAATTACTATAACCTTTGTAGTTATGAAGACCCCTCAGTTACCAAATAATTGTAATGATCTCTTAGATAAGCATCATTTTTAATGCCCAGAAACAATCCTTGCTTGTTGTGTGATTTTGCTTGTAAATTCATATTCTTCTTCAAACCTTACCTTGTTAGCTCATGATTTACTCTAAAAAAAAAGAAAGGTTTTTAAAGAATAATACCTCACCTTCATTACTAAAGGTTATAATCTGCTATTGAATTTGAATTTCCCTTTGACTTCTAGGTGGGGATATCCAGCCCAAACGTGATTTGAGCAGATTTGTCCGATGGCCAAAATACATCAGACTTCAAAGGCAAAGGAGTGTTCTTTACCAGCGTTTGAAGGTTCCTCCTTCTGTCAATCAGTTCACTCAGACACTGGATAAACAGACCGGTATGGGCAACATTTTATTCAGTGAAACCTTGTGTTAATGATGCCTCTCTAGAAGGGACAGAAATTTTTAGACCTAATTAAAAAGCAATCATCTGTTACCTTTATTGAAGGGTGCTCTTAGTTCATGGGAAACTCAGACTAGTTAAAGTGTTATTCTACTAAGCATACCTTTTGACTGTAGGCTTTTCCATGCATTACTCTTGTTCAAGAATATAATTCCTATTGCAGCTACCATTTTAAGTCATTGAAAACTGCTTTAAGGATTTAAAATCTAAAATTTTGTTTAATTTTTTTTATTTTGTCTAGCCACCCAGCTTTTCAAACTGATGCACAAGTATCGCCCAGAGACCAAGGCCGAGAAGAAAGCACGTCTTACTGCTAAGGCTGAAAAGAAAGCAGAGGGTAAAGAAGAACCTGCGGGAAAGAAGCCAGTTGTGATCAAATATGGCCTAAATCATGTGACCAGTCTTGTAGAGAACAAGAAAGCTCAACTTGTGGTCATTGCTCATGATGTAGACCCCATTGAGGTTAGTTAGAATTTTCTTGAGGGTGTGTTGGAGACTAAAACTTAGACATGTTTTAGCACAAATTCTAATTGGAAAGTGATTGATTTTACTCCCAGTGCTTGTTATCAGTGGTTTGTAATTGTCAATAAGTTTACTTTTAATTTTCTTAAAAATTGCTTTCCATATCATTGAATGACTCTGTTAGAATTATATCAAAAGGAGTTGTAGATTTGCCTTCCAATGAGGTTTTGCTGAATAAATTTTTCTGTTCTCTCTATCTCTCTCCATCTCTCTTAAACTTGAAAAAGAAGCTCTCAATTTAATGCAATTTGATGTAAGTTATGTTGATGTGGCCATTACAGAAAACCTAAATGATGAATCTGGTTGAGTGATTTATCTTGAACACCAAAGATAATTGCTATATGTCAACCTTTTATTAATCCCCATGTACCCTCAATTCTGGGTATGATTTTTGGGAGGTTGTTTGGTTGTCAAATAGAAGTTCATAATTATAGGAAGTATCACTTTGAAGAAATATTTGAGATTTATAGAAATGAATAAACAAAGAATGTTTTGCCTTGTCAAACAGAGGCACTAAGGGAGTACATGACTTGTTCATTTTACAGCTTGTTGTGTGGCTTCCAGCTCTCTGTAGGAAAATGGGTGTTCCTTATTGTATCATAAAGGGCAAAGCTAGGTGAGTGGTGTTATTATAAACCAAAGAAGATTCCAAAGCCTATGACATGGATCCTTCTTTCTTCTATTGCAATTTCTTTAATTATATTCGTCTTGAAGCAGTTACTGCTTTGTATTAGACAACTAGTATCATTTGGAGATTATTAGGTGCAAATGAGGTAGAAAAAGAAATGGAGAATGAATAGGGGCATTATTTGTGATGTGTTGAGTTGAAAGCTGGTGGCATAGGTGTCAGGATGATTTTTAAATATATCAAAACTACCAAATGGTTTGACAACAAAATTCCTTTCCAGATTGTCTCTTGGACAAGCAACTCTCAAATTTTACCTTCCCAAGGGAAGGAATTAATTGGCAGACCATATGTACAGATTCTTCTTCATAAGATTAAAAGCAGAAATAGCTCTGTGTTTTTCTCACCATGTATGAGGTTCAAAAGACTAACCTAACCTGTCAAAATTACTTTGAAATGTGCGAAAAGTTATATTCTGGATGGTGTTATGTTTTCAAGCAATACTGCAACCTGATGACACACTGAAAGCAGTAACAAGCAGTGCATAAATAGTTGCTGCTCTGAATGTTGAAGAAATCATTAAAGAATATGTTTTGTGTAGCATATGTGATTGATCAAACACATTGTTAAGATGTTTAAATAAAAAGAGCAAGACTTTGTTGTATCACATGTAAGCAGCCATGTTGCCAAGTGAAACTTAAAATGGCAGCATCATAATGAAATCTGAAGCCTATTTCAAAGCAATTCTTAAAAGGCCAGATTACTCTTTGGAACTTCAAAACAAGGCTGGTGTCACAATATATAGTTCTAAACTTTGGAGATAAAAATTCAAGGGTTCAGAAGTAAACTTCTACTTTAAATTAAAGGTAGTGACTTAGACTGTCCTTATTTGTTCCTGTCTGTAGGCTGGGAAAAGTAGTACACAAGAAGACAGCCACAGTACTGTGTTTTACTGCTGTACGTCCTGAAGACAAGAATAACTTTACAAACCTATGCGAGGCAGTCAAGACTAACTTCAATGAGAGGTTTGATGAGATCAGAAAACACTGGGGCGGAGGCATCATGGGCAGCAAGTCACAGGCAGCTGCACACAAGTTGGAAAAGGCCAAGATCAAGGAGATGAAAGTGTGATGTGTAAAAACTCCTTCACAATGTATTAAAACAATTTGCTGCTATAGAATTTGTCTTTGCTTTGTTGTTGGGAAATGCTCAAGGATGTAAAGTCCCTGCCTCTTATCCTATTCTTGGAATTAAGTTAATTTCATTTCTTTCTTCCTGGGCGCTGTCAGTATCCCATGAGTTATGTCAGTGTTCCATGAATTATTGGCAGTAACTTGCCAAGAGTCTCTCTATATTGTTAGCAGGGTAGAACTGATATTGGATGGGAAGATAATTTATATCAAACTTTTGGGATGACCAAGAAAGTGTAAGATTAATTTGTGACCTGTCTTCTAACCTCAGGCTTTATGTTTGGATTCATTTTGTTTTTGTTTGTTAAGACAATTTGGTTTTATCCTGTAAGATGAAAGTATAAATTGGCTATTATAAAAAGGTTCCAAAGCTTAGCCCTTCGTCAGAGTGAAACACCACAGTTTGTTTCTAAACTTACCCACCTTAATGATGTATTTGTTTTTTTGGGCTATCCCTGACGGCCGACAACGAGTATAAAAAAAAAATTATACAGGTCATGCAACAGTGCTGAAGGGATTCCACGGAACACGTCATTCTGTTTCTGTACATCGATTAAACTATTGAATGTTAAGCGAAGCTTTTCTGTGAATTTCAACTGATTACAAATTCAATTTTGAAGGGAAAGCTTCTATCAATGTAAGTACTGGTAATCGATTAATCAAATCTCCGAGTTATCTGTTATAATTTAGCCGTAAGAAATTCAAATTCATATTTTGAAAATGAAAAGTCAAGTCATACGGAGTCCAATTTTTTGGCTATCAAGGGGAAAGTGGATAATCCAAGCGTAGGTTGTCAAATAGTGTGATGTGCTTGAATATAAATTTCATCTTGATCAAGTGAGTTATTGACTACATATTCGGAGAAAGAAAAATCCGTGTTCAAAGTTGACGATCATGGCTGACTTATTTCTCTTCGGTGAATTTTCTGGCAGAGAAAGGTAAGATTATATAAAAAGTTGGGAGTAGAAACATTTTCAAATAAGAAAAGTGCGGTAAAAAAAAAAGAAACCTTTGCAAAGTAAACCTGGAGCTTGAAATGACCTCGCACATGCGAGTAGCAGCACGTGAACAAAAAAAAAACCTTGAGATGTATTACAATGCACAACTTTATTTTACTACGCAGCATTGTTACAATCTACTGGTTGACTCCAGCTCAGAGGAGAGTTTCATTTCCTCCCGTTTTCTAGACAGGGCGTGCTAGACCCAGGAGATCGCTACCTTGCAGAGACCAGTGCCAGACCTATATGTACCGTGTATAACACGGTTCATGCTCAGCCATATGTCGGTCGCGGTAGACGGGGGCGTCCCAATGAGCTGTCCACTTAGTTGAAACAGGTATCTGCTGTCGTACACGGCTTGATAGCCGCGGTAATTGGTCACTTCCACACGCTCATGGCTGATGTAAATCGTCATGTGATCGCTGATGACTTTTTCTTTGGATTCAACCGTCAGGTGACCATTAGTGGTGTAATCCTGGTGACCAGTGAAATCGTTGGTAAATATTAAAAAATTTTTATTGCGGCCATGTACCTCTGCGCCTTTAGTAGTTGTTCCCGCGTCGCCACCTACAAGGAAAAAGAGAAGAAAGGAGAAATTGAAGCACGCGAAATCCTGATGCACCGTGAACCCATGTCTCCATTGAATTTCCAAAGCACAATGCTTTTATTCATGTGCAACGTATTGATAACTTCAGTCTCAGATGTATTTCAATAGTTTGTTTTCCTAAAACAAGAGTGAAGCATAAAGCTCTTATAGTGCATTAAAAAAGATGTTTTACTCCTATGCCATGTCAATGTCAAGTCTCTTCTCTTACCATATCCATTGACAGTGGGCGAGTCGGCAATATCAAACGAGAATCCTGTCACTTTAGCCGCAAACCACAGGTCAATCCTGGCAGTTCGTTTGGAGCCCCAACATTTATCAAATGTTATGCGAATCTTTCCTGTGAATTTCAAGTAAATTAAGAGTTTAATGTAAAAAGCATTTTACAAGTAATTTGAACACGTAAGTTAAGGTAATTATTCAAGTAAGTTTATTTCAGTTTAAGCTCTTAACTCTAGACTCTAGCACATCCTGAAGACTTTAAATGATAACAGTTTTTTCTTCTGAAACATCCAACGCATCGGACCACGTCAAACTTAAAGCTGAAATCACCGTGATCTACAATATGTATATTCTTGGTAATGCTAATTTTGTTATTTTCTACCTTGGTTTGCACAAACTCCTGGTACCACCTTGAAACTTTCCAGCAAAACGACACTGGCGTCTCGGGTCCCGTAAACTCTGTTCGTGTTCAGATCCACTTGCCACGCAGGACTGATCGGATCTCTGGGCTGACTGCAGGTAAAGCACCGACAGCCCGAGGCTGCAAAGGAACAAAAAGGATATATGTTTGTTATCTTCTTGTAGGTTTGCGTTGGATTTTTAAAACCGTTTCTCTAAGGATTAAGGGTCCAAGAGGAATCAGCAGCAGCAAACGAACTTTCCTTCTTTTTCCCTGAATTAAATGATGCAGTTTTAAACAAGCCTTCGATATGATGGTCAAGAATTTCAGCAGAGGCTTCTGCAGAACAACAAGATAAACCGCTCGTGATAAACGCAAAGATCAAAACGGGTTATAAACGACTTTTGAATCATCCACAAAAGGGAGGTTGGGGTGGGGAGAAAAAGGAACAACTACGAAAAAAACGGAAACTAGGTAGACCCAGCCAATCAATGATAAAAGTGAATTAGCGCAATACCTGTCATGGCGCTCAAGCTGGTCAAGGTAATATAAAGCGTCATCGAAAGATGAAGTATAATCATCTCGGTAGACTGAGGAAGACTGTCGATTAAACCACGAGCTCTCACGACTGATGTCTGCTGAAGGGTTTGGAATATGCCTCAAACGTTAAGTGACGCTCGCTTTTATATGCACCAGCTCTACATTGTTGCAAATCGTGCCACGAATAGTTTTTCTCTGGAGAGATTTTCATTTCCTTTTTAATTTATCTTAATTGAAAAATAGATTTTACGTTGCTTAGTGTCTGTTCAGTAATAGATCGTGGATGACGTCCAAATATGAGTAGAACAAAAGAGTGACACACGAAGCGCAGCCAAATGTGTCACGACGGATTCCTGCTGAGTTTTCTGGAATATGCTTCAAATGTTGTGTGACACCAGCTCTTCATTGTTACGAACAACACCAAGACTCATTGTCGACATTTGAAACAATTTTTCTCTTGGCTGTTTTTTCTTTTTGATTGTCGTTGTTTGGTTACTTTCTCTTTTCCATATCGTGATACATGCGAGAGAAGGTTTCAAATAAAAACATGGTTTGATGTTACAAAATAATAAACTTCAGACATGACATAAATGGGAACCAAAACAAATTCTATGAATAGTTTAATCATATTTTCATTTTGATTGGTTCTTTCTTATGTTCTATTAACAACTTTTTCCTTGTCTATTATAAAAAGCAAAATAGATCCATGTTGCCTGGGGCTCGTACAATAATGGATCACAGAAAACATCTGGCATCTCATGTATCACTTTTTCGTTTTTACCACATTTTGAAGTTAATCGTGATTTATCACCATAAAGACCCATGGCAACAAGGAATCTATTTCGAACCAAATCAAATTCACCACGAGTAAAACTTTCCTTGTTCATCAAATAAAACAATTAGATTACATGTTGTTAGATCACGGAAAATGTCTGGTGTCTTGTGTGCCACTTTTTTCTCGCCTCATTTTGGTATCTTCCATGATCTATTACAGTGCAATATGATAAAATAATATGATAAAAAAAGAAAATATTGTTACTAATGATAAATCGGAATAGATTCCATGTTTCCATGGGTCTGTACAGTTATAGATCACGGATAAAAAAGTTGCTTATTCCAGAACGCTCAACAGCTATCAGTGACACACTCCACTGAGCACTGAGTGTGACTTTTTTGTTCTTACGACACTATGAAGTCACCTGTGATCTCTTACTGAACAGATGCATGACAACAAGGATTCTGTTTGTTAGATATTCACTAAGCGAGAATAGACTTAACATAGTTTCATCAAGTCAAAGCAAAAAGCTTAACTTATCTGTGATGAGTTATACCATTTCATGAGTTAACCTCGAGCCCGCGTCAAGTTCGAGTCCCAAGTCAAGTTCGAGTCAACTTATATTTTTCCTCTCTCTGTAAATAACATCGTAAGGCAATACACTATTATGGTAGCCGCCATATGTAACATAGCGGTCGAGTACGAGAATTCAGCTTTTACTCTGGCTCTAGACCAAGGATCCAAAACCGAAGAGATTAATCTTAAAAAAGAAAAATCTAGAATTGTTTCCACTAGAATAGAAGAAAACATACTCTAACGCTTTGCTTGAATGACTGAAAGAAAAACGATGTTGATACGGCAATACCTTTTGTTATTAGGGAAACGTCTGCCTCAAACAGCAAGACAAACACCCGTGTCTACTTTTCTCGAAAATAAAAGAAACAAGATTGATGGAATCTTCGATTTGTAGAAATTACCACAATAAAGTACAAGACGAAGACCATCGTAAATCGCTTTGGTCGAAGATGCAACATTTAAGTGTATGGTTGATGAAGAGAGCTTTCAAAGGGATAAGAGAATTTTGAATTTATACTCTGCTCTCAATACATTAGCATGTTCATGCCACGCTTTAAGTTATAATATGAAAAAGAAATGTTTTGTTGTTAACTGCCTTGCTTTCTGTTTGGACTGTTTCTTGGGTCCTGTTGGAGTGAATTAGCTCGAGCACCGCGCGCAAACGGGAGGTACCTGGAGTCTGTTCAGGAACTTTATTTCATTCTCTGAGTCTCTGTCTCTCTTCAGCCATAAGAAGCCGCTCTTAAATATCCTATCGGTAGGCATGATTGAGCTCACGGGAGAGGGAATATATCTTTAGAACGCCGACCCAAACAATGTCGCAAGACATTCGAAATGAACAACAAGGTACTTGAAAAACAACCGATCTTCGAGAACAAAACCCTAAACAAACTTGCCGATGAGGACTCTAAGCAAGGACTAGGAAAAACCCAAACACGTCTAGTGATGACGATTATCGCACGATAATTAAGCCCTATTACAACGGTAAAGGACACATTACGCAAAAGGTAAAAATAAACGTGCGGTCTTGCAGCACATGATAAACCAGGGCTAATGAGACTCGCACAAGGATTTCCAGATAATCTAACTGGCCTAAACAACTCCCAAATACTTAGTCAGAACATTCCTAATTTTAATGTCTACGTTATGTTAATATTAACTGTCAAAAAGTTTGATATTTTGAGTCATGTCATTAAATTTCCACATAATTGCCAGCCAAGGGTCTTTGTATGCATTTTAGGAGCAGTCTTGGTCAGTTTCCAAATTGCCACATAATTAGTCTTAACGTCGGTGACGGGACAAAAATATGGTATAAACGTGGGTTTAATGCAATGTTTTCCACATATCAAGTAACAGAAGATTTCGAGAAAAAGACAAGAGCCTATTTTCTGTTCTGGAGGCGATTTCTGAAATTCAGTTTTCCTTATTTATAGCGTGTCATGTCATGTCATTTCAGTGTTTTGACGTGTCTTTGAAAACGCCATCATATAAATATCGCACAGTTTAACTTATCAAGATAATTATGCCGTAACACACGCTGTCATCTGTCCAGTAGACATATTTTTTGTATTTCGTTGTCTTTTCAGAAAACAGGGAAAGTATCAGATGAAACGAGGCGTCGAGTTCACACATCATGTGTTGTGTTACGAAAATTATTATCTTGGCAAACGCGTACACGTTATATTTCCAAATTAACTGAATTCGTGAGTCGTTTGATGATACACCTTATTGATCTGGCCCCGGTTGTTCAAAAAATGGGTAACTTCTTATCCACTGGATAAATCGCTATCCAGCGGATAAATTGTACCCCTGGTGTCATATCGGCTGTTCAGAGTGTGGATAGTGCTATGCACTCGTTATCCATGATTTGTTAGGTAGTAAGAATTTTAAACGCCGGATAAAAAAAAACATCAACAACAAAATGGCCGCTCGACAGTTACATCTTCTTCGGTGTAACTTGCCTGACAATCAACGTCGTAGAAAGAGAAGAATTTTTCGCCACCAGCTCGATCCCTTAGAGTCTTACACTGACTCTGAATTGAGATCCAGGTATCGTTTTGGACGAGAAGCATTACAATACACCGTATCACATCGAAAAAAAAAAAGCTGCGAAAATTCCCTATTGTCATTTCAAGGGTGTCGGATTTGTAGTATAAAACGGAATGCGCTAAATGCCTAAAGAAAATTGACTGACTGTTGAGCGATGACCATTGGTGACCTATTTGTCTAAATTTGTGGTGACAGCGCCCTACAGAACAATAAAACAAGCTTCAACGTTCATGCAAATGCTTTAATGTAAACTTAGTATACCCTTCCAGCATACAATTTATTTTTATTTTATTGAATAGCGACCCATCAACAAATTTGTCGTTTAGTATGCGTTGCATGTTAGTTTTCCTACGTTAGCAGTCTAAAACGAGATTTTTTGCGCATCAGGTCACAGGACAAGTAGAATGTCGCTGCACAGGTTCTGTTATTCAAGTAACCGTTTGCTCTGAATGGCATAAAGGAAGTATGCCCAGTCCACATGAGGCTTCAGGGTTCCCGGGACTTCCCATTCGGTTCATTTAGAGCCCAGGCCTTGAAGACTGGAACTGAGTTATCACTCTAAAAGAAGTCGTTTGCGGTCCACATCAGGCCGATCCACATTTACTTCCTTGTTGGTGCTCTCTCTCTCACACAGGGGCCAGAACAAACTCGTTTTCCCGCGCACTGGTAATCTTTACCAGGCCTTCTCCCATTCTTTTGCAATGCATTTGGGCATGGTGCCAAGTCATGTATACGTTGCACGAGAAAAAAATTTTTAGTCGGGATTGTGGGATTGAAGAACCCTATTGGAGACCCTCTTAATATAGTTTCATCAAGTCAAAGCAAAAACTTTAACTTATCTGTGATGAGTTATATCATTTCACCGGTCAAGTTCGAGCCTGAGTCAAGTTCGAGTCAACTTTACATTTTTACCCTCTTTGTAAAATTATATCGTAAGGCAATACACTGTACATTATGGTAGCCGCCATATGTAACATGGCGGTTGAGTGCAATAAATCAGTGTTTTACTCCGTGACTCGACGGTTTGTCGTTAAATAATGACTCCTGCCTCAGGTGTGTGTAATCAAAAAGGAGACGGAATCTTTGAAGGAAACTCAAAGGTACCTTGGAATGTTTACTCCTATGAATGCAGCTGTGAATCAGTGCAGAGTTAGCCCTGACAAACTTTCAAATGATTGTAATCTTGTAATAGAGCTTTTGTATTAGGAAAACATAAATGTCCACCATTTGGCAAGCTGTTAGGGAAGACTCAATAGTTTTATTTAATGAGGTGTATAAACCGAAAAGCTTGTTGTTTTGAATCTTGTAGTTGTTTCCTAGTACCTTGCCTACTGTAGAGAACTCAAGTTCGGACTGATCACCTTCTTGTTACAAATAAAGGCTTTGTTCATACTAGCTACAGTATTCTTCCTTTTCGATGAGTTTTTTCTGCAAAGTGGGTCCAGATAACCAATCTAAAGCGATTGTGTTAAATTTCTGCTGACATCTGTGCCTCGGTGATAAAAATAACAATTATTTGACAATGGCAAATGACTGAGTCTTTTGACTAATTGCTAATCCAATTATGGCCCAGCGGCTTATGTTGGACAGCCCTGTTAATTTAAAAGCTTTATGACCCAAAAGAGGGCGGAGAGGCCTAAAGTGACATCAAATACCTATAAAAAGTGTCACGCAAATTGCATGGATGATTTGTTGTCCGTACCAAGCTTCGCTCTCTTCGAAATGTTCGCACGTTAAATGTATCGTCCCAAGAAAATGGAATGATTGGGATATTGAATAAAGCCGTGGAAATATCAATGACTTTTTTATAGATTAAATAGAGAATAATACATGGGTGCGCGTAGATATGGAATTTCTCTTGGAGTGTTTGACTCGATATCTCACGAGTGAGTGCTACTGACAAGAAAAGTCGTCTTAATTGGTGCGAAAGGCGAATGATGTGTTACCAGCTGATTGGCTATGTAAAACACACTTAAAGCATCATCGTAATTTTACGTATGTGCAGTCACGGCTTTATTCGGGGTTGTAAATTCATGTAAAGCACCGCAGTTTATATGGTAAATGGGATTTATTCATGTGATTAACGGTTGAAATCTGCTCGTCCACCAGCCGTTCTATGGAAGGTAACATAACGCTTCTTGGATAATCGTTTCGTGACTTCCTCAGAACAGCTGCAAGATTTGCCATTTTACTTGATATTTGTAGCTTTTACTGTCATTTCCTTACTGGATAAAAAAGTTATCGAATACTTTATGAATCACATTTAGAGAAGTGGCTAACTTCCTTTTCTTGTTTCACTGGACCAGGATGTAACCCATGGCTTTGATGTGCTTGTCACCATTATCCGCGTTGTGAGTAGCCTGGTTACCACACGTATTGGAGTTATCGCGATATCCTCCTGTTCCAAACCCAATCCTCGAGTCACAGGACCCACAGTTCTTCTCGTTGTTGCCAAGGATACCAATCCTCGCTTTAGAAGAACCACGGTTACCAGGAAAAACGTTAAACCCTTGCTTGTTACAATTGGTTTGCAGTGAAGCTCGGAAACCAATCAGCGACTTCCACGTGTTTCGATCCAGTGAGGTTGAGCGGTAGTGTCCATCAGCAATCAGCGAGTACAAGGAGTTGGCTGGTCTGTTGATGACAACGAAGTTGATCTGATGGCCGATCTTCATACCCAGACAGATCTTGGAAAAGGGTGTGCTCCAGTAGGTCGGTAGTTTGGTTTCACGATGGTCAAACCCAGTTTTCCCTCCAGGACGATTGAAGTCGGCCATGTTGGTCCAATAACTGGAATCGTAATGGAAGGTTTGCTAGTAATGAAAAAAGTGAGAAACCCTTTATTTTGGCGATCAAAAGTACGCCATTATTAGACTTATCTGGTACAGTCCACCTGTTACCACCGGACTGACGAGGGACCAAGGGGTCTGACCGTTTTTCGTTTAGGAGCATGTGATAGATATAATATCAAGAGAAAACAAACGCTTCTTTGAAATGGTCTTGGAAAAATTGAGAGCAAAGTACCAAATCTTTCAGTCATATTGTGACCTATTTTAGGTTTAAAACCTGGAGTAGAAAAATTTCCTATAAATGCAAACTACAACGTTATATTGCATTATTGTGTCGCACCTTATGGCCGTCGATTTTCATGACCAGCGTCCACCCCCCACCTCCGCATCCTCCAATTCCATGGCTGGTCATGTGACAGTAAACAGGAATTTTACCAGTGTTAGTCTGAAGCAAGTAGGCTGTGTTTCCTCGAGATCTGTCATTAAAGCATAAAAAGAAATGTTGCCTCTTACAGATGAGCTTACGAAGACTTCAATTATTTCGGCTGAGATAAAACAGTGCCTGTGTCCCATGCTAAGGCATAGCTTCGTTCGTTTCTTATTTATAGTTGTTCAAATGCTGTTATCTAAATAATTGGATAGTTTTATCTTTGTGAACGTTCTCAGATACCCGTCGCTAAAGAATTACGCATGGTTATGAGCTTGCGTAACAAAGCGAGAGGAAGAAATGTACCAAATTGAGACAAAGAATTATGGACACGGGATGCTTAATAAACTTTTCCCTGTCTCCCTCCCAAAGAAAATCCTTTTTGCAATCTAGTTTACAGTGAAAGTATTTTCGTTGTCATTTCCTTTGTTGACCCAATTCATTAACTTTTCAACCATGAGAATCATTCCGACACCAAAACGTCTGTTATTTTTATATAAATCTTAACTTGCTGCTGTCCTTAAGGCCTTTACTCTCTATTTCACATTTGCTTGAGTTTTTCTTATTTATTTCTTCCAAATTGGAAAATGAATTATACGTCGGAAAGTAGAATAATACTCAATTTGTATGTTTATAATTACCTTCCGTTTTTGAGGTGAATCTCTTTGCAAGATGTAAAAGGTGAAGCTTTGAGAAATAAAGTAACATCAAAATTAATGCCATCCAAAACAGAAAAAAAAAGAGAGAAATACTTTTCTTTAGTAAACGCCGGCAAAGGAACCTTTAAATGAGAAGCGGATATAATCAGCATCATTAATTATTGACGTTCCTCATACCTGGAGGATTCAAGAGATTCAGTCCACGAGCTATCACTTCTATATCGCGTTCAAGTTTTCCGAACCTTTTGTCCATTACTGCCTTAAGCGTTTGAATGGCTTTAGTGCAGTTGTCCCGGCGTTCGTACGCTGCAGTAACTGTGAAAAAAAGAATGAAGATCTTTGCAAACATGAGTACCAGAAAAAACGGAGTATTGATGAGCGAATTCATCTCAGCTCGCTGTCACAGCCCTGAGCTACAATACGAACTTTGCAGAATGAGATCAACTCCTGTTTGTCAAGCTTTTAACTCGTGTCAAGACTTCCTTGCTCGTATGGGATACATATGTCATGCCGAGGAAACTTAAAACCTTTCTTAATGGTTTTAATGAATTAAAAGGCCTCTCCGTGGGACTTATGCGAGCTGTTTCTCGTCTGGAGGATTACACCTATGTCGATAGACAGGAAGATAACTGTATTTCAAGAGTTTATTCATGTGCAACCCTTGAAATCTCCTACTTGACCAATTCTTTCAGCAAAGTCCGCTTTGATCTGATAGTAGCCTTAGGGGAATCATCTACCTGATAAAATCAAGAGAAAACGAGAGGGTCAATGCCCTGATCATGAGCAGATTTTTAAATACTTTTATGTGTGCTTTTTCCCATCTCAGTCTTTGATACCACGTATGTCAAATAAAAACAAAAACCAAACCAAACAAAACAAAACAAAACCCCCTAAAAAACAAAAACGGGAAATATATGGCATTTCACGAGGTTCAGCAATCCGCTGAAATCTCCTAATCAAATAATGCTATGAGCAAAGTTCACTCTGTTCTGATGATAGCCTAGGGAAGGGGGAAAGGGGAAAAATGTAAAATAGACCTAACATTAAAAAACATATTTTTTCTTACGAAAGGGAGATTTCGTCACTACCTTTTAGTGGTTTGAAATAATTCCAAGTGAGCTGTTCAGTTCCCTTTTCCGCGATACTACTCACTCTAGAAAAACAGGAAGTATACTGCATTTCACGAGATTCAGCAATGTATAAAAGTCATGTGTGCTCAAAGGGCTGATTTATACGGTACAACTTTGTCACATGCGACAAGCTTGCGACCGGCCTACATGACGTGCGCAATATTTTCACCGACGACGTGCCAAAGTCGCGAACAATTCCCCTCCCTCTTAAAGTATTCATTGTCTCGGATATTGAACAGGACTTTTTTCTTCACTTCACAGCGAAACTAAGTTCTCTGTGTCATCTTCCTAAAGTGTTAAATGCACTTTTGTTGCATTCAACGACTAACCAACGACGGCAACTTTGTCCCCCATTTTGATGCAAGAAACACAAAATGTTAACTAATACAGAAACCTTCTCAAATCAACTCAACTCTAATTAACTCAATGGAAATTTGTCACAAAATGCGTCATTATGGATTTCGGCTGCGATTGTCGCAGCGTTTTAAAACATGATTTTTAAACCTACGAAATTTTTTGAGATACATGCGACAGTCGTAAGCGAGTTGCAAGTTTGATTTACACGAAAAAAATTCGTTGTAGGCCTATCGCAAGCGACAAAGTCGTACCGTATAAGCCGGCGTTAAGACATTTCTTCGAGCAAAGTCTGGTTAGATCTCATGGCAGCCTGCGGGAATGATCCAATAAAATCAAGAAAGAAGGCGGGAACAAACAGAACAGATAGTTCGTTAGTTGATGTGTATTCACAAAACGTAGTGATTTATGGTAAAATAGTTTCTTTTTTTTTAGCGACACCTTAGCAAGGATTATGCAGTTTTTTCAAAATAGTGTGCATTCGGTAGTGATAGAGCTTTTTGTTCGAAAAACGTAAATGTCCATCATTCGGCAACCTGTCGGGGAAGACACCTCTTTGATGAGCTTTTTGATTCACTCACACAATAAGTCTTAAGTATTTTCTTATAACTGCCGAACATAAACTTCATCAGATCAGTCAGTGAAAAAAAACACCGAATATGCGTTACAATGCCCAACTTTATTTGACTATGCAGCATTGTTACAGTCTACTGGTTGACTTAGCCTCAGGGAAGAGTTTCATCTCCTCTTTACTATGCAGCATTATTACAATCTACCGGTTGACTCAGGTTCAGAGAAGAGTTTCATCTCCTCTTTACTATGCAGCACTGTTACAATCTACTGGTTTACTTAAGCTCAGAGAAGAGTTTCCTCTCATCTCGCGCGCTGATTAGGGCGTGCTAAACCCAGGAGATTGCTACTTTGCAGAGACCAGTGCCAGACCTATGTGGACCACTTATGACACGGTTCATGCTAAGCCATATGTCAGTCGCGGTAGACGGGGGCGTCCCAATGAGCTGTCCACTTAGTTGAAACAGGTATGTGCTGTCGTACACGGCTTGATAGCCGCGGTAATTGGTCACTTCCACACGCTCATGGCTGATGTAAATCGTCATGTGATCGCTGATGACTTTTTCTTTGGATTCAACCGTCAGGTGACCATTAGTGGTGTAATCCTGGTGACCAGTGAAATCGTTTGTAAATATTAAAAAATTTTTATTGAGGCCATGTACCTCTGCGCCTTTAGTAGTTGTTCCCGCGTCGCCTCCTACAAGGAAAAAGAGAACAAAGGAGAAATTGAGGCACGCGAAATCCTGATGCACCGTGAACCCATGTCTCCATTGAATTTCCAAAGCACAATGCTTTTATTCATGTGCAACGTGTTGGTAACTTCAGTCTCAGATGTATTTCAATAGTTTGTTTTCCTTAAACAAGAGTGAAGCATAAAGCTTTTATAGAGCATTAAAAAAGATGTTTTACTCCTATGCAGTGCCATGTCAATGTCAAGTCTCTTCTCTTACCCCATCCATTGACAGTGGGCGAGTCGGCAATATCAAACGAGAATCCTGTCACTTGAGCCGCAAACCACAGGTCAATCCTGGCGGTTCGTTTGGAGCCCCAACATTTATCAAATGTTATGCGAATCTTTCCTGTGAATTTCAAGTAAGTTAAGAATATAATGTAAAAAGCATTTTACTAGTAATTTGAACCGTGACACACGTAAGTTAAGTTATTCAGTTAAGTTCATTTCAATTTAAACTCTTAACTCTAAACTCGGGCACATCCTGAAGACTTTAAATAATAAAAGTTTTTCTAATGAAACATCTAACGCATCAGATCACGTCAAACTTAGCAGTTCGTTTGGAGCCACTTCTTGGGTCAAAACTTATTCGAAGCTTACCTGTAAATTACAAGTTATTACAAATTTAGTTTTTAAAAAAATGCCTTAATCAATGATGTCAGTTAGGCTCTTATTTAAAAAATTCTGGATTGACTCTGGATTGCAACAGTTTTTCAAAAGAAACTTCCAACGCGTCGGACAGCGTCAAAGTAATTGACAGTAAATATCACGGTGTTCAGACTATGTTTTTCTTGGTACTATACTGATTTTGTTATTTCCTACCTTGGTTTGTACAAACTCCTGGCTTCACGTTTAAATGGTCCTCCCAAGCGATGTTGGCATCATTACCGTAAACTGCGTTCGTCTTTAGATCCACTTGGAGTACAGGGCTACGCGGATCTCTGGGCTGACTACAGCTTAAACAACTCGAAGCTATAAAGGAAAAACGGGAATGCGTTCTTCATCTCCTCTGAGGTTGCGATAGTTTTTTTTTTTTTTTTTTGAATGGATAAAGGGTACGGAAGGAAATCTGTAGCAGTAACTAAACTTCCCTCCTTTTTCTCTCGATCAAACAAAATGGCAATACAATGGAATTTATAAATTAAGGACGAGATTTGCTTTTATGAACTAGCTTTCGATATGATGGTGAAGAATTTCAGTGGACCTCTGTAGAGTGAGCAAGAATAATTGCTGAAAATATTGAACGAGTTAACGAGTTTTGAATTCTGAAGGAGCAACTTGTGTTGTTCGATCTCGCATGAAATAGAAAGACAGAGTCATCAAGACTTAAGAAAATTTAAGAGAAGAGACAAACTAAGAAAATAATTACTAAAAAATTGTCAATAATAAAACAAAAGCAGACCAAAGTGGATTAGTGGCCAGAGTGAATTAGTGTGATACCTGTGAAGGCGCTCAAGCTGGTCAAGACAATATAAAGAGTTATCGCAAGATGAAGTGTGATCATCTCGGTAGACTGAGGAAGACTGCTTATTAAACCACGAGCTCTCAAGACTGATGTCTGCTGAATGGTTGGGAATACGCCTCAAAAGTTACGTGGCGCTCGCTTTTATATGCATCAACTTTTCCATCACGCCCACGAGTCATTGTATAAACTTTCAAGTTGAAACGTCTTTCCTGTTGTCTCATGTTTAATTCCTCGTTCGCATATCATGATACACAGGAACTAACATGTATGTCACGCGATTCACCAATCCATTGAAATGTTATACTCAAACATTTCTGACAGCAAAGTACACTTTGACCCGAAAGCAGTCTCACTGAAATATAAATATACAGCAAATCAAAATCAAGAGAAAACGAGAAGGCAAATAAAATAGATGGCTACCAATCTAAAAGGATAAAATTTGTTTTGATCAAGAGGAGATTCGTTGCTTCATTTTTATGGTTTAAAATATATTTCCATGTTAGGACGACACGACTAATGCCAAAACATGTTTTGTGAACTAAACAATAATGTCTTAAGCGAATTGCTTCATTTCGTGTGAGCTTTTTCCTGTCTCGTTGATAGCACGTTAGTCAAAAAGATTATTTTCAGTCAAAAAAAATTCCATGCTGAATTCTAGCTGTCTGAAATATTTTCACGCGAGCTGGTTCCCGTCCCACCCATAACAAGTAGGTACGAGATTCAGCAATCCCGTTTGAAATCTCATACTCAAACAATTATACAAGCACAGTCAGTAATTGATTGCAGCCTGAGGGAGATCATCTGCCGATAAAATCGCGAGAAAACGAGGGGCAAATGAAATAGATACCTAAAAACTTATGAAGGTATTTTTCTGATCAAAACGATGATTGAATTACCTTCTAATGGTTTGAAAATAATACGTGCGAACTGTTTCCCGTTTCATTGATACTATCTATGTTTTGAAAACAGGGAGTGTATTGTATTTCACGAGGTCTTGTTTTTTTCCTGCTCTAATACATTTCTTCGGGAAAAGTCCGGTTAGATCTCAAGGAAGTTTGCGGGCAATGATCCGATGAAATCAAGAAACTGATGAGGGAACAAATAGAGTAGATAATCAGTTGTCCAAAAATAATACTTTTTTTTTCTTTAAAACGATTTCATTTGAAACCCAAAAAAGTTTGAAATCTGGCAATTGTTACACGTGTTAAACGATAAAAATATAACTATATTTAATCTGAAATATCGTAAGGGTTTCTTTATATTGGTGCCGGGGAAAGGAATGGAAATATTATATTAATTTAAACCATTCCTGCAAAAGTTATAAAAAGGCAGGTTGATTACTTCTTATTCCTTTTGGAAGTCCTATCTTAAAGGTAGAGTTTGGTCACGTTTTTCTCGTTATGATCGTGAAGTTGACATGGAAACGGTTGTTCAGTTTCTACGGTAATTAGAACTCGTGACAGTGTCTTGGGAAAGCTATGTTATTAATTAAGTTAATTTGTTAATCCAGGAAAAGTGAATCTCTCTGGTAAAAGGTCACGTTCGACACCTCTCGTTCTTAAAGGTGTAAAACATGTAATACCCTTCATGTTTCGCAATTAGATAGTTATCTAGCACGTAGCAACTTGGGGACGGTACTTGTGAACGCCCCTTCTTCTCCAACTTTTGTAATCATGATGTTGTTATGTAATGGTCTTCAAAGGCAATTTTCTCTTAAGATACCCCTTCAGATGTGAATAATATTCTGTCAATAGGTTAAGTATGATTTTTATATTACCAATTTTGTTCCTGTTCTGATCGATCTCAACTGTAAGAATAAGAAATTTAAGGTAGAAAATGATTTTGTAACTGCGCAAATAACTCGAAGGCGCATACCTAGTAAGCAGGAACTGTCACACGTAGTCTAACATGATCCGCTGGCTGAGATGGAACGATGACGATACAAGAAGATTGACAGCTTAGTAGTGTCATCTGCAGTGTCACCTTTATAAACGGTGACCCTCGCTTTTCTCATTAGATAGGAGTTAGTTCCCGTTGTAACAACTTGAGAAGAAAAGAGATTAAAGAAGAATCAACCAAACAAACAACGAGTGTTAGAGATTTTACATCTAACACACGGCTCAAATTCCAAAGTTAAAAGGTTTTTGCCGGCCAGACGAGGTAAATTTCCCTCTCGCAAACGGTCGTTGCCATTACCGACTCATCACCAAAATTGGAAAGGTCGATGCCCAATACTCCTTGCGTTACAATTTATATAACGAAATGTCTTTAAGAGAATATAAATTGTTTATAAGTTTGCCCTGGCGAGATGTAAACTGCTGGTAACATCTATCTTACAGAACTATTCATGGAACAATTTTTCGGCAACAAACTTATTGATCATCATGGTTATGAAGTCAGTGTAAGCACGACGGGGAAGCGTATCCACAAAAGTTAAGGGACGTAGTAATTTCTATCAGACAATTTTTTTGGCGTGTTACATTTTGGAACAGAGATCATTATTAGGTTCTAAGACTATATGCGCTTTTTTTAAAGTTTATAATTTTGGTAACAATAGAGCGTTTGTGTTTGGAACGTGAAATGTCCACCATCTGACAATACCATCCGTCAAGGTAGACGTCTCTTCGAATTTTTTGATTCACTGGCACAAAAAGTCCTAAGGGATCTCTGTTCTGCAATAATTTCAACGATAGCGATTTGTAAATTTTTCCTTAATCTTAGCGAAGTAAATCTTGATAAATCAAGGGGTCCCTCGAACTTTCTCTAGGTATATGAACTGACAAAGTTTGTTGTTTTGAGTCTTGCATTAATTGCATAGTGCCTGACCGACTGTAGAGAAAGCATTCATCTGGGTGTAACAACAGTTGAAGTGTATATTCTTGGGTAAAATGAAGACAAATGAGTCCCCTGACTTATTGCCAATCCAGTTAAGGCCTAATGGCTTATGTTGGGCGACTCTGCCCTCTCAAAGCGCAAAGATTACCGGATACTGACGTCATGAAGTTGATAAAAGTGTCGGACAAACGGGTGATATAATCTCTGTACCAAGCTTCGTTCTCTTGGAAATCTTTGAGAGAGACTGATTTACATCAAACGAGATTTTCCATTTTACTTAATAGTGATAGCTTCTACTGTCATTCCCTTACTGCATAAAAAAAAAACTCGAATTCTGAATTAATCGCATTTAGCCGGAGTGGTTGACCTCTTTTTCTTGTTTCGCTGAACCAAGATGTACCCCGTACCTTTGATGTGCTTGTCGCCATTATCCGCGTTATTATAGCCTGGCCACCTGTAGTATTGGAGTCACAGATCACACATTCGTTCTTGATGTTGCCAACCAATCCTCGTTATGCTGGCAACCACCACGGTTGCCAGCATAACGTTAAACACCCCTTGTTACAGTTGGTTTGCAGTGAAGCGTGGGAACCAATCAGCGACTTCCACGTGTTTTGACCCAGCGATGGTGAGCGGCAGTGTCCATCAGCAATCAACGAGTACAAGGAGTTGGCCGGTCTGTTGATGACAATGAGGTCGATCTGCTGGCCGATCTTCATCCCCAGACAGATCTTGGAGAAGGGTGTGTTCCAGTAGGTCGGTAGTTTGGTTTCACGATGGTCAAACCCAGTTTTCCCTCTAGTACGATTGAAGTCGGCCATGTTGGTCCAGGAGCTGGAATCATAGTGAAAGGTTCGCTAGAAATAAAAGTAGAAAAAATATCGGAGTAAAGAAGAAAGAGTATATTTTAATTCTAAAGGTCAAGGGATAAAATGAGTTTAACTATCAGCAATGCAACTGACTGTCTTTCCAATAGGACACTTGGTATAGATTGAGATGATAACAGAAACGAGAACCCAGCAAGACAGAAGACGATGTGATCAGATAAATAGGAAAGAAAGTGTGTTTTTAAACTTTGAGTTACTTGCGGAATTAACATTAGGAAATTATGCAATTCCTCAGATTGTGCTCGGAGAATAAATCAAGGTTATAAATCTCACTTGGACATTTTATTGCATTCTGTGATACTTTATCATTGTCGGGTTTTATTTGTTTCATACCTTGCGGCCGTCAATTTTCATGACCAGCGTCCACTCCCTGCCTCCGCATCCTCCAATTCTGGAGCTGCTCATGAGACAGTAAAAATGAATTTTACCAATGTCAGTTTGGAGCATGTAGACTGTATTTCCTCGAGATCTCTGATAGAAAAAAATGACTTCTCTGCAAGATGTAAAGGATGAATCTACGGGAAATAAAAAAAAGATAAGACATATCAATTTTAATGCCATCCAGACTAAAAAGGAAAAGACGGCTTAATAATTTCGATCACCACAAGAAACATCCCTCTGTAACAAATGAGAAAATATGACCAGATAATTTTAGTGCCATTAGCTTCCACTTACTCACTTGGTGAATTTAGTAGATTCAGTCCACAAGCGACAGTTTGTTTGCACTCAAGCAGGTACGGAAATGAACTAGTTCATTATTCAAGGTTGGATTCCAGCGCTTTTAGTATATTGTGCTCATAAAACAGATTGGTCTCATCTGTGAATAAGTAAAATTCACTTAACTACTGATGGACGACGATTTGAATTTGAAACAAAATTGCTATGCAACTGTCGCTCAACATGAACAATTGTAAAAAATAGTAACAAAATAAATAAATAATAATTATTATTATTATTATATAAAAAGAGGGAAAATATTTCGACTAATTTCGTAAAAAAAAAAAGAAAGGAAAAAAAGTAAGCGACACGTACCAAAACCGTATCAGATAAAATACCACAGTGGCTCAGAAATGATAACTGCTCACAAAAAGAGAGAGGAAAAAAAAGAGAAAAAAACTATGATATAAAGGGGAAAATAAAAGACAGCAAAAACAAAATGCGAATTTCACGGCCCCCAAGCCAGTTCAAGAGTTACTCCTCGTCCGACAGCTCCAAATCACACTCGGGAAGATGTTATTCGGTTCCCAAGCCAGATGGCAGGACCTTTGTATAACTGAGAGTGCAATCGAGCGTTTCCAGTCAAGTGTGAAGGAAATGAATCATATTAAGATCTGATAGAAGCGATATAAACGAGGAATATTAGCTTATGTTTTACAAAACATTAGTTATCAGCAGGCATTCCTCCGGTGGCCGGTAAGAACAAAAGAGAGTCACAAAACCTACCACACAAACATAAACTTAAAACAGAATCACAGAATCCGCAACACTAACACAAAACTCTACAACACAAACACAAACTTAAAGCAGAATCACAAAATCCGCAACACTAACACAAAACTCTAGAACACAAACACAAAATCCGCAACGCTAACACAAAACTCTACAACACAAGCACAAACTTAAAACAGAATCACAAAATCCGCAACGCTAACACAAAACTCTACAACACAAACACAGACTTAAGTTTGTGATTGTGTTGTAGGTTTTGTGACTCTGTTTTGTTCTTACCGGCCATCGTACATTCCATATGCAAGCTGACTAATGCTTGCAATTAGCGCGGGAAACAGGTTGCATTTCATTTTGTAGATCATGTATGCTCATGCGAAATATCTCAGAATTTTGAATGACACTCACACAGCACATTTCGCTCCAGATGCGTACCCGCTGAGTACAACTAAGTTAATTTTTCCCGACAGAGGGTTTGAAATTTCTATTTACGCTCGAAAATTGGTTAGATATGTAATCTAAGTAATGAATTACTGCCCAGAGACGGTTATAGTGCACTCTGCATTTTTTCTTGCTGAAAGTTTGCAAAGTTTGACCAAATTGGAGAAAGGCAAGGGCACAAGAGCAGTTCAGATCGTTTCAAAGGCCATCAAAGAAGTAACTGGAGAATTGCTTGTGGACGACAAAGGCAGGTTGCCCCAGGTTGAAGTCAGAAGACTTGAGTTTAAGATTCACTCCTGGATATTTGCTTCGCTGCTTAAAGCATATGGCGGTCTTAAGTTCGACGATTCTCGCGAAGAGGATTATTTCGACAGTTTTCCTCCTCTGCCAGGGATGGGTGTCGAGTTCTATCTCGAGCTGCTACAGGAAGTGGGATGGAATGAGCTTTTAGTCGAGGTATGATTGAAGTTATTCTTTAAGACAACCATCCTGCAATTTTCGGAAAAATAAGCTGGTTGTTGTCTCCGTGCGAAGTATTTTTTTATATTACGGTTGAGTGTAATCTTACTCTCCTCAAACCTATCAATGTTAATACAGATCTAGAAGTAGGCCGCAGGAATCACATAATTTATTTTGGGGGCATTGAAAAATATGATGAACAGTCTTTCTGCTCTCCATAATTTGAGATTCCAAAGAGTACCACTAGCTGTCCAAGAGTGACCCCTGGGAGTGACAAGCATCTAACTTCTCCATACAATATCACCCCTGAATCAAGCATTAAGGTAACAAGAACAAGGGAAAATTATTTAACAGTAGACTTACTACGAAAACTCTGATTTGCCGAGAGCATACAGTCAATATTCAATAACATGTGAACTAAATATGATTACTCAATATCTGCAAGAAATATTTGGTCATTAAATTGTCAAGTTTAAAGTCTACCCACTTTCCAAGCCCCTAATCTGTGTAGTGTTCTCAAATGTTTGCAGACTCAGGGAGAAGTGTCTTCTTTTTCAGTTTGTCTAAAAAATGTATAATGAAACAATTATTAAATTTGGTTTTTGCATGATATCATGAATTACCAAACCTCATATTTGTGTTATCTGCCTCAGCATCCGGCTTCAGCAGACACATGTACCTCAGACGTCAGCATTGATAAATCATGATGTCATGCTCCACCTCATCCAATAATTGCTTGTAATCACCAACCAAAGGAGCTCTTGATTGTTTAAAAAATTCTCTGTCAGCACCCTATGAAATGTATTTAGAACAGTATGGAGGATATTCATCACAATGTTAGGGTTAAAAGGTTAAAAATTTTTACCATGAGATGGATGCTCCAATTTTGGTATTTTTGGTATTGTTTTGGTGTTAAAATTTTGATAATCTGTTTCTCCTTCTATTATTGCAGTGTCTTTGTGTACTAGATGGATACAATATCACTTCTTTTTTGGTGGATATCATTAAAGTCCTTACTCAAGAACCCAGTTGTGAGGATCTCTCTCTTTTCCTCTGTCTTTTCAATTCTCTGCTCATGTCCAGAGGCTTTCATTGCCCATCTCTTGATGAAGATAATAAACTGGACAAAACATGCAAAGAAAAGTCATGCTCTTTACTGTTGTTGGAGGGTGTAATGCTTCTTAGAAGGAAATTTGTTGCCTGGCCAGCTGCACAGCTTAATATATTGAAAAGTGTAATTGACTTTGTTTTTACAGATGTCACTTGTTTGGACTTTATACTAGATAGTTCAAATACAGATGGTAATATTTTTTGTGGAATCTGTTGGCTACAAAATTATGTTTCTTGCAAACACCAACCTTTTACAATAGAGGTAGATAAAGTTCAAGATCACAAAAAAAATTTGGGTGACAAATCAGAACACAATGAAAAGACGGAATCTTTTGGCAATCACAAGCTTCATGTGGATGTTGTTGTTTCAGCAGAATGTACTGCTTGTTTTAGCTTTTTATGTCAAGTGATAATAAATGATTGGAGTGAGGTGTCACACTGGATTCAAGGTGATTTGATTGACAATAGTATTGGCGAACTAGACTCCAGTTCCTGGCTGCCTTTACACAGGTGGTTAATTAAGCTTTATGCTTTGGCTTGGTGCATTGGGTCACACTCTCAAGATTATATATTACACAAGCAGGCAAAGAATCTGCAAACTGGTTTGGCGCAGTATGTGGAAAAGCATGCAACAGAGGCAGAGCTTAACTGGATTGATAGCTTGAAGCAAGGGGAGTTGATGGACTTTAAGGGAAGTTACTGTGAAGAGGAATTCAGTTCTCCACTTGGTAAGTACAAAAAAAGATTTTCCATTCAAGAGTTTTGAGGATTTAGGAATAAAAAACTGAATGAAAGATTTCTTGTCTATGATTTGGACAAATATCTGATACCAGTAGCATACATTTTTACCTTATTTTGACCCACAGTCATGTTGGGACAACTGCCTTACTTTCCCACTGGTTCTTCTTTGTAAACTGTGATAAACTAGAATCTCATTCAGGAGTAATGAGAGTATGTGATACTCTTATTTAGAGCATGGTAAGAATGAGCTGTGGTAGTTTGTTGGTTCCATAAACAGAGTGACATAACTCTTTGCAAAAAAAGGAACAAACTCACCCAAAGTGTGTCTTACTCTATAACATACTTATCTGTTACATTTTCTTTCAGGATCTGTAGATTTGCTGCTGTTTCAAGCGGAAAGTACAGAGGACCAATTCCATTTCTATTTACAAAGAGTCAATAACAGATTGGATGGTTACAAGGAGTGCTTTGATTGGCTGTTGAGTGCAGAGGAATTTCATGGAGACTCTGATTGGTTAGAATGCATGAGGAACCATGCTGTGGAAATAAGTGAGGCTCAACATGCGCTTAAAATAATAGACATCATCTACATGCAAAGGCAGAGCCTTTGTGCGGACAACACAAGTAGTGATGTGGTTTACAAAGAATTGAAGGAGGTAAGCCAGATGGTTAACAACATTGTTGTTGAATATGAAATAAGTGCCTTTGCACAGACTCCTAAATTTAGTTATGTATAAATTCTCCTGCCAAATGTTTTTCACCAGATATTCTCCATGACCCTTCCACAACAGAATTTTCATCAGTAGATGGGACATAAATCTGCTTTTGATACCCCCAGCTTCTTGGAATCTATGATGACTTTTAGTGTACTTGGAAATTTTTGTTCACTTGTGGATTGGAGCAAAAAAATTTAGAACTACTCTAAAGGCTGATATTATAAAATCTCTCATCCAGAACTAAATTTACTTCTAAATTGTTTTCTTCTAATTTTTCCAACACCCTGTGCCAACTTTGGTTTATTCATCAAGTTGTCTAAAATGTATTCATACATGTGTGAAGTAAAGTGGGACTGGGAAATGCATTTCTCCTGGTTGATATTTTTTCCTTTTTTCTGGTCACTTTTTAGCTTGAAAATATAATTATTGATAGTGTAGGGATGAATTGTTTTTGGTCACTTTTGGGAGGGAAATTGTTAACTGTGATTGCCCCCCTTATAAAACCTTGGTCACAATAAAAAGGAGATCAGGTTAACCCTGGAACCCCTAAGAGTGACTCAAGCATCTAATTTCTCCTTACATTGTCAATCCTGAATCACACATTAAGGTAATGAGAATAAAGGAAATGATCACCAACTGATGAAGCTCTTGACTGTTAAACAAATTCTCTTTGTCAGCACCTTAGGAAATGTAGAGAGAACATTATGGAGAATATGCATACTGATGTAGGGATGGAAAGGGTTATAGAGATGGTAAAATGTGAAAGAAATTTTTCCTTAATTTTTTTGTTACATCATAAAAAGTGGTTACAATTATAACAATTTGGTCACATATAAAGTAGAGGCTAGTTTTATGGGAGTCTCAGTAAGTTTTCTGTCTTTGAATGTTGTTTCAAATTCTTTTTCAGATCTTGTTGGCTCTGCATTCCAATCTGGCTTACCCTGCTCAAGAACAGATCATAGAGTATGCTTTCTTCATGTCTAGCTGCTTACCTTCTCCTGAAAATGACTCAATATTTTTTCATCCATGGTTCATGGCAGAGGAGAGAGCAAACATTCAGCTTGAGCTCATCTTGACCTTCAATAAACTTATTGATATTGATACTGATATTGGCAGTGATGATCAGTTGAAGTCCTCAACAAAAGAGTTGACAAGAGCTGCTCTGATTTCAGTGCCCTTGACTCTTAACAAGGCTTTGCAAGAAGGAATAAAGAGTCCGGCTCACACAAAAGCTATTTGTTCTGTAAGTTGATGGTTGGAGATTGTTTCATGATACAGAGATGGGATAAAAATAGACACAACCATCAAAAACAACCATCTGGCTGATGAGGTTGTTTATTCTTATGGTCTATTTGTTGTTTAATGTATGGAAATTGTGAGGAGAAGCTACCTTTTCACCATCTCTAGTAGTTGAAGGATTAAAATTTGGTCTCGCCAACACTTTATCTTGTTGACAAGTAATTAAGATAAGCTGTTTGCCAAGCAGGGAAATCACCATGTCCTGGGCAACCAGATTGTTTTTTGTTTTTTTTTAAGCCATGACAGAGTTTGTTGTGAGAAACATGTTCACCAGTTGGAAGTTATCTGCTCAGGAAGAACTCATTTCTAAATGCCACTGTGTTAAGATTTTGTGGATAAATGGTTTCAATAGTTTCATGAGAAACAATCAAACCTCCATATCATTCTTTTCTTGTCTGCTGCTCATAATAGATAAAATTTAACATCTGATATTGAATAAATGTTATTGTGTGTTTTACCATAGTTGTTTTCATTATTAGTCTTTTAGTATCAATAAAAATATGGTTTTATTGCAGGTATTACAAAAGTTTCCTAATTTGTGTGTATTGAGATACAACAAATCTTCTTCCTCGAGAACATTACTGTGCCAGGCAGTTATCGCAACCACAGTGAATGTGTCATCAAGACAACAGGAGAGCAACCTGTTAACAATGGTAGCTGTTATGTTGACTGTGAGTACTTTTTTTGCACAAATAGAACAAATAAAAGTACTCATTTGGAAATCATTGTGCCATGTGTGCAGGAGTTTTCATTATCACCTATCCACCATACAGTAATATATCAGTGAGATAACATTATTTGTGTGAAAAGAAGTCAGTTATTGAGCTGGCTGGCATGCCATTTTAAATCTGTAATTAAGTCAGCCTTGTTACTTGAATGTATGCTTGTGTGTAGGGAAAAAGCAGGTTTTGAAGATTTGCATTTTATTGAGGGTTTTCCTGGAGTGTTGGAGTTCACCAAGTTACTATTTGGGTGGTATTTTTTTTCTAACTGCATACAAGCAGCTCTTTTAAACAACAGCAATGTTAGGTGGGGCAGGGTCTGTGGACCACCTACTTAGCATTACATTTTCCTTTCACCAACAGGTTTAATCATTGCCCTGTGGAACATAGACAGCCTAATCATGAATGTCTAATAATATACCACTTTGCCATAGCACTTCATGGGCAACAACAATTATTCTCTTTTTTCCCCTACCATAATTTCTTGCAGGCAAGTTCTTCACAGCTACTTGATGTCCAGGAGTTCATACAAGCAGTTGTGTTACCATTTTTAAACAACAGCAACATGGAAGACAATATTCCCACTGTTCTTGCCCTCAAACTTCTTGATACAGCAATGGAAACTGTTTCTGTCGTACCCCATCTACTCCTCCTCAAAAGGCATTTGCCTACCATCATCATTTGCCTCTGTGAATTGCTCAATGATTGTAATGTATTTTGGAAAGGCATGGCCCCAGAACACTCTCTGCTAGAGATGGAAGAGTTAAGGGAACTGGTGCTCAAGGCTTTGGACATTGAAATCAAAATCTGTCTAGAGGTTATAAAAATCAATCCTTCATTTGCAAGAGCTGTAGAGTGGCTGTTAAAAAGAATAAGGGATGGATTTGGTAATTAGAAATCTTTAAATTTTGTGTTACTGTAGAATACACTTAATCAAATCTACTTAACAGAGTAGAATCAATCATTGCATTGTGACTTCAGAATTATAGCTTTAATGTAAAATCATGGTTTGAGATTGAAAATTGTTGATACTGAGCATTTTTCTGTTAACAGACTGGACTATTCCTCTTCATTTGGACGAACTCTTCACTGCAGCATCTACAATGTACAAACTGGCAATTCCTCCATGTTTATTGATGGTATGTTTGGAGCCTGGAGACAAGTGGACAGTAGATGAAGACTTGGCATATGGTAACTAGTTATATTTCTTTTAGATTCACCAGTGATATCATATTTCTGCAAGACTGAGACAATGATCTTTCACAATGGTTAAACGATTATCTGCTGAATTTCTGACATGTCAAAGCCCGCATGGAATATCCAAATAGGTTAAAAAATTTTCGGTATTCTGCACGTCTTTGATAGGAAATGACAGTAGCTCTTTGCCATTTCAATGCAATGGAATGTTTGTGTTGATGCATGCTACTACTCTCTGCAACGTTTAAAGTTTATTCAACAGAACATTGGCATAATGGTTGTAAAATTGTCTTCCCCTCCTCACTAAAAAACATAGACATTAGCAAAGGGTTCTCCATGGTACTAGTCATTTATGTCTTGGTTTGACCATAATTGTGGGCTGTAAAAAGCCATAAATGACCATAATTTTGAGTCCACCACCTGTTTCACTTGATACTGATAAACATTACCTTTCACTTTCACGCTATATTTATTTTCTTAAATTTAACATACAAAAAATATTACTTTGACCTGCAGATAGCAGATGCTGTTCGAGGCGTGTCGATTTTCTTATTGATTGAATTAAATTTAACTTAATTTAATTATACTAGAACCAATATAGAAATGAAGAACTAATACTTAAAAAGACATTAAAAGATTCAAAAGAAAAGAAAAAGGAAAATAAAAGCCGCTCATTGTAAAAGAGAAAAAGTCCTTGAATTTCTAAGGTTACTAAAAATGTTGTAGAACTGGTCATATTTGACACAATTTTGCAGTGTTGTCATCTTATTTTCGATCTCAACTTCTTTATGCTAGGATTTTCTTTTTGGTTGTAGTTTTGTTTAGGCAGAAAGTGACAACATAAGCTACCTACTTTGATGCAAAGTCAATTATTTTCAAGGCGTTTTGACGGCGATGTTCCTTACTTTATCATATAAACTTATTGTTTTTCAGGCTCTGAGGGTGTGTTTACAGTTCTGTTTGAATACTGCCGTGTGTCAGACACTGCTTTAGAATGTATTCTGGAGAGATTTGTGTCAAATAAGCTGCCCAGTGAACCGGAGGACATTAGAATACGAGTAGTGATCAGCCTAGTGCAGGTATGGAAACATTTTCTTTCCAGCTGTGCCAGTGTCGTCAGAGTTTGGGTGGCGGGGTGGCTGGGCAGCTATTGAGGTGGTTGGCTGGACGCGGTTTTTCGAGGGGTGGATAACGCTATCCACTGGACAAATCTCTATCCGGTGGATAACCTAGTACGTTTTGTTAACACTTATCCGCTTGATAGCGATTTATCCGTTGGATAGCGTTATCCGCCCGTTATATAACTGGACCCTGATCTACAAACCCAAGTTATGACCTGTCTGGTACATTGTGTTGTGTTCTTGGGCAAGACACGTTATATGTAAAGTGCCTCTCTTCAACCAGGGACATGAATGGGCACCGTGGTATCCGCGGGTTTCGCCCATAACGAGTTTCGCCCAAGAAGCGTTTCGCCCATAACGAGAATGGTTTCGCCCAGGCATAAATACGATTCGCCCAGACTGACAGTCAGTGATTATCCAGGCTAAGGGCCTTTATGCTTTAGATGAGCCCGGTAACCGGGCTTTTGTTTTCTGTTCATACAATGTTCATACACGACTTTCGTAATGGCGGACGTAGCGCGGGGCCTGACCTTCTTGTCTGGGTCGCACAGGTTGTTTGCAAGTTATACAACAGTCGTTTGAACACATTTTTTTGGACGAGACACGAGAAATTTCGTATGGCGGGTTTGTATGGCGATCTATGATCGAATGACTCTCGTGATCGGTATTAACCCCTTTTATACTGGAATAAGGGGCGGATTTTTTTATTGTTAGTCGGCATGTCAACTGAGAAAGGCGGACAACAACATCTTATAAAACTTGTTAACAAATTGTAATTAGGACCGCGCGTCTATTCATAAACAACACAATTACTATTGGTATTCAAATTACATTTGACTTCACTTTGGAAACAATAGCATGCCAAGTAAACTTCAGTTTTCTTTTCAAATTCTATTGACAAGTGAAAAGGTGAGATTTTTTTGGCCAGAGTAAACAACGGTTCTTTTCAAGTTCTATTGACTAGTGAAAAGGTGAGATTTTTTTGGCAGGAGTGAACGAATTTTTTTCAAATTCTATTGACTAGTGAAAAGGTGAGATTTTTTTTGCAAGAGTGAAAATCTATTGATAAGCGAACAGGTGAGATATTTTTGCAAGAGTAAGCTTTTCAAATTCTATTGATAAGGTTTGATTGAGATTTTTGTGCAAGACGGTAATTTCCTTTAAGTTAAAGCTTTCGTACCGCACGCTTCGTCGGAGTAGTAAAGCTATTCCACGCGCGCGCACTCATGAACTTGACTAGTTTCTATCTCTTTTCCAATTATATGTTGCCGTTACCTATGTCAGAAATACAATCTTTAACTCTCGATTCCTTTGTTTTAGTATTCACGAAACCGTATTCACATGTATTCATAAGCTGGCGTGCGGAACTTATCTTCCGTGTACAAAAGATTTGCAACGATGATATGTTCCACGCGCAAGTGTTTTCAAAAGCGTTTAATTTAATTCTCGAGAAGAAAAGTGATGCAAAAAAATCATAGCAATGCTTTTACGACAAACGGACGTCTCTGCAGTATTTCGTGCGCGAATTACCTTAACAATCCCCGCTCCACAGTGAAAGCTATAATTGACTTGTTCGTTTCAACAGTAACTTGTTCGTTTCAAAATTTCATGATCTCAGGTCAAGTCACTTTTCTTCATTCTGTGCATACAAACGTTTATAAGGTTGATGTTTTCCGAGTGAGAGTGTAGAAGTTTTACTTATGGGCGAAACCTTTACTGTCCTGGCCGAAACCATTCTCGTTCTGGGCGAAACGATATGTGCGAAACTCGTTATGGGCGAAACCCGCTATAACCGGCACCGTTATACTTTTAAGGATGCATAAATGATTGATACAATATCTGGTGAAATTCTGGATGGTAATTTGAATTTAATCAGAAGCCCACTGTTGCGGTATACTTTAGAACTGAGTTAAACTGGCGTAGTCATGCCTGTCGTTTTTATGTTCAGACTTAAAATTACCTTACAGTTATTAGGAATTTGTAGTCTTCGTTTTTTTTAATCCGCATGAAACGGTTGCCCTACTGTAAATTTTTGTACACGAGAAATCGAAACCACGCAAAAGTGATTATCTTCTTCAGTAGTGTAAATCTACGGGCGTTCCCGGCATCACAATTGTTGCAATCTGATTGGCAGCGCCACTCGCTATCTATTCTGTGATAGACAGTCAATAAAATGAGTTACCTAACATTGTGAAGTTGTAAACAAAATTGAATTAGAACCTTAGTCGGTTTTTTGTTTTTGCTAAGTTTGAGACGACTTGTGGATTAAGATACGAAAACCATTAAATAATTCCCTAGATCTATATGTGCGACGCGACAGTTGACCTGCGATAGAAATATCGAGCTCGTAATCTAATTTTTAAATAATTTCAAGTAAAAATGAGAGTTAGACCTCGTTGACAAGCCCAGTTTTTTGTGCTTTGCAGATTCTTCCCCATTGCACGTGGAAAGAATGGAAGAGAATTCTTGCAGTGTGTCAGTTCCTTATCAAGAGACATGTTATTCCGGTAAATCTTTTCACGTAACGTTGTTTGGTTTATTGGTGCACAACACAGGAGTAGGAAGAGTTGTGTTAGAAGCAAAGTGACCCCAAAAAATTTGAAAGGGCAGGCAAAACTTAGTAACTGAAACATGAAACGAAACGAGTGTCGATAGTGATCTAGGACTTCAATGGTTTTGCTTTACGTTTTTCTGTGATTGGCCAAGGAAACACCTCCATCGCTCCAATATTAAACTCAAAACTAACACCAATCGCGCCACTTCTTCGCCCTTGAGATCTTCGGTTGAGTTCTCAATGACTGAAATATTTAAACAGCAGTTTTAAAATCGCTGCTGTGTAATTCTGGATGTTACTCAATTAGGGAAGAAAACACAGCTGCTTTTATAATCACCTGGTTATTCATGCATGACCTATCATTCACTCCGTGTTCAGTGAATGCTGTCAAATAGTCCTAATGTCTAAGTGAATGTTGAATGGTTAAACCCAGAACTGATATTGATCACAGGGCTAGAAAACTGCTTTTCTCTAATGTCCTCTTTTATCGACTGTTACTCTCCAAAACTGGAGTTGCTTCAAAGCGTTTGTATGTCATTTCTCTGTATTTCTCTGCCAGGTTTGTTCCTTTAGTGGTGTTTTGTGCCTCAAAGCAGAAGATGACGGTCAAGGTAAGTGCTTGGAAGTAGAGACAAGGATACTTTTGCAACTTTATTTTCATTGTTTTTATAAATAGTCTTACATGAATTGTAACAATTAAAACTCCTAATCTCAGACGCCAACGCAACTAAAGGGAATCGTAATCAAGGGCGTAGCCAGCTTCTAGACTTGCTGTAGGCCTATTCCCCAAGAAAGTTCAATTTTTGTTTCAACATTTGCAAGAGTCATATTATATGAAAGTCAAGCGGGCAGGAAAAAAGATTAAGTAGGCTTTAGGCTGGCTACGCCCCTAGTAATAATCAATGTTCAACGCAACGGATTCTATTTAATTTCAATCAGTTCTAATATTTTGTACCGTTCCTCAATCAAAATGATTTCTCAACAGAAACTTCTCTCTAGTTGGGTTTAGAATTTAATCAGAAAGAGGCCTTGAGATAAGACAATTATTTTAATGATTATTAATTATAAGGAATTTTTTTATTTAGTTTCAGATGTGTGTGAACTTTCTGCGTTGCTCTTAAATATGATGGAAACTCTTGGTAGCCCCTTGTGTAATTCGTGGGCCACCCCTCATGTGTGGCTTTACGTCATTAAGCATTATATCACCGCAATAAAAGAAGCTGTGAATGAAAACGTAAGTAAAACATTCTTTCTTTTTTTTTTTCTTTTTCGATTCCCACCTTTAACCACAAAGTAGACTTGTTGAAGAAATGTATAAGGTTTAAAAGTTGGTCAAAAATTGTTCTGTCATTGCCATGAAGTTTACATTCCGGTCTATTGAGATATGTTTAAACTTCGGCATTTGCCACCGAGAAGTCATTCTTGTAAGTTTTTTTTTTTTTCAGCTAATAAACCACAATGGCTTACTAGATACTTACTGGTGTCTTAAACTGATATAGCAAAGTATGGTGAAGTGTGGTCTCTGTTTCGTTTCAGACCAATGCGATGGTAACAGCATCCGTATTTGGACATCTTTGTCACGTGATGACCTTTGCACCAGTTGTCTGCCTGGATCAGTTGTTCGTTCTTTGCCTGGACTTGGTAACCAGGCCTTCAGTGTCCAGCAGTGACGTTATTGAGTGGATGAAGATGTCAATCAACAGATTGTCATCTCAGGTGCACAAGACAGCCCTGATGCAAAAACTGGATCAAAGTAATTAAATGACTGCAAATTTCAAAAAATGTTGAAGATACCGCTAGCTATGGCAGACGCGTTTTGGGAAAATCGTTTGACTGCAAAGAGGGAAAGTATGTTTTTGAGATCTCAGAATGAAGCCGATCGTAGCTCTGAGAGAATGTATCCAGCTGCCTTAGCACGACAAAGACATAACTGCTCTTTTTCATCGTAGAAAATAAAGTTCTTGAACAATTTTTATCTTTCTTTTAATCTTTCTTGAATTTCATACTGAAGTATGTGTATTCCAAAACAGGTTTACCTGACGTGTATCTTTATTGTAAGACGTAAACATGATGTGTCTTTAATTTATACTAACTATACTGGATGTGCAAAAGCGTGAGTGATTTAGTCATCTGTCTAATGTTAGCAATAAGAGAAAGTAAAAAGAATGTAATAAACTGTGTAGCAGTCGTTTCCTTATTTATTTGCGATATTTAGACATGCTGGCCCAGTTCATCTTTAAAGCTGGTTTAAATGGGGGTGGGGGTAGGGGGGTGCTGTACAAACAATGACAAGGCAAAACCACAACATCGGGAGCTACGTTCCCTACTCTTTGCGAGAGGTGTGTGGGTTCTTTTATGTCCCCTTGCTCTTATAACCAATACAGAGAGGATGCAGGAGACGTCCCTATCCTAGACTAGAATGTAAAACATCATTTGAAAGTTACTTTCACGGTAGCACTTGTATTAAAATCACCCTACGTGAGAAATCTAAATTGCTGTTGACGTGGGTAGGTAGCAAAGTTCACAATCGGAAATAAGAACACTAACGAGTTGAGCTTTATCGTTGCTTGCGATGCTTTGGCGAAAAGATGCCCACTTTGGTGCTGTTTTTATACAAATTATGCCGCAATGAGTGGCTGATAACCATTATTCTCAGAAAATCTTTAAAGTTTTTAGAACTTTTCACTACTATTATTAACCTCATTCTTGTTTAACTCATGTTGTTAAGGAAGTCTTCCACTGAGATTTAGGACCTTTTGAAGAGAACTGTGAGTACAGTAGCAGAGTCCAGAGTACAGCTGTATTTAGCCTTCCTCTTCGCTACTCAGAATCTTTCAAAAAGTGAGTAACGATGATTGCAATTCAATATCGGCCAGAGTCCTTCTGAATACAATTCCGTCAGTGATTGTTTAGCTCAACTGAAAGTTGAGCAACCAGTGAAAAAAGATTTACGACTAAACCAATTTCATGAACTAGGTTGTACTTTATATTAAAGTTCACACGGCAACCAGGTGGACAATCAGACATAGTTTGAAGCTACACTGGTTTGCAGATTTAATGAATGTAACCGAAGAAGTTACAATTCATAGACCCAACGTTTCGACACTCCTGTCTAGTGCCTTCATCAGGGGTGATCTAAACGCTGCAACAAGAGGTCCTTTTATATGATCACTAATTAGCGGCCTTTTTTCTGACGAGGTGTAAATAGGCGTCAGGAAGCAGACCGCCATCGTCACGATTTAAAGGAGCGTGGGCGGAGTTAATGTGCCAAGCCTCCAAACAAAGGCGCTGGTGGTAACGCCGATTAGTAGTGATAATTTTAGAATTATCCCACCCAATTGTATGGTTGGTTAGGCAAGTATGCTCCGATAAAGCTGAATTTTCCTTTTTGCAAAGAAAAACCGCTTTTTGGTGCTCTTTTAACCGTGTACCAAACTGGCGTTTGGTCTGTCCGATGTATTCGTTATCACAGTCATTGCAAGGAATAGAATAAATGGCGTCGGTTCGTTGTTCTTTCGTGACAGGATCCTTAGGTTTGGCGAAAATATGCCCCAAAGTCTGAAAAGGTTTTTGAGCAACTTTAACGTTGTGGCTATTCAAAATTCTCTTGATGGGTTCAGTAACACCCTGTATGTAAGGAATAACAGCAAAACCAGTCGCTGGTTCCCTTTCATCAAGAGCGTTACTATTTGTAACTGGTTTTTGGCAGTTACGGAGAAAAGTTTTTGTATAGCCATTTGCCTTTAGGACATTGGAAACATATTTCCTCTCCTCAGCCTTCGAATCGAGTGATGATGGTAGACAATCAGCCCTCCTAAGTAAAGTTTTGGCTACAGACTTTTTATGGCAAATAGGATGGTGAGAATCGAAAGCGAGGTATTTGTCGGTGTGGGTGGGTTTACGATAGACACTTGTCTCTAAATTACCCTGAACCCCTCTAGACACATTTAAATCAAGAAAGGGCAAATGTCTATCCTTTTCACGTTCAAGGGTGAATTGGATCGACGGCTCTACTGAATTCAAATGCGACAAGAGGCGCTCCGCTTCATTTCCGGATACCGCAGAAATAACATCATCGACATATCGTTTCCAGAAAAAGGGTTTAACCGGTGAAGTGGCTAAGGCCCTTTGTTCCACGTCTTCCATTACCATGTTAGCAATGACAGCAGAAACAGGCGAACCCATAGCTGTACCAAAAACTTGTTGATAGTATGTGCCGTTATATGTAAATTGCGTGGTTTTGAGGCAAAAAGACAGCAGATGAATAATATCCTCCACAGGCAAAGAAGTTCTTTGTCCTAGGGAAGCATCTTCTCTGAGTCTTTCCTCCGCAACCTTAACGGCAAGATCAACTGGGATTTTAGTGAAGAGCGAAACAACGTCGAAAGATACTAATTCTTCACAAGCGTCAAGAGTTTTATCTCTTATGAAATCCGTAAATTCGCAGGAATTTTTGACAGTGTAATCAGTATTCCCAACAACAGGCGACAAAATTCTCGCAAGATAACCAGAAATTGCATAAGTCGGAGAATTAACAAAAGAGACAATGGGTCTCAAAGGAATTCCCGGTTTATGAATTTTAGGTAAGCCATAAAAACGTGGACATAAGCCGTCACTACTGTATAACATTTTGTACGTAGAGTCACTAATTCTGCCAGCTTTTTTCAAATCAAGCAACATTTTGTTTAACTTTCTTTGAGTTTTACTGGTTGGATCAGAGTTTAAGACAGCATACGTACTCTTGTCATTGAGCAGAGACAAAGCTTTGTCGTGATATTGCTGTTTGTCCATAACCACAACACAATTACCCTTGTCAGCAGATAATACGAGCCTGTCCGGATCCTTTTTGAGAGTTATAAGCGCATTGAAAACATCCTTTTGAATGTTTTTGGGAGGAGGTTTAGCACGCCTGAGTACGCTACTTACTTCTGCTCTTACCAAATGCCTACGATCGTCGTCGAGTTGAGAGATACTCTCCTCAACAGCGGCGACAATTTCGGCGGTCGGTATTTTGCGAGGAGCAATAGCAAACTTTAGACCCTTCTCTAAACCACTCCGTTCCAGCGCGGATAATTCCTTGGAGGAAAGGTTCATGACCCATTTATCTTTCAGAGATGAGCCTGAATTAACAGGAGACCTCTTACTGAGCAAGTGACGGAGTTTTCTGTCATGTTTCTCTCTCTGTTTGGTAAACGTCTGCAGTTCTTTCGAAATGCAAAACTCCTCGACCCAGGAAGTTTCGGAGTTGTTAATCAAAGCAGAGAGTTCACTGAGTGAACGAGAGAATAACGTACGTAACCGCAGTATGGAACTGTGACATTCATCTATTCGTAGCTTGAGAAAAGAAAAACCAGTACGGACCATGAGCTTGTATCCTTTAGCACTCCGTAAAGGAGGCCGAAATCTCAAACTCGATGGAAGCACATGGTTCTCTTTGCAACGGTGATTGAAATACAAATGACAGCGATACTTAGCAATGCGGACTCTGATGTTAGTGAGCCGGTTGACCCTTGTAACAACAGTTTGACCATACTTTTCTCGCAAATAAAATATATTAAAGTTCACACGGCAACCAGGTGGACAATCAGACATAGTTTGAAGCTACACTGGTTTGCAGATTTAATGAATGTAACCGAAGAAGTTACAATTCATAGACCCAACGTTTCGACACTCCTGTCTAGTGCCTTCATCAGGGGTGATCTAAACGCTGCAACAAGAGGTCCTTTTATATGATCACTAATTAGCGGCCTTTTTTCTGACGAGGTGTAAATAGGCGTCAGGAAGCAGACCGCCATCGTCACGATTTAAAGGAGCGTGGGCGGAGTTAATGTGCCAAGCCTCCAAACAAAGGCGCTGGTGGTAACGCCGATTAGTAGTGATAATTTTAGAATTATCCCACCCAATTGTATGGTTGGTTAGGCAAGTATGCTCCGATAAAGCTGAATTTTCCTTTTTGCAAAGAAAAACCGCTTTTTGGTGCTCTTTTAACCGTGTACCAAACTGGCGTTTGGTCTGTCCGATGTATTCGTTATCACAGTCATTGCAAGGAATAGAATAAATGGCGTCGGTTCGTTGTTCTTTCGTGACAGGATCCTTAGGTTTGGCGAAAATATGCCCCAAAGTCTGAAAAGGTTTTTGAGCAACTTTAACGTTGTGGCTATTCAAAATTCTCTTGATGGGTTCAGTAACACCCTGTATGTAAGGAATAACAGCAAAACCAGTCGCTGGTTCCCTTTCATCAAGAGCGTTACTATTTGTAACTGGTTTTTGGCAGTTGCGGAGAAAAGTTTTTGTATACATACGAATACATCGGACAGACCAAACGCCAGTTTGGTACACGGTTAAAAGAGCACCAAAAAGCGGTTTTTCTTTGCAAAAAGGAAAATTCAGCTTTATCGGAGCATACTTGCCTAACCAACCATACAATTGGGTGGGATAATTCTAAAATTATCACTACTAATCGGCGTTACCACCAGCGCCTTTGTTTGGAGGCTTGGCACATTAACTCCGCCCACGCTCCTTTAAATCGTGACGATGGCGGTCTGCTTCCTGACGCCTATTTACACCTCGTCAGAAAAAAGGCCGCTAATTAGTGATCATATAAAAGGACCTCTTGTTGCAGCGTTTAGATCACCCCTGATGAAGGCACTAGACAGGAGTGTCGAAACGTTGGGTCTATGAATTGTAACTTCTTCGGTTACATTCATTAAATCTGCAAACCAGTGTAGCTTCAAACTATGTCTGATTGTCCACCTGGTTGCCGTGTGAACTTTAATATATTTTATTTGCGAGAAAAGTATGGTCAAACTGTTGTTACAAGGGTCAACCGGCTCACTAACATCAGAGTCCGCATTGCTAAGTATCGCTGTCATTTGTATTTCAATCACCGTTGCAAAGAGAACCATGTGCTTCCATCGAGTTTGAGATTTCGGCCTCCTTTACGGAGTGCTAAAGGATACAAGCTCATGGTCCGTACTGGTTTTTCTTTTCTCAAGCTACGAATAGATGAATGTCACAGTTCCATACTGCGGTTACGTACGTTATTCTCTCGTTCACTCAGTGAACTCTCTGCTTTGATTAACAACTCCGAAACTTCCTGGGTCGAGGAGTTTTGCATTTCGAAAGAACTGCAGACGTTTACCAAACAGAGAGAGAAACATGACAGAAAACTCCGTCACT